GACACAATCAATGTTAAGTATGTTATTAAACATCACTAGTTTCCTAGTATGCGAAGATCCCCAAAACTATTACATTTAGATCCCAATGAGACATCATACATGAATATGACAGCTGAATATAAAATATATTACCACACATTGGAATGTGCCCTTAATAACAAAGAAATGTCTATCTTCAAGAAAAATGGTTCATATGACATATTCATTGTTGATATTGACTGTTTCAATCTTAAAATTTATATTGCACAGTGTCTTTTATCTTTCTGTATTCGTGTCATAAAACAAATACGGTTTGCAAGAAATAAATTCTTAACAAAATCGTGTAATCGTAAGTCTGTTCTGTCTGTTTTGTCTGTAAGTCTGTTCTCTGAAAAGTTGATACTGAAGTGACAATGATAGATTTCTATTTCTCAGGAGAAACGTCACAGTCAAACATTGCTCAAGTGTATCAAAAAAGCTCTTAAAAGCCTGGAAAGTGCAACATCGCTATTTGTGAACATTTTGAAATCGTATCCTTGTTGAATTGAGGCTATCCGAGCTGCTGGAGGGACACATATGGATTATTAAAAAACTAAAATAAGGATATCCTTAAAAGTACTCTTAAAAGTTAGGACATGGACCAATCATTTTGAAACTGGGTGTGAGATCAGCAAATTAAATTCCCGTTAAGATGATATACTTTATACTAATTCTAAGTAATATATAAATTAAAAAAGTTAAGGGGGAGAATAGACTTATTCGATTTACATGTAAAAATCGTCGAAACACAGTCTTTGAAGGAATCAGTTCAGGAATTTAACCATTTCTTCCTTATATGGTCAATTCAAAGTAAACTCTAAAATAATTTAGAGTACCATACTGTTCCTTAAGATGCTGATTAACATTTGATAAAAAATATTCTGTAGGTTTATGTCTGCTTAAATGCGAATAAAATATTAGAATATTTTTGTCTAGAATACTCGATAGTACCAACACGTTACATCTATATATCAGTTTCTATTTTTAAGTTAATATAATCCAATGAAACTCCAAAGTTGTACCTATATCAATCTGTATATTATCGGTACATGCCTTATAAAAAATTATGTAAAATTTTCGTTCATGGGATGGTAAATAATTTTTGTGGCTCTTTCCCTTCCACTTTCCCAAGACGCACCTGTAAGAAACAAAAATAACAAAAAATTCCAAACTCACCAGGAGTAGTTGTGTGCCTTCAAAACGAAACAACAAGCAAGAGGAGGAAAAGTCTAAAAATACAGAGATTACCTAAACTTCAATATGGATCTTTATGTAGAGATGACCCTCATCGCTGATTGGTCAAATAAACTTAGAGCCAACGAAAACAAAATTGCGCGTTCAAAATTTGTTTGAATACATGCCTTGGGAACTTCAATGGCAAGAGCACCATCTTTGGATAGAATGCTCTGATTCCCAGACATGTATTGTAAAGAAACTGAGTGGCATGTAATCATAACGGAGAACGGTATTAGGAACATTTTACTGCGATGGATGTGTTTGGACTGAGGCCTAGGAAAACGTTTAAAATGTTTAAAAAGTCCCCTAGTGTACTGAGTTGGTAATGGTATACATGTATATTATACTTACTTAAATTGAATAAGAATAAGACTAATTTTTATTAATGACTGTATACCTGTTTGGATGTGTGAATTTATCAAAATCCATATTATAAGAGAGCAGAAGTTTTGATGTTCTTGGTTTATATTTTGGAAATTTCTTTGTTTGGGAAGGTCAGATCTTTTGCTTTATAATTAACAGAAATTCTTTCCCGATTCAAAACACATCTCAATGGAAAAAAGTATGGAGAGTTCTACCAAATAAACACGTGGACTACACCACTGCCATCTTTAGATCGGCCTAAAACATATTATGTTTAATCAACCCCTTTGAATTCTTCATGTATATTACATATTGAAATATCTCTATTACTTGAAATGCTGTTTCATATCCCATAAATATATATGTAAAATAACCTTTCACTTCCTGAATGTATACGACAAGGTATATACTTTAGAACTTCTTACTTTGATAGCAATTAATATACGTGTTATACACTGTAGATGACAATCACGTAATAGTAAAGTTGGAGGAAATATAAAATGTCACTCGACTTTTTGGAGATTTTGAAATCATTTCTACACTTCACAGTTCAAAATTAAGTTCTGAAGTAATTTGACACTACTTTCCAATTCGCCTCACTGACCTTTTATTGATTCTCAAACATATTTTCTCAAAATCTGGAAATTTAGGTGATGAGCAGGGTTGTATGTCATTCCAGTCACAATATATATACGAGTGACACCTTACACACTTCCTCTGCGTATGGTGTTATCTTAACGCTTAAGTATATTCTCTTCAAACACATGATCACTTGGTGTCAATGATTTGTTGACTATCTAAAATCGAAGATTTATTATGACTACTATGTATTTGTGTGTAAATCATTGATAAGTATTGGTTTCATATATAAGTTAAAAAATAATATCGGCTTTATCTGAAAATATATACTAGTACTCGATCACGACTAAATGATAAGATATCAGGCACTACATGCTGTTACTCCGCACTGGTCTAGATACACACTAGCACACATCCATTGGCTTGGCCACTGTATGACCCCTTTTGATCACGCGTTAAACCTTGTTTATATTTGGTCATTTTAAAATTACTTTTTCCGAACCGTTGAAATAAATGGTCGAAATAAGGATTCAAACACTTACAGGCTTGAACACGCTATCATAAGAAACTTTGGTTTGTCAAACTGAAGGGGGATGTATTCGTTCATTTCATCGTTAGTGGTACATGCTCTAAACATTAAGTTGCACACATAAAGGGTGTCAAATAATTCCCGCCTCCCCTCCCCCTATACAGCCAAAACCAAGATATATGGTACCAAGTGTGATATATCATTGGAAAGGTCTTCTAAAGTTATGTCGATTGGCATATACCTGATACATGTCAATCAATCTCACAATTTTTTACATTGTATCATTTGAGGGGACCATAGGCACAAGGCAATTTGAATCTGCCATAAGAAAACTCAAAGGAACTAAAGATGACAACATATGTATATAACAATGCATTTAACCAATTCTGGATAGGGTTAGATGTGTAGAAATTAAAGGTGAAAGGAAAGCGGTGAAAACCTTTTTTGCAAGTGGAATGTGAAAAATATTAACTTTTTAATGTATTTCTGAGGTCATATCCTTCTCATTTTGACGCAAAGAAAGCTGCACTTAAAGGAGAGTACGCTAACTATGGACATCATGAAAATATTGGTGAATTTCATCCAACATACTTGAGAGTTAACATAACTTTGGATGATCTTTCGAATGGTATATCACACTAGGTACCATCTATTATAAGGTTTTAGCTATAGCAGGTGGTCGGGACCTATTTGACATTCTGTACATGTACATTGTAAGTTAGTATCAAGTATGAAGTTTAAACCGATTATTTAAGTAAGTAAGTTCTGAGTAGGGATATTAATCCCCACTGTAAAGAGAGACCGAAGTAAATGTCCGACCAGTGGAATTCTGTATGACGTATCTGATACACAAATATGCATGACAACCATGCAAATACACAAATAAGTATATGGTACATCCTCTTTGTTTTGATTGAAACATGTACCAAATAATTTTTATCTAGCCTAAAAAGGTCATATTTATTGAATTCATTTCGATAGTTTTAAAACATGGTTTCATCAGTTATGTTAAAAACTACCTTCATTTAAATAAAACGTGTCAATGATAAGATTATTAAACAAAGACATTTTGGACTCCTATAAAGAAGTAAAGTATTAACTTATTGATATGATAAATACTGATAATAAACAACTGTGGGTTCAACTAGGTTTAGAATCCAAGGGATGATTGATAATGGTCAAAATATCTTAAAATTATCTAAATAAAAAAATAAGAAGATTCAAAAAGCATCGATAAAAAGTGAAATACAGCAAACATCAGTTTGGAGAAACAAAAGACGTCGTCGATTGGAAGATTCATGAAGCAACAAGGAAATGTGAAATACAGCAGATATCAATTTGGAGGAACAGACGCCGTGTAAAGTTCGTACAAATGATTTTTCTTGCCCTCTATCACGCCAAACTAGTTCTCACTACGTTCTCGAAACGGACATATACAGCGCACGAACGGATCGGACGTACCTAGAACCGTTTAGGGTCTGTTTTCAAAATTCATGAACGTACTCGTAGGTCCTATAAAATTTAGAGCATGCTCAAAATGACAACGGGATATATTTAAGACACGCTTGACGTAATACGAACGAAACTGTCGTACTTCAAGCCTACTAGAGACGTATAATGACATTGTGCAGTCGGACGTAACTAATTACTGATGACAGAAAACATCGCACCTGGTAATTTTGCAGTCCGGATAAGAGGGGATATACGGGCGATGTTTTTTGAACGAGTTTAAACTCGATAGCAATGTACTGAAGACGGAATAAAGAGATGGACGTATTAAAGACTTTAAACGAGCAAAAATAGCTATCACTATAGCTATTCAATAAAAAATAGCTATCACACCAAACTGGAATGAAATGGAATGATCATAGCAGCAACTTTCTATGGTCTATTCACGAACTTCATGGACGTGCTCGGACGGGAAGATGATTAGAATTTTGAACCTTTTCAAAATTCGATGGCGACCATAGCGTTCTCTAATTAGGTCGTGAGAAAACGTACTTCAAATGAGACGAACTTATTACTTATAAACTGCGAACGTATTGTCGTACTTCGACCAAACCAGGGACACGTGAACGACGCCGTGTGATCAGATACCAATTGAATACACCGACATGGTGCGACCTGGCCGGACTGCAAATGAGATTGACGTATAAAATACTGTTTATGAACAAAGTAGATAAATATTTTAAACATATTTCCCGACAACGACCATATTTAGTCCGTTTTACGACTTTTTGTAGGACTAGAAAGAACTGTTGAAAACTAGTTTGGTGTGAAAGTAGGGATACTGAGGAATACAGCAATCAAAAGAAAGATGGCGTCCACCTTTCACTGGGCAGATTATATAGTGTTCAGCGCGTTTATTGTCGTATCATTGGCAATTGGAGTGTTTTATTCATGTACCGGTGGAAAGCAAAAGACGAATTCAGAATATCTGTTAGCAGACAGAAAGCTTCACTGTCTTCCAACATCTCTATCGCTAATGGTGACATTCACATCATGTATAACACTATTGGGCTTTACGGCAGAGATGTACACTGGAGGCTCCCAATTTTGGCTTTACTGTGTTGGTGTCTCGTTGGCTGCTCTTGCTGCAGAAAGGATATTTATCCCATTGCTATACCCTCTACATCTGACAAGTACATATGAAGTAAGTAATTAACAATATAGGATATAATGAAACGTTGAATTTCGAAGAAATTTGTTTTGAATCATAAATTTAGATTTCCCGCCATTTTACCAACAAAAGTAATTGCTTTTTACCCCCCTATCACACCAAACTAGTTCTTACCCGTTCTTGCCAGTCCTACGAAAACGTACAGAACGGTATGGTCGCCATTGAATTTTGAATCATTTCAAAATTTTAAAATCACCTTCCCGTCTGAGAACGTTCACGAAGTTCGTAAATAGTCCTTAGAAAGTTGCAGCTACGTTCATTCCGTTCACACACAGTTTAACACCTGTTTTGAAGAACGCAGTGGCAACTTGTTTGGTGTGATAGCTATATTTTTGCTAACTCGTTCATGAGCAGTCTTTAATACCTTCTTAATCAGTTTAAACGCATTTCTTCCTCGTTCTCAATACGTCCTCAGTCAGTTCAACTCGTTGTTAAAACGTCCCTAGTAGGATTGAAGTACGACGGTTCCGTTCGTAGTACGTCCAGCTCGTCGTTAGTACGTTGTCATTCGTTCTTATTGTAGAACGTGTTGACCACGAGAGCATTTTGAGCATGTTAATTTCTAAGTTCTAGACGACCTATCCGTCCAAGTACGCTCGATGAAGTTTGTAGATAGACCCCAAACGGTTCTAAGTAGTGGTGTAGATAAGTATTCACGTAGTCATCGAATCGTCTCGCCAAGGTGTTATAGAATTCGGCTCGATTAGGAGTTCAGATTTCGCGAATTATTACACGAGTCTGAGACTCGCGAATTTGTTTTCGTATTCGCGATTTCACAGCGAATCCTGATGTCAAATGCATTGTTTTTTCTTACAAACAGGGTGAAACTATGTACAAATGATTGTTCCGTGTATCATTTGTTTTATTTGAATGAATATGAGTAATAAATCTAATTTAAATGAAATATTTTTGAGTCTATTTTTTAATTCCATGATTAATTCAGTCCGTACTGTAGAACCGGAAATGAAAGTGCTGCAACAATGTGTGGCGGGAAACATAAAATAAACAATATTTCAATTTTTGTCGTAATTAATCGTAAGTATGTTATTTAAATCGGTAGATGGACAACTCTTGATATACCTAGCGCACCTAGGGTATTGTGCAAGTGAACAACATTGAAAAAAGGACTAAAAAACGACCATATGACATGCAATGGTAAGATTTTTTCTTGTTTATTTTTTTGATGAAAAATCGCGATTCTTATTCGATCTCAGACTCAAAATCACGCGAATTACTCGATTCCAAAAATCCCCGCGAGTTACAACTCTAGAACTTCTAAGTACGTCCAGTCCGTTCTTACACAGTTGAAGCCCGTTTCCCGCCCATTTCTGATTCAACAGAGTCTCTATTAACCCTTATATCATACGAAACTCACTACGTTCTTGAAAACGAGCTTACGGATTGGACGTACTTAAAACCGTTTTGGGTCTATTTACAAACTTCATGGACGTATTCGAATTGGAAAATTCTCCAGAACTTAGATCATGCTCAAAATTTTCAAATGGTCGTCACGTTCTGCAATTAGAACGAGTGACAACGTATTTAAAACGAGCTTTAGTAGGAACGTTGTTTAGAACGAGTTAAATTGTCTGAGGACGTATTGAGAACGGGATAGAACAGTGCAAACTGAATAAGGACGTTTTAAAGACTTCTTATGAACGAGTTAGCGAAAATATAGTTATCATCATTGGTGTGATACGGGGTCATCTAAAGACTGTGAGAGATAGCAGAGACTGAAATCCCACAATGGATCATCATCAAAGTCTGCCGATGTTTGGAAATTTAAATTAATTTCTCAAAGTCATTAATACCCGAAATATTGTAACTAAGTAACCAAATTAAGATTAACAGGCTTTTCCAATGAAAACGTCCAGTTGTCAAACTTATGGAGGGAGTGTATAATGTATCTACTCGTATATCCTGTATTATATGATCATCAGTAAGTGTTTCTATATTCTCCTTGTAGCCTTGCCCAAGTCGGTCTCTTTACTTATCTTGATTTCTATTATGACATTTCAAGATCAGATAAGTAAACATACCGACTTGGACAAGGCTATTCTCCTTGTTCTGACCCTACATATGACAGGTAAAAGGGTAGTCATATAGGTTATTTATCACTATTGAAATATGAAACCCTCTTTAGACACATCTGTAAAACACCTGTTTTTAATGTTAACGAGCGTTAAAATCCCGAGACGCACACTAAAGGTGTTAAAGTTGTACTAAAACCGATTTCAGAATTTTTTTATTAGCTTGTTTAGCACAAATAACATCTCTTTCGTTATGTTGACTACAAATATTGTGATATTTCCCCACAAAACCCGATTTATTAAGATAAGACTGTCAACCTCTGAAATGTTGTTATTTCTGCGCACTTTTTGACGTGCCGTGTGCCAAGTTATTCTGAATAAATCGAAAAATTGTTGTTGCAAACTAATATGAAGGCTGGACCAAAGTAGAAATGTACATTAGTTCCCCAGTATTAGCACGCATTCCAATAATAAAATAAGTATTTTGATTGACTGGACTGCAAAAGTACTCATTACATATACGAGAAATTGATTGAAATGCATTTCTTAGACCGTATATCGTAACTTAAAAAATGTTAAAATGTTTTAATCCCCAAACACTGACAATGTTTGCTGTAATATATAACTAAATATGCTTCAATAGCGTTTCAGCTTGTTTGATTCCGTACTCGATATACCCTTCGCAAAATTGATGAGAATAGCCTCAATCATGGAATAATTGGCTCAACATAAGAGCGAATAACACGGTGTTATAGCATGACGGTTACGCCATCTCTGAAAACGAGTTTGGACGACTACGTTCACTGATTTATCTGGAATAAAATGGCCGCGATGGAACAGAAAACTAAGGTTGCTGCATTATTTTCTTCAACTATGTATCAATGAAAGGATGAACGATTTATGTAAGCGTCGCATTCGGTGATGCATTCAGTAAGGTTTAATTTGAACATAGTCTTTGCAAATTGATGCCCGGTGATAAAAACCAATAAGCAAAAAACTGTCGAGTTTGAAAACTACATAAAATTTAGTAATTTGTTTATTTTTGTCGTTAGGGCATGGTTTTCATTGCTTAACAACCTTGGGGTATATACATAATGCAACCTACATACGATCATACAAAGCCAATTGATCATTGGAAACTACCTAATATGTTCTACTCAAGCCATAATAATGCATTTTGAATTTGCGGTAACGTAAAAAAATGATGGACGGTTACGCGAGCCTCATTCAAATATGAAACCCCGATTCATTGTTATTAATTTTGTCATCTTCATCAGTACTTGATGCTAAATCTTCTATTGCCTCTTCATTGCTATCATTTTCACTTTCACTTGCCATATAGAAGCTCAAACAAGAAGGTCTCTTGCGAGCCCTGAAAACAAATGTAGGAAATTCAATATTCCATTTCTTACCCATTATAACAATTACATGGAAAGTGGCTCTCAGATCTAGCAACCTTGACTTGACAGGTGTACATGCACGTAACTGACCGCTAAATACCTAATGTACAACTAATACAATATGTTACCGTCCATAGAATTCATACGTAGTTGTCTGACGACATTGCGTTTGAAACCTTATTATTTACAATATACACCACGTTCCTGTTCTGAATTTGTCATTTTATGGCTTGTTTATACACAGTTTACTTACAGTTAATATTTTGAGTGGCTCTGAGGCACATGTACTGAGAAAACACAAGAACGTACTAAAAATTATGAACTTGGATATCTCAGTCGGTAGGTTTACAGCTTATATTCTGCTTCTTGTAGACCACCTGGCAGATTTGACCCAGTCTTTATAACCCTATACGTCACCGAATGGAACTAGTTTAAAAGGAAATCTTATCTGTGAATATTGCCTACAGGCGAGAAAGAGGACATCCCATCCGCCAATTTTTGTTATCGTTACCGCAAAATTTTGCAAATCGCCTTGTCGTAACAGTCATGCTATAACACCGTGATAACTCGTTTTTTGAAAGCCAGGGTTTCATTTTATTTTGAAATCGTCATTCACGGCAAATTGTTCCAACCACACACGTCATGTCACGTGACGTAAAATTCTGCTCTGAAACAGTGAAATCAGTGAAAACAGACACCCGCTGACTTTATTTTCCCAATATCATGATAAAATGAACTTTTGGAAGTCTTGATGGCTCATCATCGTAGAGTGTGGCCTCCATACGATAAGATAGCATAAATATATCTAAATCGTGTAAAATGGTTTGATTACAACTTTAAATACTATAGTCGTGATTATTGTCAAGGATGTGTATCTTTATGTATTTTATTCAAAAAGTCTATTGTATTTTCTCCAGTGCCCTTTTATGACTTCACAGAAAATCGCACCTTTGCAATGAATGTATGGTATTATAAGCTATACTAAGTAAGTTTATACAGAGATTATCCTTTATGAGGTTCAGGATATTGGGATTATTCTTTGGCAAAACTAATAGATCTTCCCTCGGGCTCCTAATGCTCTCGGGCAGACATTTTATAAAACCATATATACAGGGTGGGCCAAAAAACGCCACTTTTTTTCAAAATGCTATAACTTTTTAATTTTTGATACAAAATCATAATTTGCTTACCAAATGAAACTTGGGGTTGTTATCTAGTCATGGATCATGAATTATACACTTTTACTTGAATTAAATATGATGTCACCAGCGTCTCACTTAAACATGTGGTGTGCCATGAGAAATAAGCATAATTTACAAAATGTTCCTGAACTGATACGGCCTGATGATCGCCAAGCTAAAAGCCCTGATGCAAACCCCGGTGAAAATAGGGTATGGGAAGGTCTCCAGGAGATTGTATGAAGGCACCCAATCTAGAAAATTGCTCAACTTAAGCTGGCAATTAAGACAGGTTGAAAAAAAACTCAGCTAACATTTCATTGTACTGCAATAACAGCAAGGCGACTAAAACTAAAATATATCCTCAAATAGGGTGGAGGACCAATTGAACTGCTCTTTTAGATCAAATATAATCCACGTTGAAGGACTTGTTACATTATATTATTATTAAGAACCCCTGGCACTATATAACTGCAACACTTGGGGTATGCAAGTTGAAAAAAAAGTGGCGTTTTTTTGGCCCACCCTGTACATTATCGTATCATATTCTGTGTGATTTTAATTGCAGTATCTGGACAGACGGTTTAAGTCCAAAATAGCACGACAATCATGCATGCTCATGGGGACGATATCCTTTGTAAGTAATCATTATATTACATACACATGATCTTTAAGTCCAAAGTAGTCAGACAACCATTGCATGATCATGGGAACGATAGCCTTTGAAAGTATATAATTATGTTACATACACATGATCTTTAAGTCCAAAGTAGCCCGACAATCATGCATGCTCATTGGGACGATAGCCTTTGTAAGTAATCATTATATTACATACGCATAATCTTTAAGTCCAAAATAGCACGACAATCATGCATGCTCATGGGGACTATAGCCTTAGTAAGTAATCATTATATTACATAGTACATGATCTTTAAGTCCAACGTAGCCCGACAATCATGCATGCTCATGGGGACGATAGCCTTTGTAAGTATATAATTATATTACATACACATGATCTTTAAGTCCAAAATACCCGACAATCATGCATGCTCATGGGGACGATAGCCTTTGTAAGTAATCATTATATTACATACGCATGATCTTTAATGATTATTTACAAAGTAAATAGGTTTTAATAGCATAGCAACATCTTTATTATCTTACCATAACTGATTATTAGCGCATGCGTGTTTTCATTCGATTTACACGTAGTCATAGTTGAGTAAAGCTTTGCTTCCATGATCATGGGGACGATAGCCTTAGTAAGTAATCATTATATTACATACACATGATCTTTAAGTCCAAAGTAGTCAGCATTTATTGCATGATCATGGAGACGATAGTCTTTGTAAGTATATAATAATTATATTACATTCACATGATCTTTAAGTCCAAAGTAGCCCGACAATCATGCATGCTCATGGGGACGATAGACTTAGTAAGTAATCATTATATTACATACACATGATCTTTAAGTCCAAAGTAGTCAGACAACCATTGCATGATCATGGGGACGATAGTCTTTGTAAGTATATAATAATTATATTACATACACATGATCTTTAAGTCCAACGTACCCGACAATTATGCATGATCATGGGGACGATAGTCTTTGTAAGTATATAATAATTATATTACATACACATGATCTTTAAGTCCAAAATAGCCCGACAATCATGCATGCTCATGGGGACGATAGCCTTTGAAAGTATATAATTATGTTACATACACATGATCGTTAAGTCCAAAGTAGCACGACAACCATGCATGCTCATTGGGACGATAGCCTTTGTAAGTAATCATTATATTACATACACATGATCTTTAAGTCCAAAGTAGCCCGACAACCATGCATGCTAATGGGGACGATAGCCTTTGTAAGTAATCATTATATTACATACACATGATCTTTAAGTCCAAAGTAGCCCGACAACCATGCATGCTAATGGGGACGATAGCCTTTGTAAGTAATCATTATATTACATACGCATGATCTTTAAGTCCAAAGTAGCCCGACAACCATGCATGCTAATGGGGACGATAGCCTTTGTAAGTAATCATTATATGACATACACATGATCTTTAAGTCCAAAGTAGCCCGACAACCATGCATGCTAATGGGGACGATAGCCTTTGTAAGTAATCATTATATTACACACACATGATCTTTAAGTCCAAAGTAGCCCGACAACCATGCATGCTAATGGGGACGATAGACTTAGTAAGTAATCATTATATTACATACACATGATCTTTAAGTCCAAAGTAGCCCGACAACCATGCATGCTAATGGGGACGATAGACTTAGTAAGTAATCATTATATTACATACACATGATCTTTAAGTCCAAAGTAGCCCGACAACCATGCATGCTAATGGGGACGATAGCCTTTGTAAGTAATCATTATATTACACACACATGATCTTTAAGTCCAAAGTAGCCCGACAATCATGCATGCTCATTGGGACGATAGCCTTTGTAAGTATATAGTTTTATTATATACCCAATATGTAACACTAATCCTGATTGGTCAATACCTAGTCACGTGTTCCGAAATAGATTTACTATTTCCCTCGGAAAGTTATATTCCCTCAAATGTGACGTCAGCGGGAATATACATTTGAACTATTGCCCGCTGACGTCACAATTGCAAGTTCTATTACCCTTGGAAACGTCTGCGCATCATCACTGCGCAGACGAAAAACAGAAAAATGGAGGATGAGCACAAACACAAATCAACTCCGTTCACCATGACAGACGTGCGTGAACGATACAATATAAGCAACGTGTATAAAGTTCCCTAAGCTCAATACGTCTGTGTAATTTCAAGTGTTATGATAATCTATTCCGCGTGTTAAACGCGATTGAATTTGTCAAGTGAGAGTCTCAGAGGCAAAAATTTCTGTTGAGCATCTGATGACGTCACAGCTTATAATGCTAACAATGGACCCGGGGAGGGGGCTTTCTAAGCCTTTTTGGCCTTCGCAGAGGAAACGGGACAAGAGTCAGTATAGGGTATATAATAAAACAAATAGTGACTGCCTAATTTCGAGCAATAGTGTAAATGATTTCCCCTTGGGAATATCCTCTACAATGTACTATTCCCTCAGCCTGCGGCTTCGGGAATAGTACATTGTAGAGGATATTCCCTCGGGGAAATAATTTACACTATTGCCCTCAATGGCAGTCACTATTTGTATAATATTACATACACATGATCTTTAAGTCCAAAATAGCCCGATAATCATGCATGCTCATGGGGACGATAGCCTTTGAAAGTATATAATTATGTTACATACACATGACCTTTAAGTCCAAAGTAGCCCGACAATCATGCATGCTCATGGGGACGATAGCCTTTGCAAGTAATCATTATATTACATACACATGATATTTAAGTCCAAAGTAGCCCGACAATCATGCATGCTCATGGGGACGATAGCCTTTGTAAGTAATCATTATATTACATACACATGATATTTAAGTCCAAAGTAGCCCGACAATCATGCATGCTCATGGGGACGATAGACTTAGTAAGTAATCATTATATTACATACGCATGATCTTTAAGTCCAAAGTAGCCTGACAACCATACAATAGCCTTTGTAAGTTTATACTTATATTACATACACTTGATATTTAAGTCCAAAGTAGTCAAACAACCATTGCATGCTCATGGGGACGATAGCCTTTGAAAGTATATAATTATGTTACATACACATGATCTTTAAGTCCAAAGTAGCCCGACAACCATGCATGCTCATTGGGACGATAGCCTTTGTAAGTAATCATTATATTACATACACATGATCTTTAAGTCCAAAGTAGCTCGACAACCATACATGCTCATGGGACAATAGCCTTTTGAAGTTAATACTTATATTTACGTATACATGATCTTTAAGTCTAAAGTATTCAGACAACCATTGTATGCTCATGGGGACAATAGCCTTTGTAAGTAGGCTATATAATTAAATTACATAAACATGATCTTTAAGTCCCAGGTAGTCCCACAAGCATGTATGCTCATGGGGATCCCGTATTAGATCCCGTAGCAGCCAATATCTCGTATCGGATCCCGAGTTGGATCCCGTATTGAATCCAGTATTCGCAAAAATGGCATATCAGATCCCGTTTAAGAACTTTTCCAGGGATTTATCTTGATTTTTGTCATTCTAATTTAAAACTTGTTCATAAAAGTTGAAAATGTTATATTATAAAATGAATAAGTTTTAGAAAATAAATAATGGAATAAATAGGCTGTCATCCTCGGCCAATAGATTATTTTTTTACATAAAGATAGTTGTTATTGTTGATCTAGGTTTTCCTGGAGGGTGTCGTCATGTATGCTCCTTCAATAGCCCTAGAGGCAGGTAAGACCGACCAGAAGAAGTACCGGTAATCAAAATCAGTTTTAATTACATGGAACTAGGGTTTATTCTCGATGATGATAGCTAAGCTAAGTAAGTGTTTTTTTTATTGTGAATATATATGAATACACAGAGTGTCCCAAAACAGAACCCACAAATCTTTCAAAATGGATTCTGCTCTTTGCAATTGGGTCTCTGTTGTAAACAATTTATTATGTTGCTTTATAATGTTTTTATATATTTGATTTCTAAAGTGTCCTCATCTAACATTTCAGTAACTGGTCTTCCAACGTGGGCCTCTATTTTAATAATGGCAGCAGCAGCAACATTTTACACAACGCTGGTACGAAAAAACTTTATTCTAGCACATCATAGTACTCTATATTGCCTAATGAACAAAATTTCTTATTCTCATTTGATTTCGAGATTATCCTTCGTTTCCCAAAATCCCAAAACAAACAAACAATCACATTACTCGATGAAAACGATATAGATTTGCCTACGTGATGGCAAATTTGGGTGAGGAAATTAAATCACATTTGATTTAATCTGTTGATAACAGGATGTCCAGAAAAGAAATATACGAATGCTCTAATTTTAGAAGATTTTATTTTCTTAGACTAAAATTCCTACTTATTTGAAATGAAAATATATCTTATATATTGTAGTTATATATATAATATCAACGTTAATAAAATGTTAATACCATGGTTGTGAACAGTTGCAATTTATAACTACATAGACTTGAGTAATACATTGGCTTGACTTGATAATATCAACGTTAATAAAATGTTAATACCATGGTTGTGAACAGTAGCAGTTTATAACTACATAGACTTGAGTAATACATTGGCTTGACTTGATAATATCAACGTTAATAAAATGTTAATACCATGGTTGTGAACAGTTGCAGTTTATAACTACATAGACTTGAGTAATACATTGGCTTGACTTGATAATATCAACGTTAATAAAATGTTAATACCATGGTTGTGAACAGTTGCAGTTTATAACTACATAGACTTGAGTAATACATTGGCTTGACTTGATAATATCAACGTTAATAAAATGTTAATACCATGGTTGTGAACAGTTGCAATTTATAACTACATAGACTTGAGTAATACATTGGCTTGACTTGTATTTTATTTTTATTTCAGGGCGGAATTAAAGCAGTTATTTGGACTGACGTCTTCCAGTTTTTGATCATGTTGATAGGGATGATCATCGCCTTGGCAATGGTAATCCATAGATATTTGAAAGCATGTGACAAATATTGGCTCATTTTTACCATGTTCAGTACGCTATTAATTGTTTGTGTTTATTGTTTAAAGGGTTGTATTAGAGTCGGAGGCTTCTCAAATATGTGGGAGCTGTGTCAGAGAGGTGGAAGAATCCAGTCATTCGAGTGAGCTAATTGTCATTTTGTTCTCCGTATATCATGACATATTCTCAAGTTTAATATTCTTGCATAATGTTTCAAAATAATATGACGGCGTCATGCTAGAGACTGAGTGGCAATTGATAAAACAAATTATGATTAAACACTCCATTCTCTTGATATACGCATGAGTAATCCCAATTTTGGTTAACCCAGTTGCATGTGTCGGGTTTATGTTCCAGCTTTGACTTCAATCCATTGACGAGACATACTTTCTGGGGCCTCACTATTGGTATAGGGACAACATGGGTGTATCTGTATGGTGTTAGCCAGCCTGGAGTGCAGCGCTTTTCAGCAACCCCGTCACTCAGAGATGCCAGATCGTAAGCACGAGGCTGGATATATGTTATAGTTTAGATGATTAATTGATATACTATATTATTGAATTCACTTTTAACACGTGTCTCAATCATCATGAATATTTTGCCGACTGTCACTTTCGGTTCTCAGTATGGTTTGCCAACTGTGCTTAACTAAATTGGTAGTTATTCTGATCCCTATTATTATTGTCTTAAATCTTTATAAAAGATGATTCTATATGTCCTGTTTGTTACTGACATTGTCCAATACTCTATTGTCCCAGACTATGTGTCCCAGCACAATAGCACTTGTTGTGGTAGCCGTCTTATACCACTTAGACTGAGATGAGATCGTGTTACCTCTAGTGTAGGGTCTGTGTGCTTGATCACATCTGAACATAAAGACATGGGTATCCCTTACTCTTCTTTGAAACTTACAGGACTGTGTTACTAGTTGTTCCTGTTGTATGTGCGATTTATGCGCTGAACGCCCTCGTAGGACTCACAGTGTTTGCTTATTACTCTCATATTCAATGTGACCCAATGGCAAGTGGGGCAGTTACTAATCAAAATCAGGTTGGTCTTATTCATAAATATTTCCATTAAATGCCATAATGTATTTTATTTACAAAAGGAAGTCCCTTTGCAGCTGCGTTGTGTTTAGTGATGGTGAAACGTTGCAACATTACGTTGATTATGTTATGACATACCTCCCGACACCATTGTCTTGAAAATATAAAGGGAATTCGATGATACTGCTTTTCAAAGAAATCACGAATATCAGGAAAATTTAAATATAGACCCAGTCTCCTTTGTGTTCAGAGGATTTTGATTTATTGCATTTTTCCTTTACCCCCCTATCACACCAAACTAGTTCTTACCCGTTCTTGCCAGTCCTACGAAAACGTCGTAAAACGGGCTCAATCTGGCTGTGGTCGGGAAATATGTCTGAAATAATTAGCTTCTTCGTCCTTAAACAGTCTTCAATACGTCCATCTCGTTCGCAGTTCGTTCAGGTCGCACCACGTTGGTGTGCAACGTCGTAGAACGCGTCCCTTAGTCTAGAAGGTCAACATGACCTGATTACAGAACGGCATGGTCGCCATCGAACTTTGAATCGATTCAAAATTCTAAAATCACATTCCCGTCTGAGAACGTTCATAAAGTTCGTAAATAAACCTTAGAAAGTTGCAGCTACGTTCATTCCATTCGCACACAGTTTCAAACCAGATTTGAAGAACGCAGTTGCAACTTGTTTGGTGTGATAGCTATATTTTTGCTAACTCGTTCTTAAGCAGTGTTAAATACGTTCTTAATCAGTTTAAACCCGTGTGCAATTAGTTCTACCTCGTTCTCAACACGTCCTCGGACAGTTCAACTCGTTACAACATTAAAACGTCCCTAGTAAGATTGAAGTACGACGGTTCCGTTCGTAGTACGTCCAGCTCGTCGTTAGTACGTTGTCACTCGTTCTAATTGTAGAACGTGACGACCCCGAGTACATTTTGAGCGTTGTCTAAGTTCTAGAGGACCTACCCGTTCGAGTACGTTCGATGAAGTTTCTAAATAGATCCCAAACGGTTCTTAGTACGTCCAGTCCGTTCGTACACAGTTGAAGCCCGTTTTCGAGAACGTAGTGAGAACTAGTTTGGTGTGATAGTAGGGTTAGATATTCAACATGCACTGTGTTTTGATGTTGCACTTTTTCTCAATTCCCCAACGTTTGGTTTCATCTCATATGAATTCAAAATTGGAACTAATAAAGATATTATTTCTTAAGTATAGTAACAACTCAATTGCCACCATACTTTATTTGTATGAAATACCAACCTTGTCTCTGAAATACCCTTTGTATCAAAAGTCTTTTTCTATTGAGGAAAACCTCAAATAACTTTAGTAAATGTCCAGTAAACTTAGTGACATAGTGTAAGGTATATAATACATATTATCCGAAAATTTGAAAACGATTGATTTCTTTTTACTCAGAATATTGCATACAGAACATAGCATATACCAAAAACACCGATGTGACTTTTTCCAAGTTTGTGACTTCAAACTTACCTAAGATTGCCAAACTGACCAAAGTCAGGCTGCTCGGTAAAAGCGGACAAAGGTAATTATATATAAAATGCAAACTATGAGCAATCAGAACACTCTTAAAAAATTATTACTTGGATTTCCTTATATTGAGAAATTGAACTACTCATTTTAAGTCAAAAATTACTTAAATAATCTTGAACTACTGAATAATTTCTAAGTAATTTTTAAGTAATTCATTTATGGTGAATTTACTAATGCAAGGAGAGAAATTGAAATACTTACTGTAGTAATTGTAATACTCACTTACATAATTAAGCAATTAAAAAACGCAAAATGACAATATAAGTTAAACCTAAGTAAAATGAAGTAAAACTAAGTATTTAACTTTAAGTAATTTTTATACTTGGGAAATACTCATTTACAAGTAATTCATTTTTAAGAGTGAATATGTTATAGACTTTACAAATGATCCTGTTCATGACAGTTGTATATTTAATAAAATTAGGATGTCACCAAAAACTGTATAATAACAATCCAAAATTCTTTACACTTGGGTCTTAAAAGAGTGTTCCCTAATTGTTCATTGTTATGCTATATTTCCTTAATACTCACCCCTTTCCTGCCCAATGACAACAATTAGTATGATTTTGTGACTAATGTATCAATTTGATTTTCTCAGGAGTTTATCTTCTAAATATTCTTGTTGTAAGTTTGGTATTTAATTCAAATGAATCTATCATATTTCCATTTCATTGGTCTGAATCATAACGCATCGAACATTGATATATTAATGAAAGCAGTGCTTATTGTGTGACATATATCTGAATTCCTCAAATAATTTTGGGTATGAAAAAGTTCAGTGTAATTTAATATAGTCTATGGCTGTTAGTTAAACGTATGAGGGCATTCAGAGTATATTTAATAACATATCCTGCTCATAATTAGCATTTTATATTTTAAGACTTTTGTCTGCATACTTTTGCAGCGCAACCTGATTTTGGTCAGTTTGGCAATCTTAGGTAAAGTTGACGTCATAAACTTGTAAAAAGTCAATTCGGTGTTATATGTATATGCTATGTTCTATATGTGATATTATATGCCTTTATTCTATGCCTTAAATTATGTGTGAAAAGTTTCATTTAGTTTACTTGCCATTTGCAAAAGTTATTTAAGGGATTTCTCAAAAGGGAGACTTGTGATACAGAGGGTACTGATTTTTATTATTACTTATCAACCATTTTTAGATCTTCCCCCACTTTGTAATGGATGTGCTTGGGGTCCCAGGAGTGCCAGGGATATTTCTTGCAGCAATGTTTAGTGCCGCACTCAGGTGAAATATCTCTAGTGTTTATCTACTAACGTGTTAATATAAGTAAACATCATCCTGACCTTCAAATGTATGTAATGTGATTGTTGATTAGATATAAGACTTTGACAAGGTCGATGTAATAATAAAGTTATGCCCTTATCATTGAACCACGTGTTAAGTGTGTATGATCATCAATGTCATCCTTAAACATACTTCAGCCGTCGAGCAAAACAAACGTTCAAACATAAACAGTCATCAACAGGTTATACAACTGATAATCAAGGTTGAAAAACAATATGTTGGGAGTGTACATGAAACATGGTTTGCATACTGAAGGGCCTCAGTGAAATACTAATATTTCATTTTCATTCCTGATATTTAGGGCCATCACGTCAAGTTTTATAAACTACATAACTACAACGTCAAGTACCATATTCACAGTTTGCAAGTCCTCTTTCAGCAAACCGTAATATGTAATACGTAATATGTAATATTCCAGTAATATGTTTGGCTGTTTTGTCATTACCTGAATTTAATGAATCTTTGTTCCAGTACGATATCCTCAGCTTTAAATTCGCTTGCTGCAAACATCTGGGAGGACTTCCTTAAAGATCGTTTCCCCAACACAACCCCTGCTAGGGCAACGCATGTAACAAAGGCGTTGGGTAAGATATTTATTTTCCACTACATAGCATAGTGGTTATTTAATATGTATCGTCTAGATATGCTTGAAACTGCTCCTAAAAATGGATTAAAATTGAAAATTATATTATTTTAGTGATTGCCTCTGGGATGCTGTCGACCGTGATGGCGTTCATAGCTATGATGATTCCTGGTCAAATCTTGCAGGTATAATAACAAATACAGTAGTCCAAAAATAATTAGTTAATTTAGAATTTCTCAAATGTGTTATTTTTCTTTTCAAATCCAAATTAAAACATATTAAAACTTTTTGTATATAATATTAGTTAAGTATGTTACTCTAATCGTAACAGTGAAAGTACGTAAATACGAGTTTTAATATAACTAAGGCATATTCTGATTTCTGGCACGTATAGGTTACCCTGGCATTGGTTGGTGCTGCCGGAGGGGCAATTGTTGGAATGTATAGTCTAGGGGCGTTTACGAGCAGCTGCAATTGGAAGGTAAACCAGATTAAAATTAAATAATGGCACTGAAAGGCCAATTATCTTACTTAATGTGCATTTATCCAATTTAAGCTATACTCCTGAAATCCATGTCAGTTTTTGAATGTAAGTTGAAAAAGTGCCTCAATTTTAAGTTTAATCAATCATGCCATACATCTCCCAAAAGAATTTTCATGAGTTCCAGAACACCCTGTACGTGTCTTACATCTCCCAAAAGAATTTTCATGAGTTCCAGAACACCCTGTACGTGTCTTACATCTCCCAAAAGAATTTTCATGAGTTCCAGAACACCCTGTACGTGTCTTACATCTCCCAAAAGAATTTTCATGAGTTCCAGAACACCCTGTACGTGTCTTACATCTCCCAAAAGAATTTTCATGAGTTCCAGAATACCCTGTACGTGTCTTACATCTCCCAAAAGAATTTTCATGAGTTCCAGAACACCCTGTACGTGTCTTACATCTCCCAAAAGAATTTTCATGAGTTCCAGAACACCCTGTACGTGTCTTACATCTCCCAAAAGAATTTTCATGAGTTCCAGAACACCCTGTACGTGTCTTACATCTCCCAAAAGAATTTTCATGAGTTCCAGAACACCCTGTACGTGTCTTACATCTCCCAAAAGAATTTTCATGAGTTCCAGAACACCCTGTACTTGTCTTACATTTTCATGAGTTCCAGAACACCCTGTACGTGTCTTACATCTCCCAAAAGAATTTTCATGAGTTCCAGAACACCCTGTACGTGTCTTACATCTCCCAAAAGAATTTTCATGAGTTCCAGAACACCCTGTACGTGTCTTACATCTCCCAAAAGAATTTTCATGAGTTCCAGAACACCCTGTAAGTGTCTTACATCTCCCAAAAGAATTTTCATGAGTTCCAGAACACCCTGTACGTGTCTTACATCTCCCAAAAGAATTTTCATGAGTTCCAGAACACCCTGTACGTGTCTTACATCTCCCAAAAGAATTTTCATGAGTTCCAGAACACCCTGTACGTGTCTTACATCTCCCAAAAGAATTTTCATGAGTTCCAGAACACCCTGTACGTGTCTTACATCTCCCAAAAGAATTTTCATGAGTTCCAGAACACCCTGTACGTGTCTTACATCTCCCAAAAGAATTTTCATGAGTTCCAGAACACCCTGTACGTGTCTTACATCTCCCAAAGGAATTTTCATGAGTTCCAGAACACCCTGTACGTGTATACAGTATATCCTATACGTCGTGTCGTGCCATAACCATTGATACTGCTATAGAACTATCCATGTGGTTCCGTATAATTTTTTGTTATAATTTTGCCTTATGATAAAACTTATTCAATGATTTCTCGAAAAATAAATACATTGTGCAAGAGGAAGTCTTATTTCACGAGTACAAGGCATCCGAGTCTGTATCATCCTTATTCCAGGGTATTTCACTTCTTTTCTGAGCTCACCGAAGCTCAATCTAAGAATGACCTTGATAACTTAGAGCACTATGCATGGGATATTACATTAAAATAAGATATATGATACTATATTAAGATAAGATATATTATTACCACATTGCAGGGCCTGTTCTAGGGATTTTAGTACTGTAGTTGAGAAGGCATTTAAATTGCTATATTGACGTGAGCAATATTGTGTCGGGCGTTAATGACTTTAGTCGGGCAATAATGACATTATCCGCCCGGCTATGTTTACCGGGAAAAGTGATATCGTTCAGTGCGTAAGATTTTCTATTTCAAATTTGCTATTTCAGCCCTGGGCATTAACGGTGGTAATAATAGTAATAACGTCATTTCTGCAGGCAAAATAGTGAAATATTGGACCTTGGGCCTGCGGCCCTTGGTCCAATATTTCACTATATTGACCTTTGAAATGACGTTATTGTACTATTATACTATACATGTATTACTAATGGGATTTTTCATAGTGCATTTAGTTATAATGTTAGATTATTGCGTTGGCTTCAATCCATCTATTGTAACCGTGGGGAACGAAATGACTAATACACGTCGCACGAAACTGGGGACAATTAGAGTAACATTATGGCGTCAAAATACCAAAACAATACAATGGGCAGTATCAGTTGGACGGCACATTGCCTTAACCCATCAGCTTTATGACGTGCACTTCCGCGTGGGACTATATCTTTACAACGGGAATTTCAAGTTTTTGTCAGTGTAGACATAAAAAGTTGCGGTCCTCTTACTCGCGCAGTTTTTAATATTTTCATTTGAAACTTGCAGGAACGGTGCTTTGAATCTAGCTCTCTACTCTTTGAAAACGTCATGTAGAATCAAAACAGTTGAACTATTTATTTTTTGTCGTGAAAATATTATTTTTTTAGTTTATTTTTATTTTACAACTTTTTGGGAAAAAATGTAACAAATTTTTATTTCTTGTCATATTTATCCGATATTTTGTCATCATGAAATTCGAGATTCCTTCTAATGATGGTGCAAGTTTCATAACAATTGATGAATTTCTATTATCAGTGTTATGTTTTCCAAAAACGGTGTACCACTGTGCATGTTTCTTTAATTGACGGCACATTTGCCTTTAAATTGGGCGAACGTATAGGTCCCGACGCAAAAAGCTTTATTTGATTTAATACACTCAAAAATAAAGTTTGCTATCAAATCAGAATGTTCATAAAACATAAACCTTGCCTTTGTTTTCCCAATTCTAAAAGCAGGCCAAATGAACTATGATAATCGTTTGACTCTCGAGACTACATGCTACATTGAACATGCTAAAATCGAAGTTACCTATAGTTACGCTTGTAAAGTTAATTATATGTTTAACGGCGTGCAGAGCGAATGTATCTAATCAAATTTGTGACATACCCATAAGATCGTAGATCACAATTCTAAGTTTAATATGTAATTTGGATTCGTAAGAAGTATTTCTGTTTTAAACTTACCTTTGCTGTCTGAAAAAGATCAATATTCATAGACGGGGATGTTAAAACCTACATTTTCTTTGAATGACCTGCATTTGTACTACGAAATGATCCTGTGGAGAAAAGTTGATGAATTCCAAACAGCTAGTTCTTGCAAATCTACTAGTATAAGCTTACTTTCTAAAAGTATTTCAATGTTAAAAATATCTATTGATATGTTTCATTTTTAAAATGATCTTTTGCTTACCTAAACTTATATGTGTGACTTAATGAAGAATGCTGTTTACCACATCAAACTTAAGACGTAAACTTGGCAATTACTCAATACATGTTATAACGCGATTTTCTTTCATTTTCTACAAAAATGGTATGTTTTCGAACGGTCACTTATGTTAATCTATGACCATGGTATGATTGAAAATGAAAGAACTGAACCAAGTATTGTCGACTCGGTTGAATCATAAGATTTATTTTGATTGATTTAATCTCTTCTTGAATTTTAAAACCTTTGTCCGAATTACATCTGCTATGGAATTAAAGTTCAAATATACCTCAGAATTGCTTATTGAATTAACCTAGCAATTAATTTGAAAATAATTCTTTACATAGGTTATATATCATAGATATGTAAAAAATAAAAATGTGTTTTGAAAGATGAATTGGTAACAAACGTTTTCGTACAAGTGCCATTCTTCACCTTCAGCCCACTTAGAGCACGAAATCCCGTATGACGTAATATAACGAAAATGTGCAGATAATTGATATTTTTTAATTTTAATTCAACTCACATTGGCCTTTCTTATTTAGAACGTGTTTAAAGTTCTCATGTTAAGAAAATAAATATGTGGAAAGGCAATGGTTTAAAGATTATGAAAATGTAAAAAAATAATTCAGTTTTTAAAATAAGATATTGACATGCATTCACGCACATGTGACATTATCTCTTTTTGTGCGATTCAAACATAAAAATCTCATTACAGTTATACATATGAACCAATCTTAGTCATGCCTTTCTAATAGAAGGGACATCAAAAAATAATTCTGTGTAAAGATGATTCCCCATAGATATAATAATTATAAATGTCAAAAATGTCAAAAACATTATCAAAAATTAAATACTCACACGCTTTTAAGCACACATGACCTTTTCCAGTTTTGCTCATTTCATTTACCTTGAAAACCAAGGAGACCGAACGTAATTGCTGTATACAACCTTGATACGTGTACCAGGTCTATAATTGCATTTTCTCATGGAAGGAACCAAGCAAAAATTATAAAAATAATTCTGCGTAGAGGTGATGCTTCACAAATAATATTAATGACAACAAATTAATTCATTTCTTCAAAATTAAATAATGACACGCATTTACGCACACATGACCTTTTCCAGTTTTGCTTATTTCATTTACCTTGAAAACCAAAGAGACTGGACGCAATTGCCAAATACTTCTTTGATACGCGTGCCAGGTCTATAATTGCATTTTCTCATGGGAGGAACCAAGCAAAAATTATCAAAATAATTCTATGTCAAGGTGATGCTTCACAAATAATATTAATGTCAGAAACAAGTCAAATTCTTTACTTCAGAGAATATTTTTAATTAATTTTTTAATATTTTTATTTTTGAAAAAGACTAAGGGATATTAGTCGAAAGTCTCAATAAATTAAAAATATTCTCTGAAGTAAAGAATTTGACTTGTTTCTGATATATTAACCAGAGAGATGAACTTACATAGAAATATTAATGTCAAAACTTTAATTCATTTTTTCAAATCCAAATACTGACACGCTTTTACGCACACGTGACCTTTTCTCATTTTGCTCATTTTATTCATCCTAAAAATCAGTGAGCCTTAATACATTGTCCGATACTTCTTTAATATATGTCGGGTCTAAAATTGCAGTTTATCATGAAAGAAATCGAACAATTATTATAAAAATAATTATGTGTAAAGGTGATGTTCTTCAGATCATATAAACATCAAAATTGTAATTCATTTATTAAAGTTTAATATCCACATGCTTTACCACACACATAACCCTTTCCCTTTTTTGTTCATTTCATCTATCTTAAAAATCAGTGAGCCTGAACTCATTGCTAAATAATTTTTGATATGAGTCAGCTGCAGGACTAAAATTGCATTTTATCATGGAACAAAACGAGCAATCATTATGAAAATAATTCTGTGTAAAGGTGATGTTCCAAAGACAATATATATGTCAAATTGATAATTCAGTTACTCAAAATGAAATATCCACATGCTTTTACGCACACATGATAATTTTCTGAATGACGCTACAACCGTTTTCGCAGAAAATGTAACAAATGAAGGCATTTTATCGGAACTGATTGATATTTGGTACTTATAAAATATCGTATTTACTTTAACTTTTAAGCGATTCAGACATTTAAAACAACGATGTTGAATAAATGTTAATTTCGCACGAATATAGGGTACAAAATGAGTGAAAGTCTCACGTGTTTGATTGCATTTTACTCCCATTCATGTGCATTTTTCTAACATTAAAATGAGATAGTTCGAAAGAAGAGATCAGTAGAATTCTATCCGTCACTTTCATTTTCAAATGTTTAAATGTTTACCATTTCAATGGACCTCATAAAGATGGTAGCCAACGGACCAGAAACAAGTAGTGCGATGACGTCATATATCGCTACACCACTTTGATATAAAGTTTGGTAAACAACAATGGGTTTTTTCAATGTGCCGTCCTACTGTATATAGGGCGCAATCAGCATTATAACGTCAAAAACGACAAGCGTTACATTTTGTCAAGTTTAGTCAACCTAAAAATAAGATGCTTTATTCTTATTCAATCCTGGTAAAATTAACAGAGCAACAAGATCTCGAGGACAATATTTCTAAAATGTTTTTGATTTTTGAAAAACGGTCTGGAAATCTACTCGGGGCGTTAGTAAAAATTGATATGTATGGGATTTGTGGTAAAAAATCGATGCGTTACATTTTTTCAAGTCTCTAAAAGCAACTCTAATTCTCTTATTATTTGAAAAATAAAGAAATCGGTTATTGTTTTGTAAATTTCGCCATGACAATATTGTGCAGTTAATTTTTTTTTGAAATCAGACCTAAATTAGAAGGTTAAATAAAGGTAAAATTATTGCTTGTCTCCTTCGCCTTCAAAACCTTACACAATTTTGAAAATCTTAAAAGCGTTCATATAAGACGATTTGAACTGTTGCCGCTAGGCAATTGTGACGTCATAAAATCACATGTTTCAATAAATAAAATGTGAAATTTTAGTAAAATTCTGATCAGTATTTCAAAAGTTATCCCGATTTCAACGAACCGTGTAAGCGTGAAATGTTACGCCTTACAGCGTATTTGACGATGTCGGAGTACATTTAACTTCAAAAATATGGTAGATCCTATCACACTTTCCATGGAAAAATAATTTCAGTGAAATGCAAATAAAAAATACTTCAAAATGATATATAATGCACATAGTTAGCTTTTTAAATAAGGCAGATATTAACGCTTAAAGCTGAGATTACCCCGTATTTCCCAAATTGTCCCCAGGTCCGTGCACGTCATATAAGCGTTCGTCATTTATTTGCAAGATGTCACCATAATTTCAGAGTTCCGTTTTTCATTCAACTTTACTATACTCTATTCTAGGGCGCCGTAGTAGGAGGATGGGTCAGCTTAGCGTTCGTACTGTGGATCTCCGCGGGTGCCTTCTCAATCAAATCCACGAAACACATCCTTCCCCCGGCGTCAACTAATGGATGTTATTTTGGGAATATAAGCGATATATGGAATGAAACGAATACAACGCCAGATTATACCCGAGAGTATCAGACTGGTCTTTCAAATATAAGCATCGTTCCAACTGAACAAGTTGCTGTGGAGTAAGACTGCTTTTATCAAACATTTCAACAGTTGGCTTTTGTGTATTAGTTCTGAATTGTGACATTTTATGTGTATGTTAAATGTAACGTATAAAGTGTACGTATGTAAACTTACCTTCCGAGTGGAAGGACTTCTTCAATATACTTTAAAACATGTTTAATTTTGTGATGTTTTGGATCGTATAATTACGTATGATACGACGTCAGATACTGTACCACACGGCATTTTACTGCATTTTTACATGCCTACTTACTTTTAAAACCGCGATATCTCGACAGCAAAATCATTTTTTCTACAATATTTTGCAATTAGTTGAACATATATGTCCATGAAGTATTTTGCCTATTGGGATTCAAAAAATAATAATTTGGAACTTTTTAATTGAGAATCACGCAATCCATATTATGTGACTTTCTACGCTAAAACCGGTTGTGGACTGTAACATTCTGAAGAAAAATGATTTTAATTTTAAACGAAAAATGAAGATAACTTTTTCATTTCTAAACGGATCTTTCTCAAATTTTCACAATATTTGAATTCACCATTTTGAAAAAGACGAACAGATTCCGTGTGATGACGTCATAATATAACAATGCTAACTTAACGCTTATATTTATGCCAAAAAAGTGTGGACAGGCAGAATTTCGTACCAACAAGATATATCTTTTGGTCAATTAAAGTGTGCGCCTGACCCGGCTACGTATAACACAGAGTTTATACTGGCGGATTAGACTAGTTCATTTTTTATATGTGTGTGAAAGCTTTCTCTTATTTGCGTTTTTTCGTTTAGTACGGTTTTGTTATAATTGCCGAGGTCATATAACCGGGATAAAACAATGATTATCGTTGACTGCCCACACACAAAACATACGTTGAGTGAACAGTGTTATTACAAACAACAGGCTTTAGAATACAAAGCGTAGTGTGATAATAAGCTGCACACTACCACACACTACCATACCTAACACCTAGAAATGCATAAGATACTTTGTTTGTCTAATTGGATTGTTTAGTATATTTTTGAAAGTACCTTATCAACATCTAACTTTCAACCGATAAACCATTAATAAGGAACAGACAAATAAAAACAAATATGTAATCATTACTAATAAGCCAAATGGATTGCTCATGAAAGCCAAATGCAAGGTATAGTAGTGTGTACCACTGCTGCATGTACATATTACTAATTTACTAGGGCTCCCAAAGAGTGGATAGGGAGGTTGTGTTTGTCACTTTTAAATTTTACATTTCAAAATTGTCATTTTACATGTCATAATTTGTTGGTTTCATTCGTTTAGCCAATCAAAACATTGTAAAACAATAAATTGTCTGTTACGTACAATCAATTTTGTTCAGTTTTGATTAGTTGTCAGAATAAAGTTACGTTCATCTGAATCCATGTATGAAAACAAAAATCCTATTTTCACTTCAAAATACTTCAGTGAGATGAAGGCTCGGAATTGTCACATGCAATAACTTATTGTCGTATTCGTTATTTTATCTTCTCGATAGTAGCATTTAGTCGCACATTTGATGCCAGGTCACCTTGTCGCGTACCTCTTGGGGAACCCCACATTTATGTGTGTACTCATGGAAGTAAATTCCCCGGTGTAGCCGACAGCCACAAACTTTTCAACAGGTTCGAAATGACCAATTCCTCTCATATATACTCTAAATATTTTATTATTTAGCACCTACAAAGTATTGCTAATAACCATATGTAATTTCAATAAGGAAACTTATCTGGCTACATATAAATTCAATATCAACACTAGCTGTTCTCTCAACACGTCCTGGCTTACCTTGTGGTGACAAACCCTGGGTTTTCGCTATTTATAGTTTATCAACACCTGGACGCATGCGCATTTTATACTTTATCGGGCACTTTAAACATTAAATCGTTTGAAAGCTAAATTATTCCTTTTTGATTCCTTAAAGGCATACCATATTCTACATTTTTATCAAAAAAATATATCATTTCGATTAAAATTCAATCTGTAAGAAGTATAAATTGGAAGAAATATGAAGTGAAGCCATGTGAAAAATTTACAAAATTACGTTTCATTTTTTGTGTTTAAATATTTCTAATTGAGTGATAAACATTCAAAACGTTCCAATGTTTCAACATATTCTTTTAATTATACCCCTTACTATATACAATTAATTTCATTCAATTTGAACCAGTATATATTGAGATAGACATCACTTTATCGTCGCAACCCAAGGTGAAGCCTTTACAAAATAAGACGTTACGCCGTTAGCGTATTATATGTTCTCCTTTATTATTCATTGCTTTTACTAAATAAAACTAAATATTCGAGTTAAAATAAATAACAAATAATGTATTTAACAATCCTCAATATTTTCCCGTCTGTGTATATCAGTTGAATATGACAAGGGGCTCTGTGAAAGAATCTAGAATGACGGTGCGACAACGAGAGTGCGGGGCCGAAAAGCGCGACAAAAAAGAAAACAGGTATTGTTTGAAATGTCTACTTTCTGGTGATTCTAATTCTGTATATCGTGACACAACCTTTTTGAATATAGAATTGTATTGAAGCCCACATTAATCTGAACTAAACTTGAAATTTTTAAGAAGATTCCACGAATATTAAAACTTTTGCAATAACTTTGAGGAGCATTGGGCGTATTTATCGCGTAAATCTTCGCATTTTTGTCGGTAAAATGGACAATTACAATGTTACGCCGTGATGTACAGTATCTGACGTCGTATCGTATACATGGTTTACCTTTTGCTTTATCTAACATGCATATCCAATATTATATTTTCCAGGGGACCCTTGTACAAGTTTTACTCAATTTCTTACACCTGGTATGGGTTAATCGGGATTATTGTAGCGTTTACAACTGGGATGCTTGTGAGCTTGATAACAGGTATAACCTGTATTTCTGATAGTTAAATTAGACATGATATAACAGTTTTTTAAGCAGATCAGGCATTATATAATACCACTGTTTCAAGCAGTTTAACTTGATTCAATACCACTATTCTAAACAGTTCATGTACCATCTTATATCAGATATTCAAACAGATAAGGTTCCCTGACTATACATACATGTACATCGAGTTTATTTTCCATGATTGCTTAGTTATATGTTTATAACAAATGATATCATCATATTACTTAAAAAGTAGGCACAAGTTAAAATGATGTTCTTTTATTACTAGTATATATTTTTGTCAGGAAATGTTCCATGTCCCTCGTTTCATCGTTTGTCACATGTTTTTAGGATTGAGTGATAAAGACGATGTTGATGAGGAGACGTATATTAAATGGCCGGATTTAGTTTTCTGTTGCCTTCCCGAATCATGCAGGGCGAGATTATGGAGTAAGATTACGGTAAGTTTAATTACATAATATGAAATATATATGTTATAATATGCTATTTGAGTATGATACCCCGGTGCTGTTTAGAATAGCTTTAACTGTTAAAGGACTTAAATTAGAAGTGAAGGGTTACCTGCAAATAATTAACCCATTGCATGGAGTAGATAATTATCTTTGTTATAACGAAACAAATGAGTTTGAAAATATTTTTTGAACTTTTTTTCGTGTCTTCATAAAAAATAGAATGCTTCCCACGGCGGACACGTCTTATATATTAGTACATGTATCTATAATTAATGTATAATACTCTCGAACATGTCACTTTAAAATATGTTTTTGTTTTTTACTAGGGCTCGCAAAACCTTGATAACAAAGATGGAGATCCTTATGGTCTCAAGGAGAACGCAGAACCTGTTGAAATGGAGAGTCTAGTGGCACAGAATGGAATCAAAACTTGAAAGCGAAAAAAACATTAAAACCAAACAACACGAATAGATCGATCGTAACAATGCATTTAAAACATATTTAAATAATCCAATGTGCATTGAAAATGGAACAAGAATTGTTCAGTGTAATGTACTGCTTGTTGTGTTGTGTAAGGCTGCATAAATTCAATAATTCTAAATCTAGAATTCAATAATTATAGAATCTTGGTCAAGTTTTTTAATAAAATGTCATTGCAAGAGTGACAAAAGCACAGCCGACTTGTACTTATTTATTTAGTACTGGTACTTTCACACCAACGGCGCTTTGATGGCGCTTTAAAGCGGCTTGTAAAGCGGCACCAAAGCGTAACAAAGCTTAATTAAAGCGTCGGGGTCGTAATAGGTCGTAGAAAAGCTCGGGAGTAAAGCGGGATATTCGGCAAGAGCGCTAAAAAATTTAAACTGTTTAAGCGTCCGCACCAACGGCGCTTTGATGGCGCTTTAAAGCGGATTGTAAAGCGGCACCAAAGCGTAACAAAGCTTGATTAAAGCGTCGGGATCGTAATAGGTCGTAGAAAAGTTCAGAGTAAAGCGGGATATTCGGCAAGAGCGCCAAAAAATGTTAAACTGTTTAAAAATTTTGGGCGCTATGTTACGAATTGATTGAAGCGCCGAGAGCGTATCAAAGCTTAACAAACCGTAACAAAGCTCAACAAAGCTTGACTCAAAGCGTAGGAAAGCTTAACACAGCTTGGTTCAAAGCGGGGACCCCAGTCTATTCACGGTCTGTTACCACTTGACACGCTTCGTTAAGATGTCTCAAGATTTGCTACGATCTGGCATGAAGATCTGACACGAGGTCAGACGCTTTCATCAATATCTGACACTCTTTGTTACACTTTCCTGAGGGACTCTCAAGCTTTCCAACGAATTGAGACGCTTTAATCAAGGATTGAAACGCTTTGCTAGGCTTTGTTGCGCTTGAAAGTTTTCACACGCTATATCACGCCGTGCGACAAACGTCATGTCTTCTTCAGATAGGTCATGCTCTGGTCCATCTGGAATTTCTGGATCTCGTTGTTCTGCCATCGTGTTCTCGAGTCAAAGATGCAATGGTTTTATGGATCTACTGCATCTTTATATAGTCATTGGATCAAAAGCGGCATGGAATCGGCGATCTCGACATTTTCCAATGCGTGACAGAGCTTAACAGAGCGTAACAATGCACAACAGAGTTTTGCAATCGTATCAGAGCCTGATTTAAAGCGTCATAATCGCATCAAAGCGTAATAATGCTTATCAAAGCTTTTCAAATCGTGATTTCAAGCGTAACAAAGCCTGATCAAAGCGGGATCAAAGCGTGAGGAACCTTTTAGAGCTATGTTAAGCTTTCCTACGCTTTGGATCAAGTTTTTCTGAGCTTTGTTACGGTTTGTTAAGCTTTGATACGCTCTCGGCGCTTAATCGATTCGTAACAGAGCGCCCAAAATTTTTTAAGAGTTTAAAATTATTTGGCGCTCTTGCCGAATATCCCGTTTTACTCTGAGCTTTTCTACGACCTATTACGACCCCGACGCTTTAATCAAACTTTGTTACGCTTTGGTGCCGCTTTACAAGCCGCTTTAAAGCGCCATCAAAGCGCCGTTGGTATGAAGAAAAATGACAAAAATGACGGCGCTTTGCTCGCCGATTTAAAGCGTGGCATTCGCCGTTGGTGTGAACGTACCTTTAGCTATAATAGCAAACACATTTGAATAAGAGAATGGTAAAAAGGGTGTGTGATATTGCCTTGCGAGTTCAGTAGACTTGAATCAACCTAATATATAACCCCCCTATCACACCAAACTGTTCTTGCCAGTCCTACGAAAACGTCGTAAAACGGGCTCAATCTGGCTGTGGTCGGGAAATATGTCTAAAATAATTAGCTATTTCGTTCATAAACAGTCTTCAATACGTCCATGTCATTCGCAGTTCGTTCAGGTCGCACCACGTCGGTGCGCAACGTCGTATAACGCGTCCCTTAGTCTAGAAGGTCATCATGACCTGCTTACAGAACGGTATGGTCGCCATCGAATTTTGAATCGATTCAAAATTCTAAATCACATTCCCCGTCCGGGAAAGCCCATGGAGTTCGTAAACAGACCGTAGAACGTTGTAGCTACGTTCATTCCGTTCGCACACAGTTTACAACCAGTTTTGAAGAACGCAGTGGCAACTTGCTTGGTGCGATAGCTATATCGTTTAGTCGATAGTAGGTTGTCACTCGTTCTAATTGTAGAACGTGACGACCAAGAGAACATTTTGAGCATGTTCTAAGTTCTAGAGGACCTACCCGTTCGAGTACGTTCGATGAAGTTTGTAAATAGACCCCAAACGGTTCTAAGTACGTCCAGTCCGTTCGTACACAGTTGAAGCCCGTTTTCGAGAACGTAGTGAGAACTAGTTTGGTGTGATAGAAGGGTAAGGACTCAATAAGTTGTTGGTAATTTATTGTTTGCGGTTTAAAACGAGGTATGTAGCCCAAATTTATCCAAGATACGATTGTAGAATCTAGGAGTTTAAGAGGTGCCAGTCAAATTACATAAATATTTATAAGCACCTCCACGTATAATCATTTGACACAATATCATATTTTTCATCCAATTACAAAATAGGCATGATCTGGACTGAGGTGAGCAAAAATGTCACGTGACTCAACTCCAAAAGAGCTTCCCCTATACATTTATATCATGAAATCCTTTATCTTAAGATTCTCTCCAGATTACAAATCCAATTACATGTACAAGATAGCATTATCTTATTTTCACCACAAATCACGTTTGGTATACAGATTATATTGTTGTCATCGGTAAGGCATATATGAACCAGTGAAAGATGATGTCAGATCTGGGTGCATGAGTCCATCCGACGGGCGATTAGGGAAAGTTGCTGCTGCTGCTGCTTGAGATGAGAGGTCCATGTATCCACCACCATAGTGCGCTAAAGGAATTGAAGACCCTGAAGAGCAAGGAAAATTATATATGAACTAAGTATGGTGACATATTTTACATCATTTTAGACTATAAGTTATTGAATGGTTTAAGGAGCGATATTGGATATATTGTGCTCGAGAAAGTATGTATTGAAACGAGACGAGTGCAAGTATAGAATATCGAGAGCACAATATATCCTGTGTTGCACTTTAAATTATTCTATAACGTTTTTATCGTGTGATCTTAGGCCGATACATTTTACTTAGGAGATAACTCCTAGGAAATATTCTGTATTTTCTATATTGCTACACTGATAGTAGAGAGCTTCCCACATAAGTTTTCAGGCAAACTTATAATGAAACTTTAACTATTAAATGACGTAAACAGCCTAAGGTTTCTCAAAGAAACCAGGAAAGTATATTTCATTAGAAAAAATTTCCTCGTTTCCTAATCGAGAGAATACTTTCATACTTTCTTTTGTACCAGAAAATAACATGTGCAAGTATAGCAATTGTTTCCCAAAATGTTATTTTCCAGCTGAACCTAAATGAGTACTATAGGCTTTCGGTTTTAAAATTCATAGAAAATGATATCAATGGGATGCTGCATAATACTTTTTATTACCAGGCAATGTGTCATGTGGTCTAGAGTAAAACTGCCGACTTGGTGGTTCCATCGGGTTCCTGGCAAACTCTGTAGTTGAATATGGCATGTTCCTGAACATAGACACTGTTTTATCATATGAATATCCCGAATAAGCCGTGTATGGGTCACCAAAATGTCCCGGATGACCTCGATTTGGATCAGGCCAAAGTGAGGCTCCTCCAGTAGCAGAAGACATATTAAAATTAGGAGTCAATGGTGAAGTAGGAAAAGTTTGATTCATGTCTGGTAATTGAGACACTCTGCTTGCAGCGAGTGAGTTGCTTGCATTGTTGAAATCTGGATAAGATGAGAAATGACTGAAGAATGCCCCACCATTGATTGAGGCATATGGTTTTATTGGTGAGATTGGGCCCAATGTGGGACCGACTGTTAATGGAGTTGGTAGTGAACATTGTGATTGTGTTGACTTTGGCAGTTTAAGTTCGGATACAGCATTGTCATTATTTGTTTGACCAGATATATTGCAGGAACTTGTTGTAGGACGACTAAAAGCTGTTAACTCAGAGGTACCAATTGTTACATGTCTATGTTCGGATATATTCTGCAAGGAATCATCTGAAATTAAACAAAAACGTTTCTCATTCCACTGCTTAAGCACATGCATATCAAAGTTGAATATATTTGTCAAGTATGCTGTGTAATAGTGATTCTCGAGCATCTTATAATTTAGTCACAAGTATTTCTTTGATATTGTTTTAGCATTTGACTCAATACTATTATGTATATGAGTATTACAAGGATCTATATTAGTCCCTTTATCATTCATATTGAGAATGATGTTGCTGATGAAAATATTTGAACCACATATTGTAGGGTACCGAACAGAATTGACAAGTCACTTAAATAGTTTCAAAGTTCGCAAGGGAGAACTCATTTTTTGCAATAAAGCTTAACTTCTAGTATAAAGTATTTTTGTGAGATAAGTAATGTCTTGGAATGTTTGAACATTACCTTCCTCAAACGGGTTTTTCATGTCTGCACTCTTTGACTTGTTCTTCTGCTGTGCGGCGGAACCCTTGGATGATCTCGATGTTGCTTGTAACTGAATTTTATCTAAAAATGTAGAGTAACCACAATAACATTTGAAAATATAGTAATTGCCATTAACTTTCCACGTAGCCAAAATATTTGCATTGATACACATAGATGTATGATTGTAAGCGGTGGTCGTTTTCTCAGCCTTTGTGACATTTAATCTGATTGATTGCATCAAACATTGCATCAACGGATTGGCGAATCTAATTTGTTAATGACAATTAAATTATGGTGATGTTAAGATTTTAGTACATTGTCTTTCAGGTGCCTGGATTGCTTTCAAATTATACAAAATGAACTCTACTAGGCATTTGGCTATTGAAAAGAATATCGCATTTGATAAAATATAAATACCTGTATTTTTCATAAATTTTTGAATACTTGATTTGAAATCTCGTTCTCTTTGTAAACTTTGTTGGGTTTCCATCACGAGGAATACATACTCATCAAGCATCATATGCAGCAGGTGAAATGGCCCTGGAGAAGACAGAACTGGCAAGTTAACATACACTTTACAGATAAAATGACCCTGGAAAAGATAAAATTGGCAAGTTAACATACACTTTGCAGATGAAATGGCCCTGTAGAAGACAAAAGTGGCAAGTTAACATACACTTTACAGATAAAATGACCCTGGAAAAGATAAAATTGGCAAGTTAACATACACTTTGCAGATGAAATGGCCCTGTAGAAGACAAAAGTGGCAAGTTAACATACACTTTACAGATAAAATGACCCTGGAAAAGATAAAATTGGCAAGTTAACATACACTTTGCAGATGAAATGGCCCTGTAGAAGACAAAAGTGGCAAGTTAACATACACTTTACAGATAAAATGACCCTGGAAAAGATAAAATTGGCAAGTTAACATACACTTTGCAGATGAAATGGCCCTGTAGAAGACAAAAGTGGCAAGTTAACATACACTTTACAGATAAAATGACCCTGGAAAAGATAAAATTGGCAAGTTAACATACACTTTGCAGATGAAATGGCCCTGTAGAAGACATAAGCGGCAAGTTAACATACACTTTACAGATAAAATGACCCTGGAAAAGATAAAATTGGCAAGTTAACATACACTTTGCAGATGAAATGACCCTGTAGAAGACAAAATTGGCAAGTTAACATACACTTTGCAGATGAAATGACCCTGTAGAAGACAAAAGTGGCAAGTTAACATACACTTTACAGATAAAATGACCCTGGAAAAGATAAAATTGGCAAGTTAACATACACTTTGCAGATGAAATGACCCTGTAGAAGTCAAAATTGGCAAGTTAACATACACTTTACAGATGAAATGACCCTGCAAAATACAAAAACTGGCAAGTTAACATTCACTTTACAAACATTGAAACAAAAACTAGGATTTTTATATCGGTTTTGGGAAACATGTGTAAAAGTCTTAGACAGAAAATATGGCTTTAATTTGAGCTATAATTAATTATATGAATTGCCTATTTACAATTTTATTGATGATTTACTCGTGAATGTAAATGTCATAATACGTACGTCATAGATTCAAAATAATCTAGTCACAATTCAATTATATTAAAGCTTAATTGTCCATTTAGGAGGTCATGATAATTACGATCAGAGATACTGTAGTTTGTCCGCTGTAATAAGGTGAGTATCAAAACAATATAGACCTCTCCTCCTTTATCACTACCGACACATGAATTATCCCATTGCTTTCATAATGTAATTGACAAGTCACATTACAAAGAAACAATAAACGTTGATGTATGACCTAGGTTGATCATTTGATGTGCACTTTGAAATCAGAGCCACATGGACATTAATGTATAGGTATGGTCGATGAAAGGGTGAACGTTGATGTGTAATGGGATTCGATTCAAATTAATTGCAAGAGGTGCACTCCACTAACGGGTGTTTCAAACAAAGAAATGGTATGATCAGATCGATTTATTTGTTCCTAATGTAGTTTGATTACTGAAATAAACAAAATATCATGCCATCTTACATCTTATGAAACGTGAACATTACGTGATATTAGAAAAAGTGATCAAAATATCTTATTTCTTATGACAAAAACAGAGTTCTTTTACTAAAAGCAACAGTACGAAGATAGTAGTTGTGTTAAAACATGGATGAATCCAATATGACTATTGCCGAAATAAGGAGAAGTCAGATCTATACGATAGATTGCAAATTTGACCTCCGGAAACAGGAACTACCGATCATTTTGATCATTACACTTATGGCAAATATAGTGTCAGTTCTAGGATTATTCAACATGCCTACTAAAGAGAGAACCATCAACCAGATGATGGTGAAGATTCTAGCTGTAAATGATTTGGTCACGACTGTATCAATACTAGCACAATGGGTCGCCAATGTCAGTAATTGTAGGGTATTTGGGGGTCAACACCATGCACGATTTAGTTGTTTTTTTCACTGCACCATACCTGCCTTCCTTCCATAGTCCTTCTACTATGTATTTGTCCTCGTGATATAGAGAGCCTTACTTACATTTTACATTTGACATTCTATATTCAAACATCTTTAAAATCAGAACATCTTGCTGAAAATTTAATATAATTTCAAATTTAATGCAAATTATCTATATCTTGAGATTTGAGACATATTCTTTTTTAGTAAAAGTTGGCAATTAATAATACATATTCATATGGGGTGGATCCTCGTTCTAAATGTTGTTTGTCTTGAGCAGAATTGTAATTGGAGAAAATGTCTATATTATTGGAATAAAGGGAATTCTTTTAGCAGATCATTTAAGATAATGGCTCTCAAATTGATCAAATGATATTGTGATTCACTTGACAAAAGGGCATACCACTTATTGTGTATTTAGACAAAGGACCATTAGGCTAAATGCATTATTTTTTAACAGAAACAACAATGGTACCATGATCAATGAGGACAATTATCCTTTCCAAAGCAGTCTTAAATAGCTCTTGATAACGTATAATTATCAAACTACGCAAGGAGCGAATGGTCAGCAGGTAAAGTTTATACTTAAACATGGATGAATCCAATATGACAATTGCCGAAATAAGGAGAGGTCAAATTTATACGATCGATTGCAAATTTGACCTCCGTGAGCAAGAACTACCGATCATTTTGATCATTACACTTATGGCAAATATAGTGTCAGTTCTAGGATTATTCAATATGCCTACTAAAGAGAGTACCATAAACCAGATGATGGTGAAGATTCTAGCTGTAAGCGATCTGGTCACAACTGTATTTATACTTGCACAGTGGGTCGCCAATGTCAGTAATTGTAGGGTATTTGGAGGTCAACTCGGATGCACCATTACTGGCTGGATCACAAGCACACTGGTGATATGGTCAGCTGCAGTAGTGACAACTATGAATCTTTGTAGGTACATGTCCGTGTCAAAACCAATATTTTACAGACACTCTGTCACGAAGAAGAAAATTTTGATAAGCCTCTGTGGAAGCTTTGTGTGGATATTATTCGAAATGTCCCTACCGTTATATGGAATTGCAGGTCCATTTCGGTTTTATGCAGGAAATAAGATCTGTTCTTACGACTTCTCTGCGGGAAACTATGGAATGTTTCATAGAGTTACGGTTGGATTTCTAGGAGCATATGGCATTGGAACTATCATTATAGTCATATACTGCAATATCAGCATAGTATATCAAGTAAGTACTTCTTGAATACAACAACTCATGTAAGAAAAAGCATTGGTTGATAGTCTAGAACGTAGTAGTACATGTAAGTAAATCTCATTTCCGAGTTTGCCATTCATTTACAGGTCAACCAGCGTAAACGGAATAATAAACCAGCAACAACTGCAACGCAGGGCTCTCAAAGAAATGAAACTGCGTCTGTCTCTCGAACAACTGCAGCAGTAGCAGGAGCTTACACAATATGTTATGGACCATTTTTAGTAAGTTGCGTGTACTAAAGTAACATCGATCATTGCCCTCTTAAATATCCTTGACCAAATTCACAACACATAATTTCCTGAACAATTAGCGATCCAAATCGAGGCTATATTGCAAAGTGAAGCTTCCTTTGTGTAATTATTTACGATTCTAAGGCTTGATTATAACAGAAGATTGAGAATTGTTGTAAATGTCCATAATTCACTTTAATTTTGTTTTAACTCAGAGTGTACAGGATAATTACAGTTTCCAACATGACTTCCTTAATTTCTTTCTAGGTCCGATTGGTGATTGATTCGATAATAAATGAGAAAACCGTCTCCGGGATTGAAGACACGATCTCAACGGCTTTAGTTTTCATCAACCCGCTTGTAAATCCAATCGTTTATATTTTTTTCAATAAACAATATAGACAATACCTCGTCTCAAAGTTATGCAGTTGTTGTTTAAAGAAAAATGACGTAACACCAATGACGAATGTTACCACGAACACAAATAGTGAAACGGTGTAACTAACGTCATCTGTGAAAAAGAGTTGGCAATTGATATGAAGGATGTATTTATCTTCATGGGGCATTATCGAAAGATTTGTCCACCGTTGGGGACGCTAGGAGTAAAAATAAAGCTGTTGAACGTGTCAATTTGGAAAGGGGGTTTGACATTTTCTCTCCTCCAAAATGTAGTTTGGAAAAACTAAATACTGTATATAACTTAAAAATAATTTGTGAAGTTTTCTTATTGTGTTCTATGAAAAATAGCATGCTCCCAACGGTGGACAAATCTTTTGATGACACTCCGTGATCCTAGGTTATTTTATATTGTATTTATTTATCATTGCATTTGTTTGTGTATGTAATTTTGCAAAAAAAGAATTTTATTAATAAATCTACCTGAACTGATGAAAGAGAAAAAGTATTAGTTTTATTTTGTTGTTTATCTTAAAAGGCTCGGTGTCTTTTTCCGTTCATAAACGAATAATTATATTTCTAATATGGAGAGCTTACTAGCTTGATCAGGTATCGCAATTGTAAGGGAAACATTGATAATTCGGATTCTGAATCCTCTTAAAATCAGCGATGTGCCTAATTAAGGTAAAGCTACTAGCTGATGCAAATGCTTCCCTTAACTTACAGTGAAGAATGATAGAATAACGTATTATCAGGAGAAAAATAATGAATTGAAATCTTTGAATAAACGAATGCTAAAATTAGCATTCATTAAGACTTAATTTCATTGTAAAATTTTATTAAGTTGTTATTCCCTAAAAATTCAAAATACTAGAAGATAGATGACGAAAGGATATCACATGCAATCTTCATGAATATATATAAATAAAATAGTCCATCGCTAAATGTCATCGAGCAATCAAATATCAATACAGCTTGCACGAACAAACAAAGAACACATAGATACGTTGTTAAATATGATGATCAGGCCTACCATTAATACTTATAGACTATGGGTGAAAAGAAGTACCATAGTACTTTTAGGAATAATTTTGTAAAGCGTGGACAAGAGAGAGGCATACTTCAGGCATTTATGATTTTTCTATCTTTCTTTTTCGTTTCGTCACTTAAAATGATTGAAGCCAAATGGCATTAATGGGAAACGAAGCGAAGAAGTTAAATGCGGATGCTGGTTGAACAGAATAAAGCAGAGATTAACTAACAATTGCTCACTCCTCATCGGGGGATTATTTCGAGAATCTGAACAAACGACTTTCGTACTTAATTATACGGCACATTAGCTGTAGAGATCCTGGAAAGAGCAGGCACAGTAGTCTGTCAATATGGCAAATGGAACAACGAATGCCACACATAAATGTATGGTTGATATTACAGAACAGGAAGTTATATTTATCATTGTGGTGACATTAATAATGGACCTAACAGCCTTGGCGATTCTTCATAAAATGCCGGGGAAGAAGCAGAGTGTGAACCATTTCTTGGTGAAGACGTTAGCGTGGAATGACTTCGTGAGTACGTTGATGTTATTTTCGATGTGGCTGGTGTCGAGCATCCAGTGTGGGCCAGTTGGAGGGTACTATGGTTGCATGCTCATGGGCTGGATGAGCACAACATCAACGATATGGTCAGCGTGGATAGTGACGATTATGACGTTTTGTAGGTACATCTCAGTGAAATACCCAATCACTTACCAACAGAAATTTACAATCAGCAAAGTGGCGGGGATTCTAGGATTCACATGGGCACTGACGCTTGCTCAGCTGTCGTTGCCATTGTTCGGAGCCGCCGCTCCGTATAGATACTACGATGAGAATAAGATATGTTCGTATGAGTTTGCTCCGGGAAGGTTCACCGATGTCCATGCAGTAACAGTTGCAATGATAGGGTCGGTTGGGCTGCTAACAGTGGTCTTTGTCATATACTGTAACACTGTTCTCATAATAAAGGTGAGTAAGATAACAAAGAGAACCACACCCTTCCCCCTCTCTGAATGAAAGAATTGAACCGAAAAATTATAGGAATATGATTTAATAAAAATTCAGTAAGACTGATATTTTTTTAAATATTCTGATTAACAGACGCGTTATGTTACTGATTTGTACAATAACGTTATGGGAGATGAAAGGAATGTTCTCGTAACATGCAATTCACCTCATATTGCCTAAAGCGAGAGAAGAATGTGTTGGATCGTGATGTCCACACTTGTTATAGCCTATTATGATCGATTCAAAGCCGGATATCGACACTCCCCTTTCTGGCTTCCCGTTCTCTGCCATTGTTAAAAAGAACATAGATGTCGTTCACTTGATACTGACAAGCGAAGTGTGTTTAATTTTTTCGTAATTGAAGTCATAGTTGTAAGGTTTTATTTTTTATCAACACATCAATTATTTACGAAAATATCCCAATTCAGTTAAAATGAATGAAAACGTGATAATACAGCCACTCATTCTTGCCATTTTATCATTTAACAGCACGAAGCATTAAGTTACAATCGATTTTACAGTCACGAGGAAAATGGATGGTAATCATATTCAAAAGGAATCAGCATGTACAGGGTGGGCCAAAAAAACGCCACTTTTTTTCAAAATGCTTTAACTTTTTTAATTTGGATACAAAATCATAATTTGCATACCAAATGAAACTTGAGGTTGTTATCTAGCCACGGATCATGAATTATACACTTTTACTTGAATAAAATATGTCACCAGAGTCTCACTTAAACATGTGGTGTGCCATGAGAAATAAGCATAATTTGCAAAATAATCCTGAACTGATACGGCCTGATGACCGCCAAGTTAATAGCCCCGATGCAAACCCCAGTGAGTATAGGGTACCGGGAGGTCTCCAGGAGATGGTTTGAAGGCACCCAATCTAAAAAATTGCTCAACTAAAGCTGGCAATTAAGACATGTTGAAAGAAATGTAGCTAACATTTCATTGATACTGCTATATCAGCAAGGCGACTTAAACTAAGATCTATCATCAAATAGGATGGCGTATCAATTGAACTCCTCTTTTAGATCAAATATAATCCAAGTTGAAGGATTTGGTACATTATATTATTACTAAGAACCCTTGACACTATATAACTGCAAAATTTGGTGTATGTAGGTTGGAAAATAAAAAAGTTATAGTGTCTTGAAAAAAAAGTGGCGTTTTTTTGGCCCACCCTATTGTATTAGTATTTTACTATAAAAATCGCACGGTCATTTATTATATACAGTAAAGGGTTCTAATCATATGTTCCTTTTTATTGAAATCAGAAATAGGACACTCTGATTTACTTACAATTATAAAAGATAACCTATATCAAATGCTAAAGAATTCGATTCCATTTTCCTAAAATCGCAGATGAATCTTGAACATTTCACTAATGGTGCTGACTGAATGAATGGTGTCCTTTGACACAATCTGCTATACTATTGATGTAACTCTTAACAAGATTCTCCGATCCATTAGGCGTTAATAATATAAAGAGCTGCTAATTGCTTCTGGGACAAAGGCCTCTCTATTCATCGATATTACGACTAAGTCGGGGACTTACCTTGCATTCGCGAATGCAACTAACGCCCATCGGCTACCGGATTAACCTGCTTTTTCGTTTAAATATGAGTATTACCGAAATATAGACGTGTCGCAAAAAGGTGGCGCATTTGTTTTTTAAGGGTATCGCGTGAATGTAACTTTGATTCCCCGGATTATAAGATAATATTCTAATTAAAGTTATATATCATTTTAAAGCTGTTTTGATGAAGTTTTTAGATCAACTACACTCCGTTCACGATTCTTGCGCGTTATTTTTTAAAAAAGAGTTTTTTACCAAAACATCTGGCAAATATCCCCTGTTGACACGTTACATTTTGAATTATTTTCCGTCTTTAAACGCTCATAACTCAAACAGTATATGACTATTATACTTATTTTTCGTTTTGATAAAGGTAGATGGAAGTGTTATTTCAAAGGATGAATTTCAATAAGCGTCCCATATTGTGACGTCATAGAGTTTGAAAAATAGAATCTGTTGACAGCGACCTTTTTTGCTCATTTTTTGTTACCTTCAACTTTTCAGGTGTACATTAAACAAAAAACACGAGATCAATTTTTAATAAATCATACATGATTATTTTGCTTGCTTGATTATTTTCAAGCAAAGCAACACGTATATTTATTTCACCTAAAATATCAATTGATTCGTGTTTTATGATGCTCCTATCCCATTGTTAATACATATACGATATCAGAGTTATTCGCCTTAAATATTTTGAGATATAGAGGCAAATGTGGAGGACGAAAGGATTTCCATATATGTACATTTTTCTCAAAAAACGTCACATTCTGTGGTGTTAAAAAGCGAAAATGTGTAACAATGCATGCGCGACCTTTTTGCGACACGTCACAGCATTTGAGATCTCAACTAATGTAGGATCATAAAATGTTTTACCTCATTCTGATAATCAGACCATCTCTGCAATGCACAAGAATTCTAGAAAGGAAACTGAGAGAAGGCTGTGATATCTCACGATGGTTTTACCTTTGTGTCTGATAAGTTTACAATAGCATTTGCTGTCCATGATGAATAATTGACGACGACAAATGTACTGATCATAACACGTGCCATCAAATCAAGAAAGATAATAAGAGTATGTTAAGCTGATCGTAAAACAGAAAAATGTGATGAGTACCAGAATGTACAGTTTCATATATAATGAAATTTTCATGCTCACGAACTTGACAAAATTTTTTAAAAAGTTAAAAAATGCGTTTTCACTCTTATCGACTTGCCTTCGCTTTTTTAGATGCAACAGAGAAAGAAGATCCATGCGCGCAATGTAAAAGATGGTATAACACATGCGAACGCCAATAAAGAGCCAAACAATACGTTCGCTAGAGTTACCATAGTTCTTGCGGCTGGATACACGGTATGCTACGGACCATTTTCGGTAAGCAAGACATATATCCAGGAAGTATATGGGTTTATCATAGACTTAACCTAATTGTTGTATTGTATTGTATCCTTTAATTAAAGCATTCGAAATGATTCCAATGAATAGAATATAGGCTTGAATGTGTCCCTCTTTATCCAACAGAAGCTGCTCTCGGATATAATAGAGGCCGTCGAGCCCACAAGTAATTGAAGCTATCTTTCAAAGAAGAAAATGAAACTATTGGAAAATATGATTCTTCTGATCATAGAACACTACTTTTTGTATTTTCCGATTGCAGGTGCGGTTGTTAATAGATACAGCTAACAAGGCAAAGACTGTCAACTCACTGTGGCATACTATTTCCCTGTCGCTTGTCCTGCTCAATCCGCTACTCAACCCAATCATTTATGTCATATTTAACAAAAATTATAGAAAATACTGCAGGCGATGCCTCGTGAAGCCATGCAGGAAATCAAATACTGTGATTTCAGCAAAAGAAAATGTTTCATCCAGATGAGTGCAGTGCCCATCATTGTAATGTAGCTATAGCCATACTTAACGTTGGAAACGATTTGGGTTGAACCATTCGGCGAGTTGAGTCCGACCACAAGCCCAGCATTGGCCGAATAGACATTCTATATTAATTAAACATTTGGAATTGTTTGAAGTCATCTCATGATATCTAAGTTTGGAAACTCCAAAATAGACAATTTAGATATTTTAATTATGTAACCCCCCCTATCACACCAAACTAGTTCTTACCCGTTCTTGCCAGTCCTACGAAAACGTCGTAAAACGGGCTCAATCTGGCTGTGGTCGGGAAATATGTCTGAAATAATTAGCTTCTTCGTTCTTAAACAGTCTTCAATACGTCTTTCTCGTTCGCAGTTCGTTCAGGTCGCACCACGTCGGTGTGCAACGTAGTAGAACGCGTCCCTTAGTCTAGAAGGTCAACATGACCTGATTACAGAACGTTATGGTCGCCATCGAATTTTGAATCGATTCAAAATTATAAAATCACATTCCCGTCTGGGAACGATCATAAAGTTCGTAAATAGACCTTAGAAAGTTGCAGCTACGTTCATTCCGTTCGCACACAGTTTTGAAGAACGCAGTGGCAACTTGTTTGGTGTGATAGCTATATTTTTGCTAACTCGTTCATAAGCAGTGTTAAATACGTTCTCAATCAGTTTAAACCCGTATGCAATTAGTTCTACCTCGTTCTCAACACGTCCTCAGACAATTCAACTCGTTGTTGAAACGTCCCTAGTAGGGTTGAAGTACGACGGTTCCGTTCGTAGTACGTCCAGCTCGTCGTTAGTACGTTGTCACTCGTTCTAATTGTAGAACGTGACTACCACGAGAACATTTTGAGCATTGTCTAAGTTCTAGAGGACCTACCCGTTCGAGTACGTTCGATGAAGTTTGTTAATAGATCCCAAACGGTTCTTAGTAGGTCCAGTCCGTTCGTACACAGTTGAAGCCCGTTTTTGAGAACGTAGTGAGAACTAGTTTGGTGTGATAGTAGGGTAAGACTACCACGCTGACACTCCCCCTCCCCTCCGCCACCCCCATTACAAATGAAGCACATTGACGTCGATCCGTTGATAACATTGGCTTTATATAAGACAATTGGATCAAACTAGACAGTTTTTATATTTACGAGTAGCATTGGTACCCAGGAATTACATCAATGCGTAGAAATGTTGAGTTTTGAGAGGCAATCAAGACACAAACTGTCACACACTGTTGTTGAAGTACCCTGCACGTAGAGTCTAGTCTCTTTTAGAAGTTAAGTCGAACGATTACAAAGGGTGCTAACCATTGGTATCGTGTCATCATCAGATTTAATTATTCATGGTTTATCTGTGTATGACGGTTTAATTTTCAAACGCTTCAAATAGAAATTAATTTCATAAAATATATGAAGTGCACCATTGTGAACCATTGAATTATTGTGTATGCTTTCAGTCAATCACATAAACTAACTTCAAAGACTTGAGAGTAGTCACGAATAATAACAAGATGGTCAATATCTAAGTATTTGCCGTTTTACGGTCCCTTGAGCTGGCTGCTGTGACCGTTTGCGACCCATGATTAGGTGACATGAGGTCAAGGTCAACATTTATGGATCAAGGTCATTCTAAGGTCAAAGTTCTACATACATTTAGTAGTTGGCATTTTGAGTCGCATTATGGCTGCTGTGACCCCTGGTGGCCTGAAGTCAAAGTCAACTTTTATGGGTCAATAATATGCTCTTGGAATGAATAGACGTTTTGAACAAAAGGAGCCATTTAACTGTTTTGAACCTGTCTGTACACATTATATCTTAGAAATGACTTACCGAAGCTTGGGGCACTATGGAGGGTCAGATCTCGAACAACCAACGAACCGAATATTGACCATCTCAATAGAAACGTGGACGCAAGTGTCTCGAATGATAACGATTTTTCCTGGCATACCTATAATTGAAAATCACCTAAAATTACCTGATATACCTCAAACGGAACCAATATATATGGCTTGATGTATGTATTTATCATTTGTCGATTTATTGTGAATCCTTTTCAGTCACTATTAAAAACCCACATATAGCAAGTCAAGGTGTGTCCGATTCCAACCAATCCAAACACAGTACTCTATATAACTGCACTGCATTGTATAACCAACAAACCATCCAAGGTCATTTGTTGAATTTGTTAAAAAAATATTTTCAAATGGATGGAAGCAGGTTTGCAGAACTACATGAGGAATTCATCCTTCTATATTTTGAATACTCACTTGCAAGACAAATCTATCTACGATGGTATCCATCCATTCAGTGAATCCTTCAATTGAAGACTGTTTCCTCAATAACTCCTTAAAGTCATCGTAATCTAAATGAAAATACGACCGTTTATTATGAGACAAGGACTATCAAAACTAACGAACACTCAACTATGACAGGTAAGTAATTCGTATCAAACGTTCATGTTTAAAAGTCCATCAAATTAAAATCACAAATCGATCGTTTGTTTTGGAATCAGGAGGAGAGGCTGGTCCACTTACTAAATCATTGGTAAGCCACACCCTCTCCATCTGATCTGCGATGCAACATAGAAAGATGCTATGAGTATCAGAATGCACTTACTATAAAATGACAGCAGAAGATAAGCAATCACTAACAGAGATAATACAATTCCAAGTATACACTTACAATTTTCAATGTGTTTCCAATTGTTCTGGAAGAATTCTGGATCAACAAAACTGACTTGGGATCCAATTTTAGCGAGGTCTATTTTATCAATGTCCTCAACCATCTGGTTTATGGTGTCATTGTTTAGTAAAACGTTCCTTGTTGTCTGAGCAAGATGGACAAATGAGACTTGTCGTTTAACACTTTGGGTGAAGTGATTGGCAACTGCAAATAAACATTAACGTTAACAATAGATGGAGTTGCTGTCCGAGTAATGGTGTGAACACAGGTTCAAATCTACAAAATGACTAACTTGTTTAAAGATATTATGTCCCAAAAAATTCGGATTATTTTTTTGACTAACACTTCGTTAACAGTTGACACTGATTTGACCATTATCGTATTATTGTATACATATAAAAGGTTAGTGAAACCATGGGCTCTATCAGAGAGCCCATGGTGAAACTCTTCATATTTGACTGTTCATAAATGTATATAATCAAAAAACGACTCATTAGATTAATATGTCTCTATTTTTTCGTACGTAATGAGTTATTCTGATTTACAAGAATCCATCTTTATCGAATGCGCCAAGAGATAGTACAGGTTCTGATCCAAAATAAATCAAAATAAATGTTTATAAAAAAAAGTTTCAACTTCTATGCCATTGTCATGTATACATTTGTTCAACTATACCTTCTAATTTCTTATTCCTGAGTGTCTCTGGTGTGTTCTCTAAGGCACATCTAAGCCAAGTTGGAAGGCGTTTTACAAACATCTTTATTTCAATACCCAGGCTGTCTGGTAGATCTTGGATCGTGGACGGAATTAGAACATCAATCAGGACCTGGAAAGACAGACAATACAAGATATATAAGCACCGAAGATATAGGCATCCGTATAACATTCATGATGTACGGGCCATTATCACCTCACTCCGACAACACCAAGAGAGATCGCGGTCTTGGAAATGATCCTAATTATTGCACGCGAAAGATGGACTTATCGCACGATTGTCCTATTCCTAAAATGTACATCAACCAGTTTTACTAACACCAGCTTAACACCATTTCTCATCCTTCTTCAAAGGACTTCATTTATGCTTAAATTCAGTAAAATATCCTTGCAGCAAGGATGCTATTTCTCCCAATCTTCATGATTTATCCCAATATATTTATACATATCTCTTCAATCTTAAAAATTGTTTACTTCCGCTGTTGTCATGAATGCAAATTGCGCAAAAAATTAAATTCGTCTGACAAAGTTTGACCCCCTCTAAGTAAAGACATAAAAGTAAGTGAATAATGTATATTTTGTTGATATTTTTAGTAAAACTGATAGAAAAATGATAATAGCGTTAGGATGACGTAACCGTTTTAAACAATGGAAATTACTTATGTACAAGGTACCATGAAATGACAATCGAAACACAACTGTGCGATAATTAGGACGACCACTAGCATTCAGATATTGAGAAATGTCAAACACGACTTTTTCGTGTTATACCCTCAGAGTCAGTTGAAGTTATCATATTTGAAATTGTCAGAAGTTTTCCTGAGTACCCATGCGATGATAGGACCATTTCCCGCAATTACCTAACCACATCTTCACATACGTACACATTAGTAAGAATGCAAGAGATGGACTATTGATTGACAGAATCTCATAAGGAACGCCATTTTATATATTTTACTAAGTTGCATTCCCGGTGTGAAAGAAATGATGGTACCCCAGGGAATATGGTCCCCTTTCTTAACGGCCCTTACTGGCCCCGATTGTGTATAAGATAATGAGGGAAAGAGTTTTATTTAGGCCACCATATAAATCAATGGAGAGTAGGACCATCATTTAATAGGACCTCCTACCCTTTTACACCCGGGTCTCAGCGTCCTTCTGTAAGTTTAATTTCTAGAAATTATTGCAAATCGCAAGCAGAAAGATGGCGGGCAAAGATGAGAATGCCCCGGTAAATGCTTATGCTGTTATTGGGTTAACCTTCAGTGATTTATCAGAACCCTTCTTTACCCAATACTGTATTAGTTTATTATGGTATAGGTGACCTGTACATAATTTATAACTTGGGATTCAACAGGAAATATTCATCACGCAGCAATTATACGTAACATTATCTATTCCATTTACTTTAAAAGTACTACTGTCAGTGAATCAGAAATCGATTGGGAAGTACATGGAAAGTTGTTATCAGGACGCACAGTGATGAATGTCGTACTTTTCACTAGAGAGGTTAAGCTACACGTATTTAACAAAACTTGAACGTGAACTTCAATGCGCGCGCAGATAAATGACGTAAGATTTGTTTATTTCCTGTGGGCCATCGTGGAGTGATACATGAGATTATCATATTCGTGCAATTTACAGACGCATATTCAACAAAGCATGAACGTGTACTTTTATGCGCGCGCAGGAAAATGACGTCAGATTAGTCTACTTTCTACAGGTAAGCGTGAAAGTTACAGGTTTTTACATGTAGATGAATGATTACACGTCGCTCATTACGTGATTGATTTTAGCTATGTTCTAGGATGGCCCAGGAGCCCATATTTGATACAAACAATCTTGCTTGTTATATTGGTAAACCCTAATCCTTAATTGGAAATAATAATACATTTTAATGAGTAAATTACAACTTCAAATGTGATCGATTGTTCATTCCGTACAGTATAAATAGGCAGGGCTAATTTGATACCCGGGGCTTGGTACAATAGGTATACTAAACGAAATGAAATGACAACCAGGGCCTACGATTGCCTTATCACGACATTTGATTTGCCTGAATCTGAATGACTGAATGACCTGAATTGGTTGCAAATTAAATAATTTCACAATTAATATGACACAAATGGTATATCACATCAGATGTGCAAATATAAAGTTTGCAATCGATTCAGGTCATACTTCAAATTAAAAGAATATACATTTTTCATCATTTTTTCCTACAAAATGGCTATAGAAAAATGCTTCAAAAGCAACTTTTACACTTATGAAATCCCATACAACTTTGTAAATCTAAAGATTATACTGTTATGTTTCATTAATTAATAACATATTTGGATAAGATGTAGGGATGTGTAGGATGCAAATGGATTTTGACGGACACACAAAGACTTCCTAGTTTGGCATTTCTACCCCTGTACACTTTATGATTGAACATTGGCCCTAATAAGTGGCCCATACATCAATACAGTGCTGAATATAGGTCAACAAGATACTAGTGTACATATAAATGTAATGATTAAAGCAGTATATTTATTTTGAAAAATCAGATGAATTTATTTTGTTCATGGGGAGATCATAATGGAGGGCGCCCGAGATCATTTAATTGTGGTTGAATATGAAATAAAGCAAAAATAAAAAACACAATGTTTTGATGCGACCAGATTCGAACCCATCCACTGGCATGGTTTCAGACGTGTAGCTTAACAGAAAATTTTCTTAAACGTGTACTTGATCGTGGACTTCCGCGTTCAGGTTCACGGTTTGCATTTATACGTGTAGCTTAACCTCTCTACTATCTTTAAAATGGCCGCCAAGAGATTTACCGAGCATGACCAAAACCTAATCGGACCTTTGCACTACTAAGTATCTTCTTGCATCCAAGTTGAACAAGTTTAAAGCGTTCTGGAAGTTTGCTGATAACTAGATTGGACTATCATAATAAGAAAAGGCATTCCTACCAAAAATGTCACGCTTTTCTGTGGCCTTAGCAAAATAGAAAATGATGAAATGGTCTCAGCTACAAAATAATGCGCCCTCCCCTTATGTAAATTCAAGACACGGAGAGTGCTAAGAACTAGGAGGAAGAAACATTTGCACCTCTCTCTTATCACCGACTCTATCGATTAAACCCAAAGATTTATGCCTAAATCCACTGAATTGTGGACGATTCAAAGCACGAATGTCATGTATCAGACTTTGAATGAGAGCAGGACCCCGAATCCAAAAGTTAGGATACAAGATATGAGTGCATTAAATCAGTTCAATGAGGCTTGTGCTTAAATTCTTTACCTTATAAAGCACAGAGTCACAGAAGCCAGCGATATCTGTCACAATATCAGCTGTCAGAATGTCTACCAAGTGGTCGGGCATACCATGCCAGAAATGTAGGAGGAAATTCTGGATCTGCAAAATAATCATATATGTGAAATATTTTTGACAGTGCCTTGATATAGATTATTTTTACGTTGATAATCAAATAATCGTTAACTGTGCGTCAAACATTGGTAGGGATACAGTTTCTCCACTGGAGCTGCCAGTATGTTTGCGTTTCTCGTTGTCATGAATTCCTTTCATTTTACCTAGTTTAGAGTGACTATGATTGTATTCAGGTGAATTTAAAGATAACAATACATGGCTAGAGTAGTTTATGATGTTTTCTCGAATGGTAAATGCAGATCCCTCGCTCGCTTGAGCATGAATGCTCAAATCTGGTCTAGTTTCCACAATAATCAAGTATCTTATTTTAACGAAATCCATGTCATAAAGAATAATACAGAATTATACGGGTACCTCATCGAAGTTGGCGCTGATGATTGTGTCGAGTATACGTTGGCAATGAGTACGGTACATCATTAGAAACGTTTCCACCTTAAAATAAAATATACTGTTGCTCACGAGCATATGCAATTCAATATGTTAATGGTGAAATAGATCTTTCTAATAAACCCTTCCGCCCTTTGCAACACCAAATTAAACAAAATGGCGGGCTATGTTAACAAGATACGTGATGACACAAACAAAATTCAATCTTTTTGAAAATTAGCTAATTCCACTTTTGCTTGGAAACAGTGCCTGTAATGATTGTCATAACTTAAACGTTTTTTAAATGTTCTTCCTCACCTTCCCTTTGTCCACAGATTCTGGGATGATGAGATTGTTGATTTCAGGAAAATCAGGAAGAAGCGTACCCGTCTTGGAGCTCAAAGAATATTTCCGACTGGAACCCTAAAACCCATGAACAGATTATCAAAATATTTATAGTGCTACATTGAAAACATTACATGCGGATGGTTTGATTAGCTTTTTGAAAAAGTGGGGCCGAAAATCTCTAATATCAATTTAGAGCAAAGGATTTTTATACATGTCAAGCCCTTGAGGTAAGTTATTAGTTTTTAAGGTTCTCTTGCCTGACGCTTCGGGCTTCGGACAGATTGTGGTAGGTGAACGATTTGGACAACCTAGATTTGTAGTATAGTAGATCTGACTACAGTATATAAAACATTGTCCAAGCATAGCAACAATTCTACTGTAGAGGAATGTTACGTTCAATATTGTCATAGCTTGTGGACATGTGGAGTTAAATCTCTTCAGCTAACAGATCAGCGTGTGTGTAGTGTAACCTTAAGCCAATCAGATTAAACCAATTTGTAATGAAGGTGGTGGTTAAATTAAAAGTCGAAATCAATTATATATTTCTGTCAAATGATACTGAGGGTCTCTTGTCAGAAATTGCTACAGGTTTGTAAATATTGCGTGATGAGCGTTGCGGACCACGGCTACACTACGCTGTTTTTTCTTGATTTTGTTGGGGGTAAAAAACACTTCCACTGAGTTGACAATTGACAACTATGTTGGATAGAACTTTGAACATAAGAACTCAACCTCCCCCGGTGTTACTTGCGGATATCCCAACAAAAGAATGATTATCTAGTTTTTGTAAACTCCACTTCCATGTCATTTTAATATTAAGTCTGAGAGGATATTTTAATCTAAATACACGTTAACTTTACAGATTAAACCTCGCGTATTTGGAACCACGAGAAGTAAGAGTACTCAATGTGTGCACTGTCGTATTCGTATATTCAATTAGTTAAAGACAAAGGAAAGGCCGATTGCTTTTCACAAGTGATCAAACATTGTTTGAAACAGTTGTATTTGCAAAAGCCAATACTGTGACATGTCAAGAGTAAGAACAACAGTAACATTTCGCCCAAAGTACAGTTTTTATTTATGAAGAACTGTAAGTCTATGTCGTCTCCTTTCGATAATACTTGACAGAACATTAAAAGTAACTCACCTCTGTTTTAACTTTTACACCAGAAAATCTGAAAAGTAGAAATGAATGATGATTTACCATAAATGTCCATTACATTGCGTTTCTGCTATTCTACATAGCCTACAAACACATGATGCCAAATGGCGTCTTGCCACACGCTGCCCTCCCCCACCCCATCTTCTCGTGCACTGTATTGAGTTTACACGAGATAAATTACCGGAAAGATATTTAAATTCTGTATAAAAAGGTTAGGTTACTAAGTGCCAAATTTCTGATCATTTTTCGGAAACTGCCCACCCTAAATCATGGAATAGTATTATTTAGATGAATAATTAGTGTTTAATAGATCTTTGCAAAGATACGAAGGAGGGGACACCTCGTACTTAAAATGCATTCCATACTCGTGTCATCCCATACTTTTGTCCATATATATACTAGTGAACCGTAACAATACTGTCATACAATAAGGTATGGTATATGTTACTGAAAATCATCGGGTCTAATAATTTGTGAAATTGAATGTTCATGTCTGTGTTGCAATGCAATAAGATAAATATTAAATCAAAATCAACATGTGACACATCTAAAATAAACAATGACGTCTTTATCTAATAAGGCTGATAAGTATAGAGGTACTGTAAATGTAGTAATCGCGTCGCAATAACGATAAAGAGGATTTGTTGTGTGTTAATACAATTATCAAAATGCTTCATGTGGAACAGACATGTTCTTTGAACAATTCTCAGACAGATTTGGCGCACTAAAAAGTTCACTAACCTTGTCAGCCCCCTCCCTGCATACACTGAATGGTAATAAATGGAGGTTTCTTTTATTCCTACGCCATAATAATGGTATTTAGACTGCCCTCGAGTGCCAAGTCGTCTTGTTGTAAGTTTTGGAAACTTTTGTCGGATGATCTTGCCGAACGTGGCCGCCCCTGCAGGGGAGAAGGTCCTCTTTTTGCAGAAGTCTAAGTAATGCGTATACAAGACGCATCTTGGGAGGCAGACACCGTCCACCCTCTCGTAGTTCTCGTTCAACCTAGTACAAAGTATTCATTTAATCATTTAATATTTTCAATAGGGTCGAGGTATTAAAAAGTCCACGTTCCATGTTCTGCTTTGTGGATAATCCATATCATGCCATCTCCCGAAAGATCCGAATCAGCGTACAACATTGAGTACATATGTTGTTTGGGATACTGGGGGTTTGTTATATCCTCGTCTGATTCTTCCCGTTGATGATTCTTAATCTGATTATTTCTTGCTGTGTTGTGTATTGCTTTTCCACCTTGGCTTGGGCCTAATTTTTTATATACTTAACATTAAAAAAAGGAACCATGAAAATATATATGATAATTGTCTTGCACCTACCATTTTAGTGTAGCTGCAATTTGTGACTGCTTCGGGGAATTCTCTCCCTTCTTTGGTGTAAAAACATCCCTTGCCTCCAGATCATCCACTGAAAGAAGTTCCTCAAAAGGTAAGTACTTCCGTGTTTTCTAGATGACAATACGTCTCCATTTGTAAAAGTGAGCGGCTCATAGTTTAGCAGAAAGAGCATCACCGGGTTACTTACCGATTCAATTACAATCTTGAGATTGCGCTTTGTTGCTAGGCATTGCTACCCTGGACACGGACATTTATCACCATAGTTACCCAGCAACCAGTGTTGCCAGGTAGGTTGTTAGGGGTATCCAGACAACGTGCTGCTTATACAGATCTCAGAACATTTAAGAGTAGCACCATGCTTCTGTTTTATTTCAAAATTGTTTCATCCGACGTTGGAGATGATGCAGGACAAATTGTAAATGTTTTGAATAACATTAATAAGTTGTTGTTTTCAATAAGGATAGCTTACCTTTAAGGTCAATGCTCCAATCATCAGACGACCCCCTACAAGATGCGACGGTGGGTCGGGGTCGTTGAGGCTTTACCCCGAAGCTTGAGTGACTGGCCCAGGGGTCAAACGATGTATCATAAGTGGGCATTACTCCGGGGTCGTATAATCCTGGCGAAACATACGGATTCATTTTGAAGTTATATTTATTATCCTCTAACTTACATGTACTCGTAGATTATTTAACTTTTTCCTCTGACCATCAGTCACCATAAATTCTAGATATGTCTGTCTAATTTGCAATTATATATACGATTGTACTTTAGTTCTGTATCGGCATTCTTGATTTAAAAGTTATATCTAACAACTGATCATTATGGCTTTAAGTTTTGTAAACCCATTTCTGTTCCGCAGACGCTTATCATAAATTCGATTAAACAATGTCCAAATCAGTAATCTTGGTTAAGACTTTGAGCAAGCACGCATTTTGATTTACCTCGCTTGTTTTAGTCCCAATTCAAACTGACAGACGTTTCCTCAGAATTGATATTAAGTGGACACTAATAGAAAGGATTAAATGTCGATTTAGCTAATTCAATATTTCGTTACATTTCAATCACGGTTCATGCTTTTTTAATTTTCATCTCTGGAACAGAAATTTTATTTTTATTTTGAATGGTCTTGCGTCATTGAATACTTTTCGGGTAAATCTTTATTTCCTTGTAGAGGAAACTGGGAATATGGGGACGAAATGTATTTTCTAAGTCGTCCGTATTCAACCATCTTCAAATAGAACTGTGTTAAAATTGTCTTACAAAACTGGACTGGTACATTAAGTCTATTCTATTTGTAATTTCACATTAACAAGATTAAGGCGACAAGAGTTGTGAAACTTTGGGGGCCATTTGCGTAAGATAAGGACTAGGGACGTGTAAATTATAATATGCTTATACTACCCTTTAGGGTCGTTTAGAAGGAAAAACATTGTGACACAAATGAATATAAAACAAGAAAATAACCAATTTATAACATGTTTAAACGAGCAAAAGTGTATTTAATCGAGAACTGTTGAAACATTCATCGAAGACAATGATTAATTGGGACTGTGAACATTCACTGAATGGTGTTCGAAAAACTGAATAAATAGGCCTAGCAATCCATCATTGTTTTACAAACCGCATGCCATAATAGGTCTAAGTTCCTGATATTTTTGATGAAGGCGTACAAGGGGCAACATTTGAAACATAGAACAAAACAATACATTGCGATATGCTAAATGTCATGATCACTGAAAATTGTTACTAAAAGGTGACAATATGTTACAGATACCTGAGACTAACATAAAATGTTATGTTAATAAAATTTTATGTTAGTCTCAGCAGATACCAACCGTCGACACCGAACGCAATACAAACAGTGGCTGTAACAATATGTCACAAATTCTTGAAATTTTTAAACATACAAATATATACATGTATAAGACTCGGAACAAGAGAAGGGGAATCATCGTGTCGGCAAACCAATATATTCGACTTCGTAGAAACTAATGTTAAGAGCGTACACGAGCAGTTAAGTTGAGACTTTTGCTTTTCTAAAATATCGGATCGATTTCTTAAGATGGGAAAGTAGGAGTTTCATAAGAGACATTATATTCTGGAAACGTTATTGGATGATTTCAAATGTTTATTCATTTGTAAAATATTGGTAATACAAGGGTCCACTCCTAAAAACTTTATGCAATATGCATGTTTCCGGCGTCCAAAATTGGTCAGCTAGACGCCAGTGATCAAACTTAGGATGGTAATCCCTCTTACTTAAGCACTTACTCAATCTTACAGAGAAACCCGAATGGAGAACTTCAGTCAGTTTGTTTGTATTGCTATTCAGTTTGAGAAACCAAACAGACCTCGAATAACAAGGCAGGCCCGTAGCAAGCTTTTGTCAGTGGGAGAGTCCAGTTTTAAGAAAAAGTCCAGGGTGGTTTTGTGACAATTTTGGCCCAAAGTCGCTTGAAATTAAAGTACTCAAAATGGTGAAAAACTGCATGATTTATGATTTTAAAAGAATTTATACGGCAGGGGTTCACCCTAGCCCCCCCCCCCCCGATTTTTGAACTGCCATCTATATTTCATACAACAAACTACTGCATTCTGTGTTTCCATGCATCCAAGTGTTAAAGGACCAGGGGTTGTTTGAGGATGAACTTAGAAATGCTGTCTCTCCATAGGAGAACTTCTATTTTATACAGTGCTTGTATATCGTGAAATTTACAGTCAAAATCATTTTCCATGTTCAGCTTCCATGCATCAAAAACATTTGTTTCATTTGGCAGTGTTATATTTCACATTCTCTGATGAGGCAAATCTAATTTGAACAAGTTCAATATAGGAAGTAGAATGAACAGGGACTAGTCCATGGTATAGCTCATAGATATTACAAACCCGTGGCACCATATATGCATAACGACATTTGAACCGATATTTAGGGAGGGGCATATGTCCTTATGCTTTTAAAATGCCATTTGGTAAAAAATATTAAGGCTTTCGGGTCGCATTATGTCTGTCATCACAAGAGGTCAAAAAACGTGAAACTTTTCATGAGCATTTTAGTGCATTTTATGAGACTCAAATTGTAAATCGAAACTTATATATAATTTAAAGGATTAGGATTACATAGAAATATAATACTATTTTAACGTAAATGTCATTTTTCAATTAGTGCATTGCACTAGGGTACTTTTCAACGTTTTATTATTTAGAAAAAAATAAGACAGAGCAGATGTGACCAAATTATGCGAAATATTCAGAAAATCTATAATTAGTAACATATTAGTTTTGTACTTATAGAAACAATATATTCACGGAAATATTTCTTGCGTTTTCAAGGGTCAAACAACGGATTATTGTTAATGGTATTCAAAACGTAATCAAATAAAAATATAAAGGATGTATCAATTAAATAATTAATCTAATTTTAGTATTGGAATGTTTACATTTTTAAACTAGATGATTTGCATCGAGGAATAAAGAAGGCGCAGTCAAATGCGTCGCAAATATCATAGTGTCACAATGCTGTGCTCCCACAATAAAATAACCATGGAATGTTGTAAGAAAGTAAACATTGAATGCATTATAATATATTTCAGTTTTAATTATCGATTGTTTTATAAATGAGAACGCTAGAATGATTTATTAAGAAACCGGAAATCAACTTTCGTGGTTGACGAGTGACTATATTCAGGACGATTTGATGCAGTAGAGCAAGATTTGTGAAATTCAAGATAGTAATTTAGTTTTTTGAGCTGTCCCTTGCGAAGACAAGATTTAGTTTTTGTTTCGATCATAACTTGACAAATGTTCGTTCTATTCTAAATGTAAATTTATAAGTGAGAGCCATACTGTCATTAATAAGAACCAGAAACCAACCTTCGTGATGGATGAGTGACACCGTTAGAGACGATTTCATTCATCAGGGCGAGATTGTGAATTATACTAAATTAAAGGTACTCATTTATATTTTATTTCATTGACTATCTATATTTTATCATCTGTGTTCACGATATGTATCGTTGTTCCAAGGTGTGACCCTATCAATCATATCAACTCACCCATCGCGTGCAAAGTCCCGATTGGAATTGGGAGAAATTTATAATGTTGCACACATCCAATCTTTCAGACGAGCCTCCGATATTTAAAGACGACATCGAATAATTTTTTGTAAGACCGGTTCTCGCAATTTTTTCAGCAATCCAACATCTCTCGTTTCCGATCTTTCCATTCGAGTTTTAGGAAGCCATACTTCATTTTATAATTTGTGACTTTTTATCAAATCAGGCATTATTCATTTGTGCACAAACTCTATGTCGCCAAAGCCATGCGAATTGCACTTTTACGAATTGTTGTGAGTGTTTTAAGATACATTTTCCTTTCACGTTGTATATTGATTTGAGATAGTTGGATTTTCTTTCCATTTGGCAATGAGATCTTAGACATTTCATTTTCCTGCTATGTTTTGTCATTTTTGGTCTTTCGCATTTGGCACTCGTGCGTACATATTCATGACATTTTGGATAGAATTTGGGACAAAATGGCTACTCCCAGGCTATATCTCTTTTGTCTTTATATCGGGTATTGCTAGAAAAACTAGTTTCTGGGTGAAATTATATGTCACATATGAAGGAGGTAATTTAATTTATACTTGAATAACATGTATTACTCATTTCTGAGTAAATTCTATGCTGAAGAAGTAATGAAGAAGTTCAATATCATTGTTAATGTTTTATGTGGAGTGTATAGTCATTGTCCCTGGGTCGTTGCTAATTGTGAGTACTATCCATACACTTTATTTTAGGGGAGTACAAGTTTCTTTTAACTTCATTCTATATTCTGTGTAATCACTGCTACCCACCTAGTTACACAGACGTATCGTCAGTGTATCATGGCGGAACTACTTCCGGGACTAGGTTTCGGTAAGATTTTTTTATTTCCCGATTTACACCTACTTATAAGTCACGTTGTGGATAATAATTTGCCTCGAAGTTAAGGAAGATAGTCTTGTTTGAGAATGTGTCGATGGTTTTAGGTTTTATATGTTAACAAAGGCACAATTCAGGTATTTAGTCCCTCGCTTTTGTTACACTGACGAACGACCAATATCAGTGTAATATTGGCAATATTGATGCCGGTCGTCAGTGTAACAAAAGCGAGGGACTAAATATGTGAAATGCGTCTTCGTTAACATACCAAACCTAAAACCATCGACACATTCTCAAACTAGATTATCTCCCATAACTTCGAGCCAAATTATAATCCACATCGTGACTTATAAGTAGATGTAAATCGAGAAATAAAAATATCTTACCAAATTCAAATCCCGGAAGTAGTTCAGCCATGATACACTGACGATACGTCTGTGTAACTAGGTGGGTAGTAGTGATAATATTTGAAATTTTATAAAAGGTATTCCTTTCAAATAATGCACTCTGTGATGCTATATTGTTTTTTTATATGAGGCGCATCCTATAACGTTTGATTAATCCAAGTTTTTATGTGCACACGATCCTAACTTCGACCGTTAATTTGAATTTTTGACCTACCGGATGTTTGAAAATCAAGGATTATGAGTCTCATTCTGCACCGTTTTTCTTCAAACTTGTTCCATTCAAAGCATAACAAAAATCCCTTTCTGATGGTACATTATTCTCTTAATAAGAGACCCTACTTCCAGCGGCATTTTGGTCCCCAGCTGTAAGAAGGCCTTCCGACAGCTGGGGACCAAAACGCTGCGTGAACGAGGGACTCTTTACAATCAAGTAATGCACCGACAGAAAGGCAATTTTGTTTTGCTTTTAATGGTATAAGTTTGAAGAAAAACGGTGCAGTATGAGACTCGCAATCCTTGATTTTCAAGCACCTGGTAGGTCAAAAATTCAAATTAACGGTCGAAGTTAGTACCGCGTGATGTGGAGTATCAGGTTTTTTGAGTGCATTTTAAACAGTACCACATAATAAGCGAGGAATATACTATACTGAAGAAGTTGTTATATCAGTTACGATTAATATGTGAGGTATTCGTGTTTGTGAGTATATTCATGAGGCTATTATGTTTTTGATTTTTCATGTGAGATGTTACTTTTTTGCGAATGCATTATGTTAGGCAATATTACCTGTGATTTATAAACGAATTATTAGTTCTATATAAGAGCTTTCATGAGAGGATTGGTTTATGCGAGTGAATCCAAATGCTATAGTCACTGATTTTTATTTGAGGTATTCTGTTTTGTTTAATGAACAGTGTTCCTTTTTGTAAAATAGTTTCTGGATTTTGCGACCGTTTAAGTTTATGTACTCGAGATGCTGAAGGATGTGGGGATTATTTTAGGCATTGTCAATTAAATTGCTAAAACTGAAGGCTTTAGGTTTGCAGTGGGATGCTGACATTTTTAAACGTTAAACGAATTATAATATCTATCTCAAAGCATTAAGACCAAATTCTAAATATTGTATATCTAATATACTATTAGTATTGTTATGAGTATTGGCTCACAATTTGTATTTTTATTCAATTTGTGTTGTAATGACTCGAGTATAATAAGGTGCTACTTGGTGTAATGGTCTGGGAATGATGTTTATACTTAGCTCGTGGGTCGGGAGGGGTTGATAGACGTTTGACTTTGGGATTGCTAGTGTTTCTTATGTCACCACCAAGAATGGTATGACATATTGTTATAGTTTCCAACATAAAGTCCATTGACAGTACATATTCGGCGTTCGGTGTATGTAACGAATATGCGTTGGCATTTTGCATGTTTTATATTAGTATACTCTTGAACACATTCCATTTGTTGCTGTGCCTTTTCCATTTCCACTTGTGCGTTCATGTTCATGTTTTGTTACTTCAGAATTCTGATTTTTTATTAATGTGTAACAAACAGTATAATATAACAACAATTATATTTGTCACTGCGATGCATTACATCGATTCATCTTTACATTATTGCCGACATTTCTCAAAGATCCATGTAGTCAAATGTTGAAGATATGGTCCTTATATAAGCAACCAATTCCTGGTCAACCATATGCAACAATTTTCAATCGCAGACGGTATTACACAAGGAAGAACAACGAGTCTCCCTTTATTGGCAATTGACCCCTGAATACGGCTGTCCATATCTCAAAATGTATTACAACTAATTTAGTAAAAAACTGACATATTATAACCATATGTTATTCACAGGTAATAAAGGTGCCAATATATTGATTGCTTCACCAATATCTCCAAAACGACATAAAATGTTGAAACCTTGATTTTGAATATATAAGGTATTTCAAGGAACACATACCGCAAAATTATAGCCAAGAAACTTGATGTATATATTAAAAATATTTTCATGTGATTTTCTTTTAATGTTTGTACTTTAAATTATGAAAAAAATACAAAAAACGTTTTACACGTTTTTTGACCCCTGATAATGACATGCATTATTCGGCCTAAAAGCCCGCCGTATCTATCACGGCTATACAAAAATAAAACGCGGGACACATGTAGGTATCTAAATATAAGCTCAAATATCATTATGCAGATATGGTGCCACCAACTCCTTAATTAGACGTCCTCGAAATTTCATACCGTGGACTAGACGGGTTGACAGTAAGTTTCAAATAATTTGTCACAATTTTAAAATATTTATTGCTCTCATAATTTCATGTCATGCCTATACAGACCTCTTACTGGATACATCATGGACATAATCCTTTGTATCAAAACATCATTAACACAATCCTCTGAACTGGATAAAATATTCACATAATTCTTTGTACCAGATGCATCATGGACATAATCCTTTGTATCAAAACATCATTAACACAATCCTCTGAACTGGCTAAAATATTAACATAAGCCTTTGTACCAGATACATCATGGACACAAAACATCATGAACATAATTCTTTGTACCAGATGCATCATGGGCATAATCCTATGTACCAAAACATCATGAACATAATTGTCTGTGCTGGATTTGATATGAACATAATGCTCTGTACTTAATACATTATGAACATTAATCTCTGTACCTAATACATTATGAACTTAATCCTCTGTACTTAATACATTATGAAAATAATCCTCTGTACTGAATACATTATGAACATAATCCTTTGTACTTAATACATTATGAAAATAATTCTCTGTACTGAATACATAATGAACATAATCCTCTGTACTTAATACAATATGAAGACAGTCCTCTGTACTGAATACATTCTGAACATAATCCTATGTACCTAATACAATACGAAGATAATCCTCTGTACTGAATACAGCATGAACATAATCCTTTGTACTTAATACAATATGAAGATAATCCTTTGTACTTAATACATTATGGACATAATCCTCTGTACTTAATACAATATAAAGATAATCCTCTGTACTTAATACATTATGAACATAATCCTTTGTACTTAATACAATATGAACATAAACTTCTGTACCTAATACATTATGTACACAACCCTCTGTACATAATACAATATGAGGATAATCCTCTGTACTGAATACATTATGAAGATAATCCTCTGTACTTAATACAATATGAACATAAACTTCTGTACCTAATACATTATAGACACGACCCTCTGTCCTTCATACAATATGAAGATAATCCTCTGTACTGAATACATTACGAACATAATCATCTGTACTTAATACAATATGAACATAATCATCTGTTCTTAATACATTATTAATGAACATAATCCCCTGTACTTAATACAATATGAACATAATCCTTTGTGTTGCACAAAATACATAATCGATGACAATTCCCAAATTGATATTTAAATAACGTAATTGTATCCAGTTTCATGTCTTTATTATTTCACAAGGTCATCTTTTCTTATTCATATAAGTGGCTATAGTTGAGGCAGGAGGGGGTTTCCAGTAGTGTTTGTACCACATGTAGAACATCAATGCTGCTAAGGTATACCTGCAAACATAAAAGTAAAGTGTAAAGTAGAACTCCAAAGATATTAGTTCAGTGTATACTATACCTGAAAAGATATACATGTACATGTAGGTACATGTGTAGTCATGTGTAGTCATGTATAGTCATGTATAGTCACGTGTAGTCATGTATAGTCATGTGTAGTCATGTATAGTGTAATGAATTTTGTTCCTTACCAATTTTAACGAAAATTATGGAATAACAAGACACTGAATTGACAAAATGTCACCAATTGAAAAGTTGAAAAGTGTAACAATTGCTACAGATGTCATTCTGCCAAAACACTGAAACTTGTAACAATGGCAGTTATAACAATTATCTCACTGCTTCTTTGTCATAAAACTCTTAATACTCCTTTAGAAAACAGAGATTTTATAATTTTATCATTTAACTATTCTGTTAATTCGGCACTATTGCATAATATTTTTTATATTTGAGTGTAAAACGAAATGATATAATAAACTTACCATGTAAATATGTAAGATAAATGTTCATTTCTTAAAGTGACTCTAGTCTGTCCTCCTATTGGACCACCTTTCACTGTACAACCTGAAGGAACATTTCAATAATTCATTTTAAAAGCTGTGAACAGGAATACAATACAAATACCCAATCAGAGTTTTTTTTAAATAATATACATGATGTATCATTATTGACAACTTATTTAGGCCAAGATATTTGCAACCCAAAAACTTGCAACTCAAAATATCTGCAATCCAAAATATTTGAACCCAAAAGATTTGCACCTTAGCTCATGGTTCACTTACTTCTGTCAGCATCCACAAATATTGGGTCTGTTTCTAGTGTGGCAGCCATCCCATAGATGTCTCTGTGATACCACTGGCCTTTCTTTGTATCAAGATTTTTTGGAGCAAATTGTTGTCTCTGAAAAATAAGTCCTGAATGTTTAGGAAGTTGGGAACTCAGTTGAATATTGTAAGAAAAACATTTAGTTTTCACTGTATTTTAAGCAAATAAAACACATACTGTATTCCAGTTGTAAGATACCCCTACTTGTTTTATACATATTTATAATTTGCTCAAAGATATAATTTTGTTGAATGGCCTTTGTAGCTTTGTAGCTTTGCCTACCTCTGACAATTTCAGAATTTGACAAACATTCATTATTTAATAGATAATAAATTACAAAATTTATGTAACAAGTAAGTCTTCTACCTTTTCATTCATGCGGACAACCCCTATCAGGTCCACCACACCCTCTGGCTGGCCTTCAGCACGCTTCTTTGGGTCATTTCTCTCCCTTGAGACCCAGCCACGATTTACTAAGATAGTCAAACTGTGGAATATAAAATGACTCTATTACATGTACAATGTATGTGATATATTTAATATTTTCCCATGGTATTGGGACAAATGTCACCTTTTCCTAATGCATTTTTTGGTTCAAAATTTGTTTGTTCTTACAAATAACCCATCTCTTCTGCCCTTGCAAAATAGGTAAATCATGTATTTTGTGTAATACTATATTTATTGGATTACATTAATAGCTGTCAGCTAATACAAAAATGTTTTCCAAATCATATTGGTTATGTTGAAACAATTCATGAGGAATCTGTATAACTTACTCTCTGTCGGAAAGCTTGAATGGAGTGACAACATGTACTCCTGTTTTGCCAGTGTCTGCCATTGTCCCAGACATGAACCCCTTGTTTGGTTGTTCCTCTATTAGGGACCTAGGCACCATGTAGATTTCCTTGCTGTGGTCAAACTCCCCCCTCAGCAACACCTTCCTGTACTCTAGCTCTTTCAGATCATCTAGGCTAAAAGAGAATGGAAGCATCATGTCATCAAATTATTTGTCCAATCTGCCCAAGTTATATATGATCTACTATAGCCCTAATGTAGATGCAGATCGCTATAATACTTCCATGCCATGATTTAAAATATATATAATAAAAAGCAGCATAACACAGAAGTGCTAAAATCTATCTAAAGAGAGAAATAAGAATGGTATCACCATCTCTTTATGTGCAAATATAATATTGATGGACTTCTCATGGCTTATTAAACACTACTCACTCATCTGGTAAAGCTACAGGATCTGCTAGAGTTCTCTCCTCCAAGTCACTGATGAGTGCAAGCTTCCAATATCTTCTCTTTACTTGCCAACAGCCAAGACCGAATGCAGCAGCAGGTAGAACCTATGGGGAAAAATGTAACATGTAGAGGATGATACACCAATGTGGCATGAATTGCATGCAAGGATGATACACTAATGTGCAACCCGCGTCCTGTAGGAAAGCATTCTAATAACATTAGCAGTTGATCAATAATGAGATCAGGCTACCAGGAATGAGGCATTAGAAGAAAAATGTATTCTTTTCAAAATCAGGAAAGAATCCAGTGACTTGTATATATAATACAAATGTATATTATATACATTTAAGATACTATGAAAAGCATAGCTTACCAATAAGAGGTATCCACTTTCTCTAAAGCCACCTTTATCCTTGTTTTGGAGAGCTCTGACAGACATACACCTGCTACATGGTCTAAGTAGGCCAGTTAACCTGCGTAAAGCTGGGGATGCCATCCCACTGGAGATGACAACTGCTCCTCTTCTATAGCACATCAAATATTTGCTATTATTTATGGAGTATGTTATTCAAAATGTTATTGTTTTTGATAAATTTAATAATAAATAAATAAATCCCCATTGGTTACATTTATTCTTTAAATCTCAGAAGAATAGATGAAATTCTGATTCAGCATTTGTTAAACTGACAAAAGGATTAAAAATGTAAGTTGCATCAAATATGAACAAGAAATATGAGGCAATGTTTTGAACTTTCTATAAAACTTGAAATAATATTTTGGATATATATTTAAGTTAAGTTATTCTTTATACATATACTATACTACCTAGTACTCATTTTTATGTAACTATGAAATTACTAAAGCACAAAATGTCAGTATAAAAATTGATTTTTTATTGCTACTCTTTTTGCACTGTTCAAGAAAAATATATCATTTACATACTTCACATGCCTCATGTACATACTTCACATGCCTCTATCAAAAACATATACATACACAAATGTAAACTATTATCACATAATATGTAATTTCAAACTTCTACTATGAATACAAGCACATGGGTATTTATGGCACTTTGGTCAATAGAGTCAATATATAAGAGAAAAAATGAACCATAAACAGATACTGTACTCCCTGTATTTTTTGCGTGCTATTCAGTTTCGTGCTTTTCGCGATTGTGGTAAAATCGCGGAATTAATCTTCGCGAAATTGTCAATTAAATCCACGGGTATTTGTGAAATTTTTAATTACCTGGGACCCCATTGCATTTCCTGTTTTGTCAAAAAATTTTGTCAAGTGTTATTAGGCGATAAATGGGATACTAAGTAACTGTTTATAACAGTGGCTTATTAGATCAATAAACCAAAAAATGACGATGTACATGTAATTGAGGTTACAGTGTAGCATGTCCTTGACCAAGATGACATAGTAGAAGGTGTACTTAGTGAATTTCGCGAAATTTAATAGCCACTGGGAGTACAGTAGTTTGACCAAGTCCTCAAAACCAGAGGCAATGAGTCTGAACAATCATACTCCAAACAGAAAGCTACAGAACTTGTGGATATTCTGGATCTTTGAGCCATCCTATCGAAGGATGCTTAACAACAAGGAAAGTATCAGTTTTTTTAAGTGAAGGCCTGTTTGCATCTTTTCCTACAAACAAAATCACCACCAAATTCTAGGGCTGAATTGTGTATGGTGTGTGTATCTACCAGAGTCCCTAGTCTATACACAGATATGTTAGCCTTAGCATTATAGCTCTCGGTGCAGGCTTTCCTAAATCCATTTGTCTCTGGCCCATATAAACACTCACTGAATGTTCCAATTTTGGCTGAGATATAAAAGTGAACACTATAGTAAATTCCCACTGCCTTTACAGCTATTTCTCCATTGCATCCATCATTGTGAATCAATTCAATCAAGTTGTCTACGGGTCTGAATGAAAGATCGAATCCTTTTAAAGGGTTGCGATAGCCAATCAAATATCCAGGTATGGTGATGATATCATAGAAATTAACAGGCCCACCAGAAAGAGCGAAACTGATGTTTGTCTTAACATCAACTCCTTCACTCCATATCCAAGCTTTAGGGAAACTATTTCCCCAGTTCTTTTCCATGTGGGCAACTCCTGTATTTTCTCCTTTATAAATCATGTGTGTGTCCTTGTTCTCTATTGTATATGATATGACAGGTGATCGAAGGCTGAAGACGAACCAATGTAGGGGTAGGGGGAAATGTTCGAGCCAACCTTCAGGTCCAACACCTTTACGACCCCATGGCACAGGACTGCCCAAAGCTACATCTACAATGATTGGTCCAATAGCAAAATGAATCCTTGATCGATTTGGCTTTACTTCCAAGTAACATGCGTTTTTAATTTCCCATCTGAAATCTGCAGGGCTTTCAAAGTCAGGGTCATGAGTCACTGATCTGCCACCTTTCACTGTGACATTCACATCAGTATCATTTGCAAAGAGATCATATGACACTAACTTGTCACTGTGCTTTGGATCATATATCAAAACACTGGCCAATGCGGTATCCCTAGCCTTTTCTTGACTATCTGGTAAAACTTTTCCGAACAGAATTCCAAAAGATCTATTCTGCCTAAGCCCTGAGATTCTTACATACCATCCCTCAAAGAATGGTCCGTGCTTGGGGTACACATGTGGATCAAAGTGGTTTGCATTGATGGGGAATACAGTGAGACAGAATAAGACTCCCGTTAATAAAATTTGGATTATACTCCCATACATGATTACAAATTCTTTGAATGATTCATTTTTTTGATGATCTTCCTGTTTTCATTGTTTTTTACTGGAATCAAAAATAAAATTAGAATCACAAACTAAAATACAGGTAAAATGTACTTCACACTTTTTATAATCACAATCCAGGCAATTCCCATTGGTTTACATGGGTTCTTCCATTTTTTTTGAATTCATCAAATTTGACATCAAGTTTAAACCTATTGAATTAGAGAGGTTAAATTTCCTGAAATATAGAGAATAGAGTCAAGGTATTGACCTTGCACCCGGCAGACATATCATCAGTTATTAAGGGGAAAACAATAAAATGATTTTAGAAATTTTAATGCACATTCACACTACAATTGTATATACACCACAGGCAAGCACACATAGTACGAAATATCCTCAAGAGGAGTCTGTACTGTAATAGAAGAAGAAGTGCAGTGAACCTTTAGAACGTTTCTCCATCAAGTAATTGGAGTAATTTTAGCATCGATCCCATACATTTTTCTAAAATAAAATACAGTTAGTCAACTAAACTTGGCGTGATTTAATTGCGAATTGGGCAAAATTGGAAAATTGGCAGAGATTAAATTTTGTGAATTTAGAAAGAATAAATACCTGTGATTTGGGCAAATTTCAAGGGTTAATCAGCACTAATGGTCGTCATTCAAACGAAAAATAAACCAGGTGGATAAAAATTGAAAAAGAAGCCAATGTGTCGATTAAAATTGAATCAACGTGCATTTCACACTTTATTTCATTCAGAAAATGATAGAAAATTGTTTTATTTTGATGTGCGATAACAGAGTTAGCATAATAATATTAATCACTTTTTGATTTACAACTTACAAGTGAGAGTCAACATATATTCCATGATCAAAATCTTTTTCAATCAAGACCTCATGGTCTTATATTTGGATATTTGGTATGGCATTGGTCCTGTATTTGGACATTTGGTGTGGCATTGGTCTTATAATTGGACATTTGGTATGGCCTTTGTCCTTATTATGGTTGGTTAGGGAACACATTGAAATTTAACAGATTCCTATGGGAACATATTGATACAGGCCCGTAGCCAGGGGGAGTTCAGGGGGATTCGGGCGAACCCCCCCCCCCCTGGCCAAAATTTCTTTCAAAATCATGCAGTTTTTCACCATTCCGACTATTTTTGGGTGATTTTTGTCAAATTTACCAAAGTGAACCCCCCCTAGAATTTTTTTGAAAAGTGAACCCCCCTTGGAAAACTCTGACTACGGGCCTTTGATATCTGAGGGCTCAGCTGAGGACTCCCGCAGAATTTTGTAACAGTGAACCCCCCGGGGATTGGTTTCGCTCGCATCAATGCAAACCCCAAAGATCAATTGCACCCCCTTTGCTGGCTACGTCCCTGCCTACTCATTTATTTATTGCTCAGGCTGTAAGCCTAATGGATTTGAGTTGACGGTCGGACATCATCACCGATATTGAAAGCGATAAATAAAAAACGAACATATAGACTAGTCTTTAAGTTCTTCGCTAGCTAAAATGTCACTCGACTTTTATTGTGATTTTGAATCACAGAAGGCATTCTGAAGTTTCAAATTGGCGCCATGTTTAATTTTTGGCATTTGCCTAATGTATATCACTTACCTTTTATTGATTCTTTCATAAGTTTCGTCAAAAACTCAGTTTGACCAGAGTAATCTGTCTCACCGCTCGAATTTTCTTGAAAAATGTCTATTTTCTAATCACATGGATGTGCGGTTTACTTGGACTCGCCCAAAACGAAGGGTGTCAAACGCAAGATGGTAGAGATGCAGACATGTCGCCACTCTCAGAGAATCTATACCATAATTTCAACATTACTACGCGGTTTTACAAGCGAAAAGGATAAGGGCAGGTTGTATCATGGGCTTTAGAGCCCATGGTTGTATATAGGACTGGACAAGATGAAAATAAATATTCTAAATAGATGACACCCCTTGCGAAATAAGATGAACTGAACCTATCACGGCACCGATTTCTTAGAAGAAATTACGTCAGAAAAACAAAAGCTCCGTAGAGAATTTTCGCTTGAAATGTTGAAAAGCAAACCCAGTTTTCTATGGGAATTTACGGTAATTAACAGTTACGTGTACAATATTACCGAGTTCGATGGTGCATAAGTTAGGCGGTGGATCATTTTGTAAGTACGACAATGTGAATTAATGCGACTGTTACTTTTTGGAAGGTTTTTTGCAAAAAAGTCGAGTGACATTTTAGCTGGCGAAGAACTTAGTCTAAACTAAGGACGAGGTCCAAGTAAATTGACTGTAGCTAACTCAAGCTCGTTACGAATAATGTTCATGAGTACACGAGTTATGACACCTACCTGTTGATGTAGCAGTTAGGTCCTAAGTTGGAAGTGAAACTTCTAGCTTACAAAACTTGAAAGTTTTCGAGGTCAAGGTCATTAATCAATTTTGGCGACGTCGAAGTCAGTAGTAGACTTTATATTTTAGATGAATAAAATGAATTTTTGATCAAATATATGTTTTATTTTTTCTTTTAGATATATTTTGCATATCGAAATGTTCACATAATAACGCAATAATATCTCAGTATTTTGGCGGTAAGGATTATTCCTCCTCACATTTAATCGCCATGGCAGAGGGACTACAAAAACGATTACAAACCGAGTATGAAAAACTCAAATCTGTACAAAAAGGTAACATTTTGTATTAATTATTGAGTTTGTAACATGTTAAGCAGGTTATGAGGCGTGTTATTCTTATAAATGAATGATCCTAAATATTGTCAAAATTAGTAAAATTTGGATCAGAACATGGCATGAAAAAATTGAAATTTATCTGTCAGTTTTGAAAAAAATGGGGTGATAATATAAATTATGGATCTGCTATAGAGCAAATTTATGGATCCCAGCAAATAGGGAAGACAACTTTTATCACTTTATAGTGTTTATCAGACAAAAGCTTGGTATGCAATCAGCAAAGTTTGTTATTGAATCGTACATTATCGATGTTAGGCGTTGGTGTTCCAAGCATGGCATCCCACATGTTATTCTTTAGTTCAATAAGTTAAACCCAATATGGCTATCATTATTAATCCTGTTGCCATATTAGGCTTCACTTAATGCTATGCATTCATGCAACGCAAATTCCAGATTAGCTGAAACCTATTTCCTCAATAATATCATCTAATTGAAAGCCCATGATAATATGCAATAGACCTTCTTGACTGTATGCTGACATTTTGCGTTAAATGTGGTGATTCTGCTCGATTTCTGAAATGCATTCTCGCATTGTTGGAATAAATTGGTAATATAATGCATTCCCAAGGATAATGAATAGATCCAATGGTAGAATAATATGCAACTCATAAACTACTTGTCAACAGCATTTCAATCAGTGCCATCAACAATGGTTTATTTATTGACATGATTTGCCATTTCAATGTTACTGTAGTCTGAACCAAATTTTTCCAAAGCTGAACTATATATGTTGTTGCTTTCATATGACTTGTAAATTGTCATTGGTTATATAGTGGAAAGTTAAAAGATCTGGACTAGGTTAACTTCACTGGTGATCCACTCGATTACGCTGATTACCGAAATGGTTCGTTTCGGTAACAAAATGTTGGAACATCGAAGGTACGATTTCTCTTTTTCCTCTATTTCACATGTTGTAGGCAGAATTCCCACAATATTTTTAAGACAAACATGTATCAGTATCATATGTTTAAGAAAATGTACATATTTGCAAACAAATAGTTCAGTTGACAACAAAATCTGGATTTAATTCCTCACTTAAGTTACAGAAACGGTTTTTCGAAAAACAGTTAAGATCTGCACTTTTAACCCAAACCGTTTATGTAACTAAAGTGAAGAATTAAATCGACAATTCTGTTGTCTTCTGAGCTATTTTTTTCGCAAACATGTACATTTTCTAAATCATATTACAATGATATATGTTTGTGAGAAAAAACGTCGTGGAGATTCTGCCTACAACACGTGGAATAAGGAAAAAAAAAATTCGTACCTTCGATGTTCCGACATTTTGTTTCGGTAAGCAGCGTAATCGAGCGGATAACCAGTGAACTTGTTGAAATAGGTATGCGTATAAGTACTCCATCCAAGAGAAAATAAATTGTATTTTGCTACTACTTTAAGATATAAGATGTCAGTATTAGTGTATTAGAACAGCATAAAACACTAGTCTCAGACTGGTGAATTTTCCATGTTTTGCAGTTCCAAAAAGATACATTCCAATGGTTTTCAATACTTGGACAAGTGAATCATTAGAACATTTTGCTTTTTGAATTCAGATTATCAGAAATATGTGACCACAAGACAACAGCTGGATGCACAACTTCAAGAGAATACTTTAGTAAAAGAGGTAAGAGACTAGCAAGTATAGTAACATAGATTGGAATGCCTCTTGGACAGGCCAAACTTTCCAGGTGCTCACAACATACAAGGTTTCTTTACAAGGGAGTCACTGGGAGATTAAGAAATCGGGACTGAGAGAAAGTGTTCACATTGGGAGGTGTTCAGATTATACAGGTGTTCAGATGTATGGGTTTTACTCTCATGTACATGTGAATCCTTGGTAAAATAAAATGAGTACCTCTGAAACTTATGAAAAGGTATAGAAACTTCTCACACGCTTCACACATCGGGAGGTGGGTAATGGGGGGGGGGGGGGATAAAACTTTCAAAGACTTGTTGCTAGACTAACCACTAAAAGTGAGAAAAGTGGTCCAGAAGGAATAAGAAGAAATCATTTCTTACTCATACATGTCAAAACTGTAACAATACCTTTGTCTTGCATTTTGATAATCATTTTCCTAGGCACTGTTAGGAATGTACCCATCTGCACATAGTGTGAAGCAGATACTTGATGCAAAGAATTGCAAGAGCCTACTTCAGTCATCTTATTTACTCACTTGTGTAAAATGTTTTCAGGAATTAGATAACCTGGAGGATGGTGCAAATGTATACAAGATGATGGGTCCTGTCCTTGTGAAGCAAGACCAGACAGAGGCTAAGTCCAATGTACAGAAAAGAATAGAATATATAAATGGAGAATTGTAAGTCGACTATAATTTTATAAAGCAGTATGCCAAATGTGTAAAGTATTTCTTATAAGGCAAAATGTGTCACATATTTCTTTAAATCCCACTCTGTTGAAAATCTGTGTGCATTGATGAAATATTTACATATTTTTGACCAAAATAGTAAAATAGGATTTTGCACATTGTTGAGCATAACTCATTTGGGGCTCACTGCATAATCACATAAAATAATTAAACGGATGCTATTCATTTTTGTATTTCCAGAAAACGCCATGAAACGATTATCAAAGATCTCGAGAGTAAGCAAGAGACACATCGGGAAAACCTGAACAAAGTGCAGCAACAGTTCCAACAACAACAAGTGAAAGCAGCTGCAAAAGCATAGCGCAATGCTCATAAAGGAACTCTTGTGTTGATCTTATTTGACTGTGTGATAAGTGATTGGAGACCAAACTCTGACCATATTGGCCTATTATGAAACTGTTATGGCTCCAAGGCCCAATATGAAATTGGCCTGTCCTAAGCCCATTATAGCTCTAGACAGGCTTCTAGGCCAACTTTAGCCTATTGCGAAGTCCGCTTTAATCCATCTTAGATCCTGGCTCCTATTATAACTTTAATTTGGTATCTGTGTGATTTGAACTCTTTTATGATCAATTTTATTTTGAATGTTTCAGTTTTACAGTTCACATGAAGAAATAGATAAATGAATTCCATTAGTTTTCCTAATCTTTAGTATTAACAAATCATTTTTCATGCATGCTTTAAGTAAATGTCTTGAAATTTGAAGTATGATATTGGAATATTGAGAACTTAATGTATTGGCTGCTTCAATCATTCATTTTTATTTTGATTTGTATAATGTTTGTGTTTTCTATGGTATGTATACTGAACCTGTACATAAATAAAAATAGGCTTCCTGAATATTGAAGCAAATTGAAGTTTATATGTATTGTTTTATTCTTTTATCTGCCAAGTTGGTGCCTGTAGTTAAGTGAACAACTTTTAACATTTCACCCTCAAATTGTGTTTGCAACCAAGTGATGATATGTTGCTATGCAAATGCCTTATTTACCCAGGCATGTAGTTATCATTACTAGCTGACAGAATGCCCTTAGAGCGAACCCCAAGGTGTGTGACCTTTGCCTTCATATTCTTTCTAGGAACAGGAAAAAATGAGTAGTCAATTTCCCATCACCACTTCCAAACCACCATATTGGAAACCATGGTTTGAAAGCCCATAGTCTCCAATATTGTCTAAGTACATATCCCCTAAAATTTGTTTATTTCACATTTTGTATACTGCTCTCATCCACTGAGATGTACATGTATGGCCTCTTGAAAATTCTCTAATTTTAAACATGTGAAATCCCACTTCAGCAAATCAATTATTTATTGTTCAGACTGTACCCATTTACCATTTTGAGATTCATAAATCATGCAATGGATATTTTGGGAAAATAGTCCCTTTAAAACCTGTAGTAGAACGACTCCACATTGAGGTAAGTACCATCATGACTGGACACAGGCCGAGGAAGAAGATTTAAATCCCCACTCCCCCGTCACTGAATAATGTAAAAAATAAGTATTACATAGTGAGTGGGAGGGGGATGAACTCTTGTTCCCGTGTCTGTGTGACTCACAGAGACATGTAGCACTATGATATGAGATGAGCACTATGATAGGCCCTATAGTATAATATAAAAATATATAAAGCATATCAGTCTCCCATATCAGGCAGCCCCATATCAGTCATCATAAACGTGCTACAAGATCCTGTGGTGTGACTGAATTTCTGCGAACTAAAACACCTCTAGGGCTCCCAATTGGAAAAGTTTTACTTTAGTTTTACGAAATTCATTTCTACTGTGAGCAATCTGTATTCTGTACCGAACCAGTTGCAGATTGCATTTACTGAAAGGTATCACGAATTACAATGAGGCGAACGTTCGTTTCAAAGCTTGTATTTGATCGTTCGGAAATTTAACGTATAGCATGCGGAAGTAAACAAGTAGGTTTGGTGACACGTTTATCACATTTCAGAAGTAATTATAACTTTATGTTTGTCTAATTCTCTAAAATCTGATTCTTTATACAATAACTAAAGTTTGTCTTTTGTTTTAAACGTTATTTGGGTCCGATATGTAAACAAAAGTAGCTTTTATTGTTACTTTGATGAAATTTCACATATTATCGCCCAAATGTTTCATTTTTCCAGGGAAAAGACGACTACGAAGTCAGTTTGACCTTATTCTGTATATTTCTGACCTTACATCAATGTACTGTAAACCTTTTCACTGACCAACACTATTGAGTGCGAGAGTTAGTCCAATACACTCCACTCACTCATCATCTAGGAATCTCAAACACTGGCAGCTGGTAAAATCCAGACAATGGCAAAGCATGCTCTTAGCCTAAAGATTCTTGGTGAATGCTCAACTACAAAGGCACGTGTCTGTCAGCTGACACTCCCTCATCAGGTCGTAGACACTCCAGTGTTCATGCCAGTTGGTACCCAGGGAACACTGAAAGGCATCCTACCCGAGCAATTAGAAGACTTAGGTTGTCAGATAATGCTGTCTAATACATACCACCTAGGTCATAGGCCAGGGCCTGAGTTATTAACACAAGCTGGAGGCCTACATAATTGGATGAGATGGAATCGAGCTCTACTTACAGTAAGATTTCTTGTCTTGTCTAGATGTTAAAGACACGTGTATGTTTGTATGTTTATGTAAGTCAGCTTTGTATTCAGCGGATTGAGTTAAATGCAGAACATTATGATTATGATAAAGATTGTGTGTTCCAGGACAGTGGAGGATTCCAGATGGTTTCGTTACTGAAACTTGCAGAGATTACAGAACAAGGAGTGAAGTTTGAATCACCACATGATGGTTCTGAGATGATGCTGACCCCCGAGGAATCTATGAGAATACAGAATAGTATTGGTGAGTCGATGGAATAATATGGATGAGTAGATGAAATAGTACTGGTGAGTAGATGGAATAATATGGATGAGTAGATGAAATATAACTGGTGAGTAGATGGAATAATATGGATGAGTAGATGAAATAGTACTGGTGAGTAGATGGAATATTTGTGAGTAGACAGAATTATAAATCACTCACAAATAGGATGAGAAGAATAAATATAGTTTGTGAGAACAGAATGAAGCCATCCTAAGGAAAAGAATTGCCTATAATCAAACTTGAGCATTGGGTCAGTGCATGTGACTCTACAATAGTACTAAGTACAATTATTTAAACATACAATAAGTATCTTTCAAAATGATTGTATAACTTTTTAAATGATAAATGTGGAATATCTTATCTAAAAGTGTGTATCTTGACATATCCTTTATTTTCATGATTGTAATGTATTCCAGGGGCAGACATCATGATGCAGTTGGATGATGTAGTCAGCAGTACTACCTCAGGACCAAGAGTAGAGGAGGCAATGCACAGGTAGGCTTGCATATGAACTATTATGATTATATAAATACATAAAAGCTATGTTCACTCTAAGAATTTTTTGTTACTTACATTTTCTTACATAAAGTGATTCTTAGTAATTATACTAATCAGAGAATCTAGTAAAACTTCAGGGAGTGGTTCAAAGTGTCTCAGTATTTAAATGTATTTATTTTACTTAATACAAGTATGGAAAGCCCATGATACAAGATACAACTATGGTACAAGTCACCATCAAGATTTAGGAAGTTGTGGCAAATTGTTACAGTCATTACTTTTAAGGGCAAGCATTGAGCAATGGAAGTTGACATTAGCAGCTGTAATAATCGTTTCACTCCTGTAACTTTTTATTTCAATTAATGGCTCATTTTGTTATCATTTTTATTAATTCAAAACTTTTAAAAACAATAGGTTCATTTGCTGCTAAGAATATTAATTTTCTGGAGTCCAAATATACCGTACATGGACAAAGGGTAACTTATTTTTAAATCTAAATGATCTATGCAATGCATGTAAACAGATTATTGAACTTAACATGAGACATTTTGCAGGTCAATCCGTTGGTTGGACAGATGCATCAAGGCCCACAAGAACACAAGTAAGCAGAACCTGTTTGCTATTGTACAAGGAGGTCTGGATGAGACACTTAGGAATCAGTGCATAGAAGGTAAGTAGGTGTGAGAGGCTTGCAGACAATCAGAAATGGTTGGAAAAGAGGTGAATAATTTAAGCAAGGTGTATGGACTGAACTCGTCATGACAAGCCAATAAATGGTTCTGTGTTAATATATTCTTTGAATCTGAAATGCCATGCTTATATAATTATTCAATCTGCACATTACTCACTTACAGTGACTTATCACTATGGAGATTATTTGTATAAATAGAAATGCATTATGAATACTGTTCACAATTCTGAATAGAATAAAATCAGGGTATAAATTAAAATGTTGAATTTCATTTGTTGTAGAGATGACTAAACGTGATGTCCCTGGGTTTGCAATAGGAGGCTTAAGTGGAGGGGAGGAGAAACAACATTTTTGGAAAATGGTGAACATTTCAACAGACTCTTTGCCGAAAGAGAAACCCAGATACCTGATGGGAGTTGGGTCAGTAATTAACATTTAACAATTTCCAAGTTTATCGCTTGAAATATTTCAATTTTTGTATTTAATAGACTACTTATGAGAACAAAATGTAGGCAAATATCCTTACCTGTAACCTATTCATGAAAGTCCATTCATATACCGCACATATTGAATTTCAGTTATGCTGTTGATCTTGTCGTATGCAGTGCTCTTGGCTGTGATATGTTTGACTGTGTCTTTCCAACAAGAACTGCTGTAAGTAATTCGTGAAATGGCAAGTTAGGATTGATGTTTTGTTTTTTATATCTAAAATTTGTTTCTTAAGATCCTTTTTGGCGATGGTGAATGACATTCCATATTTAATCCATCATGCTGAAACATTCACATTTCCTTTTGAATGGTATATATTTTTCCAGAGGTTTGGCACAGCTTTGGTTCCAAGTGGTCAACTTCAGCTAAAGAAGGAGGTTTATGCCAATGATACACGACCAATAGATGACAACTGTGAATGTTTGACATGCAGAAACTATTCCAGAGCTTATTTACATTCTATTGTTACTAAGGAAACCATAGCCTGCCATCTAGTGACTCTTCATAATGTTGCTTACCAGGTAAGACTTGCATGTTTTGGTTAACTGTTGGTTAAGAAATAATGAAGCCCATCTTTTCAACAAATCATATTTTGAAATGTACCTTTCAACGAGTGACTCGATCTGAAAATCTAGAATTGATTATATTTTGGGAATTATGGGTTTTTAAGGTAGCTATTTTTGATTTAAGTATGACATTAAATTTTTGGACATTTTTAGCTTGCATAGGATATTGATCTTGAAAATATGTACGAGTGGGCAAATGCATTTCAATTTGAAAGTATCAATAAATGTTTGATAACATTTTTGAGATAAGAGGTCTGAATTCTAATTTGTTATGTTTTGGGATCAATTACCCACCTTGTCATTAAGCTGCATGAAAAATTGTATCCCCAATGTAAAATTAGTTCTGACTTGACTCAAGCATATACTGTACTCCGGGTATTGTTCGCATGCGATTTAATTTCGCTTTGTTCGCGAATATAGTAAAATCGCGAACATTTATCGTCGCGAAATTTGTCTTTTAAATCCCCGGGGATTTGAAACGGGACTTTTGATATGTTACGTTCGGTGTAAAACGTTTCGTCTAGTGTTGTTTGGTGATAATTCAAAAAAGGCCTAAAATGTCTAACATTTTGAATTGGCTTATTAGGCCAACAAAGTCAAGAACTGTTGACAACAATGATATCCTACAAATTGAAGTTGAAAAAGCCATTCAAGAATATTCAAATAAATGCCCTAAACGTGGGAAATACAAACATTAATCGGATTCTGAACGGGCTAAAATAGCCAGATATGCATTGATTCACGGTAATCGGAAAAAATTCAACTTGTGCAGTTCGCGAAATGTCATCAACTCAAATCCGCAAAATTAAATAGCCACGAAATTGCAATTTTGAAAAATTGCGAAATTTTATAGCGTTGAAATTTACCTGGAGTACAGTATTTGAGGAAAACACTTGATTTAAACTCTATAATGTAGTTGTTTTGTATATATTTTCAGTTAAACCTAATGAAGTATGTGAGAAAGAGTATAATGGAGGATACACTTCCCAAGTTTATACAGAACTTTATGTTAGAGCAGTTTCCACATAAACAATACCCCCAATGGGCAGTAGATGCATTGAGTACTGTCGGTGTGACGTTACTATAGTAGCAATTGCATATTGGATTAAACAAGAAAGCTGATTGATTGTGTGTTTCACATGAGGCAAGAGAGCTCGTTGATTGTGTGTTTTATACATAAGCAGAACATTGCCCTGAAAGCTAATGGTTCTCATTATGTGCAAAATGTATTTAAAGGGGACTAAAAACAAGAAATTAAATACCGGTTTCATGGCTGACCAATCCAGTGCAATCCAATTCACAATTTTAGAAATAAATTATAAATCAATAAATACAACCCAAAATATAGCCAGATCTGAGATTGTTTTCTTAGTTTTTTGTATTACCACTCTAAACTACTACATAACACATTCTCAAGGTTGACATATGAACCATACCCTTAATATCACTATATTAAAACAACCAATCATATGCCCTCATTATGAAGCCCATTGTACTATCCAGACAGCATTTTAAAGATCATGGACTTTAAAACAGACAATTAACTAAAGCTGTTTTTATCAATCACATTTTCAAGTTGATTAAATCCTGTGCCCTTATAGATTGTGGTCTATTTTCTGAATGAACAAAACTACTTTCAAAATAGCCCTATTTTTCAAATGATAGAGGTCCTAGAAATTCTTGATCCTTTCTGTTGGTTCATGGATAGTCATGTGATAAGTGTTAACATCAGGTTATTTGCAAAGTCATATTGAACTCGTATCATGACTGTCTGGATATGAGTTTATACAAGCAACCTAGAAAACATTGATTGAAAGATGTAATTGTACTTATATGAAGTTTTACACCTTTAGAATCTAACAAACACATCAATCAATAGATAAATATATTATTAATTTTTATTCAATATTCTATTTCAATTTTGTTCCAACCCCTTAATTTACATAACATAACAATTAATGACTCAGGGCAACACTGAAGAAATACAATAATGCAGTGTTCAGATATGGGTGCCATTTACTCTCTCATGCATGTGGACATTCTTAGATGAGCTGATGACTCGCTACGCTTGGTAATTTTGAGACGGATTCAAAATATCTTAAGGTGAACTTTATATTGCACCTGATGACCATAAGAATCAGGAGATTAGCCAGGTGAGGCTTGAGTTTAAATGGGCGAGGCAAACCACCTTTTTGGTGAGACAATGACCTCAGTTGGCTCATAGCTACATCCATGATATAATGGTTTACAGATATAAAGATGTATGATGAATAAATAATCCCATCTCTAGCTGATACTGGATGAAAATGTACAAAAGCATGAATATATTGCACAATAACATATCACTAGATACTCCTAATATATTATTCTTGTGTTCAATTAATTTTAATGAAGGTCTTCATCAGTTATGAAACCAAAAATACATTTTTGAATTATAATGAAAATAACATTTTCCTCAGAGAAGAAATATGCAATAACAAGTAAAACAATGCCTTAACATGACAAAATGTCACCACCTAGTTGCTCACAATATTATTAGTTTGATCTTGAGTCAGATTTAATTTGAATTTCTGAAAAGTCTGTAGATGATTTTGAAAATATAAATTGGTCAATTTTTGACCCTGGGGTCATTGAAGGTGAAATCTCAAATCTAAAGTCAGATTTGAACTTTCTGAGAACTTGCAGATGATTTTGAAAAAATAAATTGGTCAATTTGAAGCAAGTTGAAAAAAGACCTTTTTTGACCTTGAGAAGGTCATTGAAGGTCAAATCTTTTTTTGACCTTGAGAATGTCATTGAAGGTCAAATCTATACCAGATTTGAACTTTTGAGAACTTGTAGATGTTTTTGAAAACAAATTGGTCGATTTGAAGACCTTGAGAAGGTCATTGAAGGTCAAATCTTAAATCTAAAGTCAAATTTGATTTTCTGATAACTTGTAGATGATGAAAATATGAAATGGAAACTCCTTGTACAAAATTATTTTTTAAAGGCATTGAGAGCCATCTTTTAAACACAAGAATTGTGAGAACAAAAGTTGTTTTAGAGAGAAAATGTGACATAAAATTTAATGGTGAGATTCTAAACGATAAAGTCTGGTCTCAATTTTTTGAATGTACAACCGATACTACCCTTTTGGTAATTCAATGGAAAATTTTACATGGTATTTACCCTCAAAATATTTATTTGAAGAAATGTAACATTGAAAACTCTGACATCTGTAATTTTTGTAACGCACATGTAAAAGATGACATTGACCACTTCTTTATCAATTGTGACTGTATTAAATCAATTTGGGATGATGTAAAAGTTACAAATGATCAAAAAATTGGAAATGCAATTGTTAAAAAAGAAGATTTACTTAAAACATTGGTAATTAAAAAAGCTATACATGATTTTAAAAAAAGGGTCAATACAGCTAGTAATGTAAAAGCTATTTTTGATAATGAAATAATGATCAGAAAGATGTAATGTAACTTGAAATTTCTATAATTGTATTTTATCTTATTGTATGCATGTAATGTAAAATATGTTTATTAATAAAGTTTGATTTTATAAAAAAAAACAAAAAAAAAACTTGTAGATGATTTTGACAAAAATATTTGGTCAATTTGAGGCAAGTTGAAGGAAGACCTTTTTGACCTTTTTTAAACTTTTTTGACCTTGAAAAGGTCATTAAAGGTCAAATCTAAAATGTAAAGTCAGATTTGAACTTCTGAAAACTTGCGGGCGATTTAGAAAAAATTAAAGTCAGTCTAAACAGTATATGTTAAGTTATTGGAAGTTGTAAGAATTTGTTACAGTTACAGACGCCGACCGCCACCCGCCGATCGCCAACCGCCGCCAAAAAACAGAGACCATAACAATATGTCACCACTTCTTGGTGGTGACATAATAAACATTACACAAAAACTTAACAAAGCAAAATAAATAAAACATATATCAGTATACCGTAATTGTTAATATTTGAGCCTTGACAAAGGAAAACCGGTCTTATCACAAAAATTAAAATCATGCTACAAAGCCTAAAATGTGCCCAAGATGAAGAGGAAAATGTGTAAAATTCAAATCCTTCTTTTTGGTCTATATCTGCAAGGAAACATTGTTAAAACTAAGCCATGGCTTATTTGAAAGGTGTCTTTGTGCTTTTTAAGATGAACAAAAAATCAAAATATTGAAAAAGATCTGTGATAAGATCCCTTTTCCTGTGCGTGGCTCATTTTACGTCTTCTCATGTTTTCAAATGACTCTTTATAATTGCTACCAAACAAGAATTGTGCATAGAATTACAGTAGTGTATTGTGCATATAGTAGTGTATATTGCATCAGTCCACACAATTTCTGAAATGATGACCACATAATTCAAAACAATTTCGTACAACTCTCGAAACAATATAATATAAAATAAAGAGCTAATATGTAGTTTGCACATAAACAAATAAATCTATGCCCATCAATCAATCATCTAATGAAGAATGATAAAATTGTGATTATGACAATTAAAAAAGTAAAATGATGTGTTCTGACCTACAGTAATTTCTGAATGACTGCATTCTCAGAGGGGTTCCTTGATTCCATGATCCTAACATTTTAATCCCAAAATAAATATGAATATATTATCAAATGCAAGGATATTTTTTTCAAATTAACCATGTTTTTAAGAAATGAATTACCCCATACAATATATTTTTCATTCACAATAATTAAGGCCCATATTTTTGAAAAAAATTAAGACTCCAATGTCCAATGATGAACCCTATAATTATTTCATTGTTTCAGTAATAGAGAACCTTTTTGGATAACTGAAAAACCTTTTCACCTTTATGTACATGTAACTCTAGCATTTACAATTGTTGCCTTTTATGTACAGATAATAATAGAAATATTCCTTTCCGAAATAATTACTTACATTATGTACAAGCTTAGCTCTATGGCTTTATACACAGCAACACAAACACATCATGGCATATATATATATCCTGAAAAAACTAATAAATAGAAAAATAATGTTATTACAAAACTTCACAATGTGTTGACATGCTAAGGTTGGGCAATGGTAGATTAATTAGGGAGCATCTCAAAAGTTCAATGTAGGATTACTAACTGTATTTGAACAGTTAATCTGTGACCCCCTCCCTCAGCCCTCATAATTGTGTTTGGGAAATGTTGATATGCGTCATTGAGTTAAGTCACACTATATCTAACAGATGTAATACAGTCAATTTTTATGATCATTCCAATCTGTATTTTGTACAGTATCGGCATAAGAGTATCTCTTGTATTGTATATCACTATAGAATCCTGAGTTTGTATCCAAAAAAATTTGCTCAAATAAAATCCCCAGTAACGATATCGGAATGTTAAATTTTTAGGCTAATGACCACCTCCCCCATAACTGTTCAAATATGGTACATCGATCTTTAGAGATACTCCCGAACTCCAATGCAGTGTCTCGGTATAGACACTGCGGCGGGCAGATTATGGAATCCCCAAAATTTGGGGAAGATAGTCCCCCCTTTTTGTCACAGATGTACTTGATTTTCATACAACTTATAAAGTATATGTTCTTTTATGTTCACCAATCATTATTTTGTCAAAATATTTCAAAATTATTGAAATATGAGAAGAAATCACCACGGAAGGAATTCTGAGTAAAAGTTTTGTTGATAACTGTTTACCGCACGTGTTGTTTATTAGTTAACACGCGTAATTCAACCAATGAAATTGTCTAAATTTTACAATCACGCGACCTGAGCATGGGACTAGAACCAATCATGTCAGTTGTTTATTACGAAGTTACCATGCTTACGATGAGATACCTGCCCGCCGCAGTGATATTATCACTGCACGGGAGTTCGAGATACTCCCTTATTTACGAAGATCTCAGCTTATAATTTTATATATTTAGCCTTTAGCTCACACAGAGAGAGGTGAACATTAATTAAATGTATCTCATGTCTGATTCAACTTGCATTTTCACATTTACAGAAACATGCTCATAGATTGAGGATTGGCTTGCTTTCCAATGTGGAACTAAGCCATGTCTCCTTTTAACTCTCTTCATACGTACCAGAAATGGAAAATAGCATCTGATAAGTCAAAACACTGATGATTTCCAAAATAGAAAGTTTTACCCATTAAGCCTATAAAAAGGCCTACTTAATCGTAGTTCTCATAGATCATACATTTTTAATTTGATCCTTTCAAGGATGTCCTAAATATCCCAAAATCTATACAGTTGTTGAATGGTTAAACATAGAATCTACTTTCCTTAGAAGCACTCCAATATAATACAGTTATTAATCGAGTAATCAAAAGTTGTCGATAGCAGGGTACTGCTAGAATTAACACGGTGCTGTCATGGGCCTTCTAGAATGTATTATAGCTTGAAAGGATTTCAGGTCTGCAGGTCTGTAATTGGATTACAAACCAGTTTACTATTATTTTCGCAAAATACATGGACATTATCCAACAGTTTAGCATTCATGTGACACCATTTATTCATAATTTCCATAAAAAACAAAAGATGGAAAAACTAGTAGCATGTCCAATAAACCTGACATGTCATGTATTTGACAAACTGTTCCTGCCCCTCTGTTCTGAGATTGTATAAAAAAATCATAGTATTCCATCTCATTCCGAAGTTACAATTACCACTCTATTTTATAGTCGACAAAACTGAACAATCTAATTTCATTATTTGTGGAATATTTCATGCATTGTTCTCTTGGAATTAAATCTCTTATCACAGCGCCATATCACCAGATATATCTTAATTCACATTTTGTCTTATGAGCAAACAAGCCAAGCAGCCTTACATTGAATCTTGTGTAACATATTATTGCACAATAAGGTATCCAATTACATACACACTTTCACGGAATATGACAATATTTCCTGAAAATGTGGCAAGATTTCCCAGAAATATGGCAACATGTTATCTGAATCCATCTTCGTTAATTCGAATTTGAGATTTTTGAGTTAAAGATTCCATTTACCCCAAATGAAGCAAACTGATTCCAACATCTATGCTACACAATTTGTAGCCGGCCTTGACAGCATTTACATGGCATAAAGTTCCTTTCATCAAAGTCGGTTCTATCCACTTGGTTCACATTGCCAATTTCATTGAGTAAATGCATAATCTTTTGTGCTGTATGATTATCTGGTTGTGGACTATTCCATTGTTCAGAATGTTCAGACATGGTCCCTTGTTGAGGGGTGTCAGGCTGGTGGTTGTCATGATGATGATGGTGGTGATGGGAGTGTTTATTTTTAGATGGTGGAGGGGTGTCAGCATCTGGAGCACTGCCACCTATTATAGCCTCAACTTCACTAGCGTCAGAATCACCACTGGAACTGGATGTATAATCTGGCCAATCTGCAAATTGAAAATTAAACAAACATTTGTATATTCAACTACAAAATCAGGAGGATTCATAGGCAAAAAAAATGCAGGAAATCATCAAATTTAAACCATCTATACAAAGTGCATATTAAGTAGGATTAAAGTTTCCAAGGTAAAATGCTGTTATTATAGTATCATATTTGTGTTCTAGAGCACTGAGGCTTGAAACATGAGATGAAACTGCAGAGATATAAATGGCAATTGTTTCAACTATAACAATGAAAAGACCAGTAATAAGCATGCTAATGACTGAATCCTGCCATGCACTTACCATCAATCTGTGGATTGTTGAGATTGGCACCGAATGGTTTATTAGATTGTTGCATGGAGGCCTCAATGTCTGCTTGTGTAGGCACATGGTTTGGAATGGCTGAGTTGTTACTATGGTTACCCTGCTGTTGTGTATAGCTGTGCAACATATTACGCTCTTGCAGTAGCTGCATCACTAATGCCTGCAGCTGGCCAAGTTTCTCCTAAAACATCAAATTATCAAATTTTGATAAGGCATGAACAGTGGAATAACTTTATCTGATAACTGGGCTTGATAACTTATGAAACTTATCAAGAAAACTCTGATTAGTCAAAGAATAAAATTAAGATTCTTGCATCTGACAAAATTCGAATATTAAGATTCGATCAGATAGAATTTTTGTAGTCTGACTAACCTGCATGCCCTCTCTATCCCTGGCCATATTGGCGATATATTCCTCCTTCTCCTTCTGCCTGGTATATAGCACAGATCTTTGATGGTGGTACAGAGTGATGTACTCTCCAATTGTATCAGTCTCTCCCTGCAGTTGCATAGTTAAATGTTCCAACTGGTCATTCCTATCTGAAAGTTCAGCTTTCTCTCGCATAGACTTGGTGTATTTTTCCTGTAACTGCTCCATAGCTGTGCGAATAGTTTCATACTGCAATTTGTTGACTACTTCACCATTAAGAGTTGCTGGCACTGGAATGAACAAGAAATGAACAAATAGAATGGGATTATTATCATAATTATTCAAGGCTACAAGCTCTTATTCAGGGGGTTTGGGATCCTCCCCTGGCCTTAAAAATTCTTTCAAAATCATGCAGCTTTTCACCATTTTGAAGACATTTCAAGTGATTTTGGCCATTTTGGAGTTAAAGCTGTCAAAAATGAACCCCCCGGAATTCCTTAAATAGTGACCTCAACCTTGATAAATCCTGGCTATGGGCCAGGCTATGCCCTTTAATGTGGCAATACCATTAAAAGGAATGTAAAACATACAAAGGACAACAGTGCCTATGCTCCATATTGAGCTCATTGTCTAAAAGGGTTAAGGAAGGTGTAATACTTTTACTAGACTTCTCCATTTCTTCATTGAGGAGTTTCAGCTCCTGTTGCTGCTGTTTCGCTTCCTGGTATTGTTCTATTAACTGGTTCCTCTCCATCTCTAACTGACGTACAGAAGCTGATAGGGCATCAACCTAAAACCATAAAGGAATTTATGAGTACAACATCAAATAAGGTTTAGGTGTCAGGTCATTTCTGTAAGTACGCTCAATGATGAAATTCATAGGTCATTACTATTGTAGCCATGGCTATTGTGATGGAAAAAAATTTAGTCCAGGACTAAAATTACTTCATTAGCAAGGGTGGGTGTTCTTAAAGACTAACTAAAATTGATTATGTGTAGAACTTAGTGTGAAACTGTTGAGACAACCCTAGCATACAAGAACAGAAATAACTGACCATATCAGCATTTTTAGCACCATCCGTATCATCAGCATCTTTCTCTTCTGCAGCATTAATTGCATGCTTCCGCAACTCTGTGTTCTGATTGGTCAATGTGTTTATGTTCTCCTGGAAGAAAAATCACATTTTAAACAACAAATGACAAATCTAGATGTCACATTAGAATACATCTTTAAGCAATAAGTTATTGTGAGCATTATAAATGAGTATATTATCTTCCAAATGAAGAATACTGGACTTGCCGGCATTGCCGCACTGAAACAAAAACAAATATAGATATACAAAAATAAAATGTACATGGCTAAGTAACTTCTTTCAGGTTCCCTTGGTGATCAAACTGAATCTGTGTTAAAGTGCCATTCAGTCAACTACATATAGTTGTCCCCAAAAATATGTGTACTATAAAAGTTACAGTAGGAATACCCCACATATACTCAATCGCTTCTTTTCTATGCTTGAGATTGTAATGAACCTTTATCACAGGGTAACCCAATCAATAAACAGTAAACACCTACTTTTAAAAAATCATGTAGAAGCACCCTATTTCTCATTTTTTCTATGCTTGATAATGTATTTACCTGAGCTGAATTTAATTCTCTCTGTAATGTTTCCACAAGTTGACTCTGTGCCTCATAATGCCTCATCCTATCAGCAATCTGATCTTGTTGGTAAAGCTGCTTATTCAATGTGTGGCTGTTTGCCTCTATGTCTTGTAACTCTCGCTCTTTCATCTCCAACTAGAATGGAACATTAAGGTGGCTAAATATAATAATTTTTTCATAAATGCGTCATTAAGGTGACTTTAGGTAGGACATGGATGAAATTCATATCAGCAACTCTGCATAAAGAATGTCCATGGATACCAGGTCACTCACTCTACTCAGCATATGAAATAAAGTATACTTATATATCTATACTTACAGATCATAAATAACAGCTATATATTGTGGCGAACTAAAACCATGCTGGAAATTATGTCAAACCACACCAGTAATTATTCATATAAGATGCATTGTTTTTTACTAATGCAAATGGACAATTGATACTCTATTTAAGTCTAACCTTTTCTCTGAGCTCTTTTAATTCATCTTCTTGTTGACCAAGTCTGGCAGCTAGTTCCTTTGAAACATGGTCCTCTGACTGTAACCTGGTGGTCAAATCCATGTTCTCATTGCTCTGTAAGGGAATAGGAAATTACTGCATTAGCATAAACCAAATCATGGGCTGTACTTGGATGGGGTATAAAGTAGGATCCTGCATTTCTGCTGGGCAACTCTTTAACATATAATAAATTAAATGTTAATTGTAAAAATCTTAAGGTTACAAATACCAAATTTCAAAAAAGTCAATTTCTGAGAGCTCAATCAACAGGAGAGATTCTCATTTTAAACTTGCAGCGAGGGGGTGTTCATTTACACTGAGATCAAAAAATTAAATGGAAGTTACCCAAAAAACTATGCATTTCCAACAGAGTAGACTCACAACCTTTTAACCTACTGCACATACTCGCTGCAAAACCCACTCACCATTTTGACGAAACCATTCTGCAACTCTGCAAACTGCACCTTCAGTTCTTTATTCTGAGTGAGTGCCCTACTCAGGGCAGCCTTATCTCCTTGCATACTCTCCAGTAGCAGATCATGGTCTATAGACTGTTCTCCAACCCTAGACAACGTACTTTCAAGTTCATCTATTCTAGCTTCTTTCTCCTCAACGAACCTAAAGACCATTAGCATATATAGAAACATAAAGAATATTAGCATATTAAGTGAAACATAAAGAATTAGCATATTCAGTAAAGCCTGTAAAGTGAAACATTTTTGTAAGTGGAAGATGTCTACAAATGGATCATTATTTCTAGGTGCCACTGTTGTTATTTATTTTTACATATGAAGATGCCTACCTGCTTAATTGTGCATTATCTTGTACTTGGTTCTTGTATCTCTCCATTGTTAGTTCATTCTCCTGTTGGATCTCTGCCAGTCGTGCATTTAGGGCTTCAATTTGAGCATTAAATGCCTCTGATTGGCTAGTGTCATTAGCTGCAATTTAACGTTTTAGTATAGAATCATGACTGTTTTACATAGAACCAGCATGGTATAATGTCTAGCAATACTCCTATTCGCGATAAGAGTTCAGGTGGTAATTTACATAAATATCTCCCATGATGCATCGCTTTGGAAGGGACAAATTTTCATTGGCCCGCCGAACGAATCATACTCTGAACGTTTCTCAGCTTCTGGTCTTCCATCAGCCCTCAAGCATAGTTATATGATCCAATCTATTGAATAATCAGAAAGATAATCGGAGATTCGAAGTAACATTATTGATATTTTTTCGATCTTCGATGAAGTCTGAGCAATTTGGGAAATCAGTGACGTCACTGAAATTGGACGGCATTTTCAACTACAGATTTCTTCGGATTTGGGGATTACAGTTCAAAAAGCCTTGTTATATATCTTAATTACATACATACCTATCATTTGTGCAAATGCAACTATACATAAATGTTTAATAAAGTCGCAGTGAGGGATTGAAAATAACACCCCTGTGTAATCCAATGGGAAAGAACCCGGATGTAGACGAAGTTGTACTGTACATGAGAGCTCTTCAAACGAGAGTTAACTAAACTGAACGAGAACTAAATGTTATCGCGTATTGGTATATTGAAGATGCAAACATAAGCTTTTGAATTTTAGAAAAAAAAATCTTGAAAATCCAATTAATGCTTTTTTTAACATTACACTTATTCAGGATAGCTTTCTATCATAGAAATGATTAAATGCGTTTCTACTGTTAATAAAATTTGATGTTTACCATTAGATTCAGCAGCTGCTTGGAGGTCTTTTATGTGTCCCTCTAGTTCAGTCTGCCTGGAGATTAACTGCTCTCTCTCCACACTCATTTGCTGGACCTACAATTTCAAAAATGTGACAATTTGTTACAGACACAGAATGCTAACATCAACACTGAATACTAATCATATGAGTATGGTGACAATAATATATCACCAATTACATTGAGAAGTGACACTTAGGTTGAAGTAACACTGTACTGTGCTGTACATGATCAAATGTACTTCTAAGTGTGTCAAAACATTACAATTGAATGTTATTATCATTTAAAATTCCATGTAAAAGAAAAAAATAATTTCAGGCTTGATCATTTTTAATAATATCCAAACCAGAACTAGGAATAATGGAATAAATCATTCATTTGAGACTCATCATTAAATCAGTTATCAAACTTATACTTACTTGAGATGTGAGATGCTGTGACTGGTCATTTAACTGATGTATAACTTGCTGGTACTGTTCTGCAAGCTGGTCCCTTTCTGTTACCAGCTGTTGGAAAGAATTCTTGTACTGAAATATTCAATCATTTAGATTTAAGCTGCAGTTTATAATCCTCATTGAGATCCAACTCTAGTGAACTGAATGTATATGTAAAGTATGACTCCGAGCTTACAAGTACAAGGCCCATGGTTTGACAACAGGTGTTTATATTCACATAGAACATTACGAGTTATCTGGCAACAAGTGAATAGATTGGATGAGCTGCCAAAATAAACCTAAAATGTTAAAGTTTTTTCCATGTAACCATAGTTACAATTTTGTTAAAGGTTATCCAACTGTGATATTTTTCCATCACAGATCAATTGGATAACATGAAAAGCTCCTCATGAAGTGAATTTCACAGTTTTGAAATAAGCTGGTGATAAATTAATGTTTATCATGATTTTTTCTCATTTCAAAGTGGGTTTGAATTTGTGGGATATTTTTGAAATGCTCCCAATGGGTGCAACACCAATATGCATTTGATGCATTGCTAGGGATAATAAATGAACATTCATCACACTAACCTCATCTATTTTTGCCTGTAATTCTGCATTATTTGACTGCAGCTGCTGAAGTTGCTCCACACTTGAACTGTCAAGGTTTGCTCCACTTTGGTTAGATAACTGAAATAGAAATCATTTCTTTATGTATGTTCCTTCATAAATGCAAATTCTTTTTATTTCTTATTACAATAATATTGTAATTTAAATAGACTGAGCGGCATCATAATTGGTTAACATTTTTCTCTGAACTGTAGTCTACAGTTTTGTATATTGTTGTCTCAAATGGCAATATAGTAGACTAACCTGTTGTATTTGGACATCAGAGAGCTCTAATCTACTTTGCAGTTCTGTAACAGACTGATTCAGGCCATTACATTCACTAGATTTTGCATGTAGCTTCTCCTGGAGCTCAGAGTTTTGTTGTTTAACTTCTTCAGTACTTTTACTGGAAAATATACACATATAGATACAATATACAAGCTTCACTGTTATATTATTTATCCTTAATTTAATCGATAAACCTCTGATATATCTCAAACAATAATCTAATAAAAACAAAGAAAGAGTGATTAACAACCCATCCCCCCTCCCTCAATTCAGGGAAACAGACTTTGATAATATTGATAATTATATAAGCTGTCTGCAACATCTGAGCTTAAATGCAATATATCAAGATATGCTGTTTTGGTAATTGCTATAGCATGTTTAAAACAACAATTCAAATATGACCTTTATTTTGAAATCAATAATTTGTATGCAGAACATATAGAGAAAAATCAATAGCTTTTAAACTTTTAAATATTAATAAACTAAAATGTTCAGTTTCCCAATATCAAAAAATTGCACAATAAAAGTAATGCATTCAATAATCCAAAAAGAACCAAGTACAAAAGACCTAATATCCAAATGCCGCTTGGACTGGTCAAAAGTGTTTGGATTAGCAGTTACGATTTCAAACTTTTAATGTGTGTCTATAGAAGACAAAAAAATTGGAATGGAAAAAAGTGTTCAGGTTGAGAGGTGTTCAGATATCCAAGCTCACAGTAATATATTAATAATATCCATGCTTACTTTAGTTGATAAACTTCTAATTTTAATCGATCTACTTCTTTGGAAAACTCCCTACTGGTTTCTTCATATGAATGACTAGATGTGCTTGCTGTGGATACATCACGTTCTAACTCAACAACTCGCTGTCTTGAAGCCTTTAGTCGCCCTGATAGCTCCTCAATCTCATCTGAAAATATAATGGACAATAGACATGAATATTTTGAATGGGAAATTTGATCAAATCTGCACAGATTATGATTTAAAATGTGTGTAATCAGGCCTTAATGTTAACTAACTTTTACAAGACTGAAGACAATAAATGCAATGTTAAGATTGCATTAACCTGACGATATGTCATTACCTGATTTCAATTACAAACATTTATTTAATAACAATTGTTATAGATGCTGACGCGAAACACCAATCACTAATTCTTTTTGTTCATTGTTTATTATACCAAGTATATCCTGTGACTATCTGAAATTTGGCTATGATTCTTGAAAATTTCAAATGTATCTTGGAGTGTGCAAAGAATAATCAATCCTTTATGACATACAAAACAATTAATTATTGATTAAACAGTAAATTGAATATAATTGAATGTTCATGAACATGTAATTCTGTCTATATAGGATTTTGGCATGAATGTCAAATAATATAATATAAGGGGTTTATATAGTTCAACTGGTAGCAATTATAGATACATTGAAACCTGTAAAGTGGAACACCTCTAGAAGTGGAACACTTATGTACTGGAACACTTTTCAAAGTCCCAAGACCAACTGACTTATGCAAAATGAATCCTACAGTAGAACACCTCCCAAGTGGAACACCTTTTAGAGGTATCAAACGTGTTCCCCTTACACAGGTTTTACTGTACTGCTACTCCTCAAATTAATAAACAAACAGATGAAGCTCAACAGGAAGAAAGCCATCTATCTTAACAAGGTGGAACTAAAGTCAGCGAAAGGTTGCCTCGCTTGCAATAAAGTATGCCATCTGTCAGAAAGTCTACAAAGATAATATGATTGTGTTCATCTACTTTAAGTCAGTGGTCTATTTGAATTGATATGACTAAACTGGGAGCAGAATTCAACCCTTTGGAGCCGATTGGATTTGAAGATATGGATTTTACAAATGCAAAAGATTAATATAAATATTTTGAACACCTTTCAAGCGTTTAATTTCCATATTCTCTCCTTCATCCCCAAGGACATGATCTACATCCATATCTGTAGTTTCTTCCTTGGTCTGAACAACAATACCATTTTCCTCAACCTGTATAGCTATATCATCTTCCTCATTATGCAGCTCAATATCATTGTAATCATCGTTAATATCATTGTCATCATTGTTAATCTCATTGTCATTGTCCTTATTCATCACAATGTTATCATCATCATTGTCTGACACAACATCATTGGGCTTTTCATCATTTTCCTCCAAGGATTCAGTTGGGAGAAATATCCATTCTAATGAACTGTTTGAACTGCCTGATTCCTCAGATGACATGTCTATTGTATTGTATTCTATTGTATTGTGTTGTATTGTAATGTGATGTATTGTATTGTATTGTATCGTATCACAAACTATGCTTTCTGCATATGTATAATGTACATGTATCTTATAGCATTTACATGTACATGTATTTTTTAAAGTCTATCCGTCTGGCACATAATGATAATCCCATTTAATCCCATCTGCCAGCGTACATAAAGACCTATGTGATGGATCTACACTGATTGTGTATATATATATAAGTCCCTCCTATATACTACCAAACAGTAACAGTGTTATGTTCAGCATTTGTTTATGCTTTTCAGTCTGCCAACTCAGACATATTTCCGAATGTATATTGTGCTGCAATGTTAAATATGCTGGTTAACTGTTAATAACTGCAAGCATTGATAACAATACATGCATTTGCATCATCTATTTCTAAATTGAATATCTTCTGTATTCATGCTGTATAATTGCTGTTCAGAGTTCACTAGACTTATCAATGTCTTTACTTCTTATTTTATGTATTGTAAAACTGTAACTTCTTATAGCTGTATGCAAACATTCAATATTTTTAACGATGAAACATTCCACAAAGCATTATGTGTTATTGATTTTATTTAACAGCAGCTTGATGTCAAATTGATATATTGGTTTCCCTTAAATTAAAGGTCTAGATAACAAGCTATTCAACATGGTTTCCCTTGAATTAAAGATCCAGATAAAAAGCTATTCAACATGGTTTGCCTTAAATTGAAGATCCAGATAACAAGCTATTCAACATGGTTTCCCTTGAATTAAAGATCCAGATATCAAGCTATTCAACATGGTTTGCCTTAAATTGAAGATCCAGATAACAAGCTATTCAACATGGTTTCCCTTGAATTAAAGATCCAGATAAAAAGCTATTCAACATGGTTTGCCTTAAATTGAAGATCCAGATAACAAGCTATTCAACATGGTTTCCCTTGAATTAAAGATCCAGATAACAAGCTATTCAACATGGCTTCCCTCGAATTAAAGATCCAGATATCAAGCTATTCAACATGGTTTCCCTTGAATTAAAGATCCAGATAACAAGCTTTACGACATGGTTTGCCCTTAATTGAAGATCCAGATAACAAGCTATTCAACATGGTTTCCCTTGAATTAAAGATCCAGATAACAAGCTATTCAACATGGTTTCTCTTGAATTAAAGATCCAGATAACAAGCTATTCGACATGGTTTCCCTTGAATTAAAGATCCAGATAACAAGCTATTCGACATGGTATGCCTTAAATTGAAGATCCAGATAACAAGCTATTCAACATGGTTTCCCTTGAATGAAAGATCCAGATAACAAGCTATTCAACATGGTTTCCCTTGAATTAACCCTTTCACGACGATGGGCTCCATATGGAGCCCTATTATGTAATACCTTTCAGGACGATAGGCTCCTTTTGGCACCATAATTTTTATTTATATACATCGATGAAATGATAGTATCTCCAGTTCTGTTCAGTATTTTTACACCAAATTTTGACAAGTTGTTCTAATACGATAGTCCTTACTAAAAAATGTATTTCAGTGATAAAATTCAAGGTGTAGGTCCCTGGGCATAGGTAATTTTCAGTTTTCCCCTAAAAACTGCTCTTACTTATCCGTCACCAGGGCCAACATTTTCCTCTTATATTCACGTCGGGAAAGGGTTAAAGATCTAGATAACAAGCTATTCGACATGATTTCTCCTGAATTAAAGATCCAGATAACAAGCTATTTGACATGGTTTCCCTCGAATTAAAGATCCAGATAACAAGTTATTCAACATGGTTTGCCTCAAATTGAAGATCCAGATAACAAGCTATTCAACATGGTTTCCCTTCAATTAAAGATCCAGATAACAAGTTATTCAACATGGTTTTCCTTGAATTAAAGATCCAGATAATAACAAGCTTTTCGACATGGTTTGCCCTAAATTGAAGATCCAGATAACAAGCTATTCAACATGGTTTCTCTTCAATTAAAGATTCATATAACAAGCTATTCGACATGGTACATATGCCTTAAATTGAAGACCCAGATAACGAGCTATTCGACATGGTTTCCCTTGAATTAAAGATCCAGATATCAAGCTATTCAACATGGTTTCCCTCGAATTAAAGATCCAGATAACAAGCTATTCGACATGGTTTCCCTTGAATTAAAATTCAAGATCCAGATAACAAGCTATTCAACATGATTTTCCTGAATTAAAGATCCAGATAACAAGCTATTCGACATGGTTTCCCTCGAATTAAAGATCCAGATAACAAGCTATTCAACATGGTTTCCCTCGAATTAAAGATCCAGATAACAAGCTATTCGACATGGTTTCCCTTGAATTAAAGATCCAGATATCAAGCTATTCAACATGGTTTCCCTCGAATTAAAGATCCAGATAACAAGCTATTCGACATGGTTTCCCTTGAATTAAAATTCAAGATCCAGATAACAAGCTATTCAACATGATTTTCCTGAATTAAAGATCCAGATAACAAGCTATTCGACATGGTTTCCCTTGAATTAAAATTCAAGATCCAGATAACAAGCTATATGGTTTCCCTTAAATATCATGAATACCTCATTCTGATACTCATAGCATCTTTCTGTTTCACCTGAAACATGCTCTGATATTATGAGGCATATTCTGTGATCTGAGCACATCAGATGGGAAGAGTTATAACCGTCAATAAGTGAGATAGTTATCATGTAATCATTTACCTTAATGTCAATACATTACATAATAGGCATTGTATTTAACAGCAGATATTAGCACAGGCATGTGTACACAAGTTTAATGACCCCAATTAAATGAAATATGAGCTGGGATGAAAGATCTCAAAAATCCTCAATTTCGGGCTCTCCTGGATCGCCAAATCAAGCTCATTATATCATGGCATCTCAGGGCTGAGAAGAAATGAGATGTCATGGTATATCATGATGTGAATACCTAGATTACTAGTTGTTCATTCACTTCTCAATATTCATATAAACAAGATGCACATGTTACTTCATCCAGTAGGATGAATTGTTTTGTAAATATAGAATAGTTTTCACTTTTATTCAATTTCAACATAGAAAATATTTGCAAAACTGTTACATTTTGAACTGAATAAAATCAAGCACACTTCTTATCATTCACTTTCTAATGCATAGTTTCAATACAAACTATTGCCAAATAACATTTGCTCTTGGCAATATTATGATGTTACATATAAACTGAATTTGACTGTCTACCATTTAAAACAGATATATAATCTAATGGTGATAGAATTTGAACTGAAAATGATTTTAACCTTTACACTTATAAATAGAAAGGACATGGCCAATGGTGCTGAACATGCACAGTACAATCCAATATGTGCCAAACTAAGTCAATCAAATTGTAAGCAAAATAGCATATAAAATCTTATAAGTAGCCTTATTAAGGGCAAACAGATGTGATCCAGTTGCCCATTGATGTGGTTATTTGCTCTACTAGTCACTGTTTGCACACCAGCTTTGAGGACATATTTATATGCAATGCATGTTTGAAGATGGGATAAAAAACATGTTTGGTATAAGCTACTGTATAGTATAGACAACCTGATGTTGTTGTACATATAACTGACAAGTCCAGTCTAAAGGATATTCAAACGCATAGTTTCCTACTGGCATTTAGGGAATAAATAGTGAAAGCCAAAAAGCAACACAATCAGGTAAATAGTTTGCCATATTTGAAAATATCAGGTATAATTTTGCAGCATTATTAATTTCTCTTAATTTTATACTTAATGACTAAAATCTCACAGTTTCCACAGTGTATTCTCATTCATACTTGCATTCTCAAATTGCATTTGGAAAGTGTTTTTTTTCTAAACTGTAGCTTATATTCTCAATTTGTATTTTCATATTAAGTGCTGTTCACTGGATCGTTAAGTTTCACCTTTTTAATGCCTTGAGCTAAATACTTAAATATGACATTGTGTATATATTTTTGAAAACACAAAAAGAATTATTTTGAATAAAGCCTGACATGCAATCAGATTAAACTGATGAATACTAAAAATCCACTTTCCAGTTCACCTAGTGATTATAAAATAATCACATAAGAACAAATCATTTTTGGCAACACCCTTTATAACCTTTGCACAAGGTAGTTTAGCGTGTTAAGATATTTGAATGGCTCTTCATTGGAGTCCTATGTTACTTTCAGGTAAACATTACTCATTCCGAATGTGGTTTACATATTTTAGCTTTAATAGAATAAATTAAACAGATTAATAGGTAAATGACTTAATAGGAGATTTAATAAATAAAACAAGAAAATTTAGTGACCTACACATGTTGTACTATAAAAGGGTACAGGTTGAAAATTATTAACCCAAATAAAAACACAAAATTTTAAATGTACAGATTCTGACTTAAAATTTTTGCAAACTGGTCCAACAGAGATTTCCGATAAATCGTGCCATCTTTTGATCCATCAGAGAAACTACAATATATTGGCAAGATTGATGATGTCCTGTTGGTTGTACTTCTTCAAAACTAGCAAAATAAGTTAATTAATACTAATTTTTTGCATGGACAGATTGCTACCTACAACCAATGACATCATCAATCTAGCCAATATGTTGAAGTTTCTCTGATGGATCAAATGATGGCACGATTTATCGGAAAATGCCTATCACCACTGTTTTCTCCTGATTTTCTAATGTTTAACTCATATGCATATGCAATGCATGTCATCTTGTTACAGGCTTCAGAGAACACTGATATATAGAAAACACTGATCATTGATATGCACATACTCACATACTCACTAATCTATTCACTTTATTATTTCATGCTTCAATTATTTGAACTCACAGTAAACTCGTGTAACTGCATACATGTACATTAAAATTAAAGGACACAGTGAGTTTTGTATTAAAACTTGTCAAACCATACTAACATGGGTACAACTCTTCTTCATCATCATTACACACATCATAAACATTTCTATTATTTTGCTGCATGTTCTCATATTTGAAATATTATTTTCCAGGTGCTGATAAACCAATCCACATCATGACGTCATCAGTCAACCTCAGTAACTCTGACCTCATACAGGCTTCAAAAACAGTCCCAGCTTATAAAGACCTCCAAATGAAATGTCTGAAATGTTTGACACCATCAGCAGATGTGAAGACATTGAGATGCCTTCATGGAATATGTGTTGAGTGTTTTAGTGGTTACTTGGATGCTGCCGATTACCAACAAAATGGCATCCAATGTTTTACTATGAGGTGTCCAATCTGCGATGAGCCTACAGTTGTTCAACCTGAGGGCATCCTAGCTCTTAACACTGATTTCTTCAACTTTGATGAACTGAGTGAAAAGATAGCTAAACGTAATCCAAAGCCTGCTACTCCAGTCAAGGTGGAAAAGGAAGAGAAAGTAGAGAAAAATTCGCAGAGTGAAAGTTCAGTTCTGCCAAACCCACTTGATAGCAAACTATTCTCAATGGCCAGAAAGTCATTAGCAGGCTCTCTTTTCACAGAAGCAACAAAACCAAATGATGAAGACGCAGACACAAGCAAAAATCTGACACCTGCTGAATCAACTGAGACAATCAACAAGAACAAAGAAAACATCAACAGTGAAAACATTCAAAACAATAATAATGAACACATCAAACCATCCTTGAAAATACCTAAATCCAAAACTGCAAAGAAAGTTGAATTTTGTAGGAGACATCCTAAGGGTATCATTACCCACTACTGTGCTGATTGTATAGTACCTGTATGTGCTATTTGTTGTAAGAAACACCATGATGAGCATAATATCAAGAATCTAGACACTGGTCTCAAACCACAAAGAGCAAAACTGGAGACAGTTCAAAAACTGATGAACTCAAAGTTAGTTTCAATTGGTCATAGGGTCTCTGAGCTAGAGCACATACATACAAATCTCTGTTACTCGTATACAAGCACACGGGCTGCTATTAAACAGAAAACTGCAGATATGATCCGCAAGCTAAAAGAACAAGAAAAAAACGCTATAGGTGAATTAGATAATGAATACAAGCCCAAGATTCAAGTTGTCCAGGCTGAGCGTGACAACCTTGGCATTCATCGAACCAACATGGAAGCACTGTATAACTTCACATCCGATGTACTTAAGGGGTCCCCAATAGATATGCTTTACGTCCAGAAAGTGCTGACGTCCAAGCTAGTGAAATGCACAGAGCTGCAACCCCCAATACTGTCAAAGAAAATGCCAATAGGTCCCATTTATCTACCATACACAGAGGAAATTAGCATTGGAGATGTAGATATCGCCAACCTTCCCATGGTATTTCACATTGTTCCCCAATCATCACCACCTGAAGTAAGCATCTCCCCAATAGCAGTTGTAAGATTGTTATGCAAGCCACGTTCACCTGAATTGTCCACAAGTTTAGATATGGAGCCACCCACAGATAAACTCAATAATGGGCCTTATGATATTGCATTCACCTCCCTTGGTGGCATTATTATTCCTAATAGTGAAAATAATGGCCTGACTGTATATGGTAATAAGGGAGACATCTTAGGTCACCTGGCCAAAGAAAAAGTAAAACCACTGCGTCTCGCTACAACCCAGGATGGCCAAATTCTCGTTACAAATACCGGCAAGAAAGAAACTATCAACATGTTTACAAAGAATGGTATGAAAATCCGTCAGATTGGAAAAGGTGAATTCAAAGCACCATGCGCAGTTGCTTCACTGGAAAAAGATCGTATCATTTGCAGTGACTCTGAAAAATGTTTTGTCAGCATTCACAACCTCACTGGTGACCTCATTAAAAAATTTGGGACCCAAGGTTCTGGCCCTGGTCAATTCAATTACCCAGCATACATTGCAGTAGATGATAGAGCCAATCACATTCTCGTTTGTGATATGTATAACCACTGCATAAAGGTGTTCAGTCGTGAGGGAAATTTCTTGTTCCAGATCGCCTCTGAAGGGGAAATGGATGGACAGCTGAGATGTCCACATGCCATAGCCTTAGATAAGAAGAGCAATGTCTACGTGGCTGATTGTGACAACCATAGAATAAGCGTGTTCTCCCCCTATGGTAGGTTTATCCAGCATGTCATGACGTATGAACATGGACTTAGCTATCCTTATGCTGTGGGGGTAAGCCCTGACAATTGCCTGGTTGTCATAGGTGAGAACAATTGCTGGCCAACAATGTGGATATATCAACTCAGCCACATGGAAGATGAGACCCAATGTTAAGCAATGTCAACTGACTTCAGTGTCAACTGTCTGTACAAAATATCAATATGGATATATCAACTCAACTACATGGAAGATGAGACCCAATGTTAAGCAATGTCAACTGACTTCAGTGTCAACTGTCTGTACAAAATATCAATATGGATATATCAACTCAGCCACATGGAAGATGAGACCCAATGTTAAGCAATGTCAACTGACTTCAGTGTCAACTGTCTGTACAAAATATCAATGTGGATATATGACTACAGTGTCAACTGACTCTACAAATATCAATGTGGATATATCAACTCAGCTACATGGAAGATGAGACCCAATTTCAAGCAATGTCAACTGACTCTACAAAATATCAACCGACTCTACAGTGTCATGACTCTGCTTGATGTCAACTGGCTCTCTAGGGCATCATCTTACTTTGCAAAATGTGAAATGACTCTACAAAATGTGAAATGACTCTACAAAATGTGAAATGACTCTACAAAATGTGAAATGACTCTGCTGAATGTCATCTCACAATACTGACTGATTAAAATATGTATTGAGATATAATATAATATAATATTGTGATATAAAGATTAATAGACCAATGCAGAACTGACGCCTACTAACAAATCAGTTGAGAAAATGTTTGGAGCTATTTAAAATAGAACAATGCAATATAGACATAATATAAGTGGAAATAATACTAATTTTTACAAAATAAACAAATGAACAGATCAATCTCGATTACCAGTAAAAAAGTTATTATTGAAATTATGTAATATTTGTTGATTTGTATACCTTTAATTTAAAAACATCATATACTAAAACTTAACACCGTATATCACTGATATATTTGGAAATTAAAATGTAACTTCTTATAAATGACTGATGTGCTGCAATAATGAATAAATAAACTGACTTTGTTTTAACTTGAGAATAGGTGATTTTTGAGTAATTTCAAATATAAAGCAGACAGCATAGTAAATGTATTAGTAAGGGCTCATCTTTAAACTGAAGTCAATGTCTCATCCAGATACAGACATGCTATAAGGACCTATCCCTGCACAGTCCAATGACCTCACAATGATAAATAAAATATTCTGTCTCAACTCAGGTCATTTATCATTTATTTAGTGCACAGGGCATCATTTCCATGGTGATATCAATCAATTGTATGCACTAAAAGGCCTGTTTTGTGATAAATATGAAACAATTGATGTCAAATTACAGAATTTTATAATATCAACTGAGACTTACCCAGTCGTTTTTCTGCTGCTTTCTGGCTTTGATTCAACGCTGACTGTAATTCTGTTTTCTCTGCTACAAGGATTCCTATGGTTTGAATATGAACCTGAAAGACACCATGTTATATTAGCATTTTAGTCCCTTGTATACTTAGACTGAGACAGCTTTGAATCATTAAAAAATAAAATTGCAGACTTATTTTATCATACTTGCTTTGAAATATCATTGGGGTAAATATTTTTTGAAAATAGAATGAACATGAATTATAGTTATGTTGATTGTCCAACTCCCTGGCAGATATTTGTTGCAAATGAAGTTTTTGTATATGTGCCTTATTGTGTATGTATAGCATTTATTCTCTGATATTTTCCTATAGTGTTTTCTATAGCCAGTCAAACTAGGTAAGATAAGATGACGAAATAATAGTATAGCCTGAAACTTTAATGTCAGAATAAAGGTAATAGAGGTCTTGAGATAACACCCCTCCCCCTCTAATAAGGACTACACTACTACTAACTGCCAATTCATTTGAAAATGTCTTCACAAAGAATATTAAACAAATACTGGATACCATGAGGTGGATATGCCAGAATACCTATCCGAGGAAAATATCATATCCCTACCATTAATTTACTGTAGATAAATGAAAGATGGTGTTAAATTGTCAAGAAATACTTTTATTTTAAAGAATGGGTCTACTAAAACACTAAAAATGCAACAATTGTAATACTAATATGAACTCTTTAACAGTTTTTAAAAGTCTGTTTGTCTCTGTTATAGAACCTGTACAAATGTACAGTCCCATGTGTACAGTAAGTACTCCTGGGGGTAGGGTATTAAAAATATGGGATGCTTGGATATCTTGTTGCTTCAATACCGGATAGAACAAGATCTTGCTGCCACGTATGGCAATAGACCATGCAGCTCTTAACCAATCAGATTTGAGTATATTTCCCATATGGGACATTCTGCTGCAATGTTTCTCACAGGATAATTCAAATATTTATATTTATGTCATGACCCCCATATTACTGAAATAGCAATATATTTGATATTTTTAAATGCCTGTAGATGAATCTGCATGGAAACTTGCCAATCTGAGATGAAAAAACATGTCTTCTGCAAAAATGGTATTAAATTGGTTAAATTCAGTTGCAGAGGCTTTGAACAAATCACTAAAGAAGTGGATTTTCTAGTCAATTTTTATGATATTTCGAGAAATTTAGTCCTAGCAAACTCCAGACAGGAATTAAACATGGAAACCTTCAATCTTTAGTTGAAATTGCCATGAAAGAAATGCCCCAAAAGGGGGTCTTTGGCGCGGCACATAGGAATTAAGAGGTATATTGGAGTGAAACCCCCGGGAATATTACCCTATATTCAAAACCACAATTTGCAAATACACCTTTTAAGAAAGTTGAAATGCTATGAAAGTTGTACAAAAGTTGACAGATCACCATACATAATATAATGCCTCCTATACAGAGCAAGTTTTGAAACTTCTTGGCTCAAAATCAATGAGACCCCAAAGCCTGCCAAGTTTCCCATCCTAGTACATAATTTATACAGTAACTGCAATCATACCTCAAATATCTGCCAGCATGAATGTGGAATGAAAATGTATTATTTTAAATTTAAAGCAACACCTCGACTTGGAATCAATACACTACAGTATGAACAGCATTTGTATTTACAATATTTATAATATTATCTATTCAATGATGGTAACTCAACTTACAAACTATATTTTTATACTTATAATTACAGGAAAACCTGTTTATATAAATGTCACTGGGACATGCTCAAAAGTGTTCAGATTGGTAGGTGTTTATGTTACGAGGTTTTTAGCAGATTAAAAAAATGAGGTAGCAGGATATTCAGGATTGTGCACTATCATTATTTATGAGATTTTTTGAGGTGGATATTGTGTATATAAGGGCATTGAAATCACAGGCCAGGACAATGGCAGAAGATTCTCTCGTTATGGCCAAAACAGGCTACTTAGATCCTCAGAAATTATATTTTTCATTCGGCCCATGTAAAATGAAACTCATTTTGGCTATCATTCAAATGAATCTATTCATAAATGTTTTTATAACTATAAAAAACATTAATTCATTCGTCATATTTACCATCTGTGTAAGGTGGCATTCAAATAATCAATAATCAACCAGTGGTACCCGAGCCTTTTCAGAAAATTGTCAGATTTTTTTTAATTATTTTTTTGAGACCAAGTCATAAACTGAAGTTCTGTACATGTATGTATTTGGCTATTTGTAGTAAACTACTAATTCACAATCATATAATTGGTCTTGGATAGGTTATGAACATTTTCTGTAGTATAGTACTCTACTGTAATCTCCCTTTTCAACTAATTGATTAATCTACAGGGTGGTCCAAAAAAGTGAACTGTTACAACAGGCTATTTTATTACATGCAGGAATCTTTTCATACTTTCACATGTTATAGAGGAAGGTCTTTGTTGGTACAATTCATTTTTCGAAAAAATCTTGAAAAATCCTGACGCAACATACCCCTATATGGTCTTAAAATGTCAATTCTTCATTAATCATGGACCAATTCTAAAGAAATATGGACCAAAACACTGAATATTACATTTCCTTTTGATTTTTGTAAGATATCTATATGAAGGGCTTCTCAGATTTTGGGTCACAGGGGGTAACTTTGCCCCCTCCAACTGTTTGTGTAGGTAACATGCCCCTTAATTGTTGAATGGTTAAAACTCCTTCAAAATGGTCAATGAACGTTTGAAATGTGTTATCTGCCCAAATAGTGTCCCATTTGTCATATGTTATGGTTTAAACTTACATCTCTCACTGGAAGCTTTTTTAAGATCGTCCGATGTGTTTCAACAAATTCAGTGAATCACATCGGTAAAATTGTGCACAGTATCTAATGTTAGGCATGTTTAATTAAGTCTTGTTTTTTCTTCAAAATCCAAGACTGAGAATAAATTATGGCATCAACAAAATCTTTAGACCTTTCTCTACAAGATGTGATAATATATTAAGCCAATTCATGCATTTATTAAGGAAAATATTACCTGTTACAGGGGTTCACTTTTTTGGACAACCCTGTATATGGCAGGGATTAAACAAGATTCTTGATTCAATATAGTTCATAGATACTAGTATTCCGTAATTCCGCGGCGTGGACGGAACTTGACAAAACTTCAATTTTTTGCAGAATCCCTGATTTTCATGAAAATCCCGCGGAATTACCAGAATTTCCAGAAATTACATATTTTATGATCTCCTACCTTTGCGGGGTATTTGAAGAGTGTCTGTTTAGTGTTTATGTCCAACAATCAATCATTATTGAGTACAAGTACGATTTCACCGTGAAATTCAACATTCTATCACGTTTAAATTCGCTAAAGCGAGTTCGCTAATGACGCGCAGTTCTTACCTAGAAAGTAGCTGACTTCCATTTCCGTTTTCGATGGATTGGTTTGTGAAAAAAAAATTGCAGAATTTGGACTTTTTTGAAAATTTGTGCAGAATTTTGATTTTCTCCTTGCAGAATTTGCTTCTTTTCTTGCAGAATTTTTTGCAGAATTTTGATTTTTTTCATGCAGAAAACCAGGCTGACCCATGGCCCGAACCAATCTGGCCTGTCCCCAGGGTCACCCGGTCCATCACTAGCAGGGATGTTCAAATGAATGAATGCCTTTGATGTGTCTGCCTACCTGTAATTGTTCTTTAAGAGCACCAAGTTCTTTCTTGAGTCTCTCTTCAAACTCAGCCCTTTCACTATCAACCTGTGTTTGGAGCTTGACATTTTGATTTTTCTGAAATGTATAAAAGTCAACTTTTAATAATACATTTAAAAACTGTAAAAGAGAGGTGATTAATTTTGATGAAATAAGATGGCCATTTCAGCAGTCATTTTGGAAGTTCATGCATGAGCTGAATTCTTTGTCCATAAGGCATTAGCAAACAAAATTTAAAAGCAAGCAAAAATTAAAAAAAAAACTCTGCTGGCATTCAAGAGGTTAAATAAACCGAAACATGATAGAATGATTATTGCATGAATCATCCAAATGTCAAATCATGATGTGTGATCATGATTTCACGAAATGTTAAATTCATGCAATATGTGAGGCAGCAGGAATAAATAATACAAACCAAAACATTTACACACATTGAACACACTTCAGATGAGAAAGAGCATATGTAAAAGACACAACTAAAGAACCATGATTTTCAAGCTTAGTCTAATATTAATCCTGCTGTGTATCACCAGGGAAAGTTTTGAGAACAAGAGGAATGCAGCGAGCAAATTCACAACAAGACAGATGAGACTGGTAGGTGGTGCTTCTGAGAGAGAGCGAGATTAGAAGTGGAAGTGCGTGGCATCTGGGGCTCAGTGAATTTGGGCGATTTAAGGGGATCACTGTTGCCTTCTGATCAACAGATAAATGATTACATATGTGGGAAGTTGGGATTTTCAGCCTCAGCAAATGCAAGTCTCCAAATGAATGTTCATGGTGCTGGTAGGGGTCCTATATATAGCATGAGAGGATATGGCAGGAAAAATGGATACTTTAAGCTTTGGTTGGAAAAATGTAGTAACCAAACAGACAATTTGGGGTGCTCTCACAGTCACGATCTTAGTTTCACGTGTGTCCCAAATAAAAAATTAAGGCATAGGGATGATGTATTGGAATCAATATTCGGCAATTACCTAAACATTCGTGTAACATGTAAGACATTTTGGCCTGAAACAGAAGATGCGAGGAGCATGGATAATGAGAACCAAATATATGCTGTAGCACATGAACCAAGTGACTTTCCTCAAACTTGGCCAGATTACATTTGTTCTGATCAATTCAAAATAGTGGACAATAAAGACTGTTCTATTAGTACTTCAAAGAGGCAGAGTTTCAGTCTTCCAAACTATAAAACAACTGTGAAATTAGAATGTGAAAGAAAAGCTCCAAGAAGAATTATCCATAAAGAGCTCAAACAATGCTCCACAATGACAGTGATTAAAAATAAGCAAATCGAGCCGACTTTGAAATCCAAAATGAATCTAGAAATGCTCTTTACCTGTCCAGTTAAACACCAAATAGAAAATATTGCAGTAAAACATGGCACAGATGAAGAAATATTTGGATTTCCTCATGTTTGCTTTGGTAATTACAACAACTTTTGCTTTAATGATGTACCCGATGCTTTAGATAAACTCAAAAGTATTTGTGAGAGACGTAGAAAGTGTGAAATTATTCATTATGCTCACTGGGTCCCAAGGATCTATGTAAATTACAGACCATGTAATGCAACTAAGCCGCTAGCACGCCTCTTCACCTATGACTGTGTCCCCTTACCCAGTACAAAGTGGACACAAACTGTGGACTTTTATGGCTTTCAATCAGTTGGTAAAATGCATATATATTTTCAGGTAGATTTTTCTGATTATTTATTCAAATCATTTAATTGAGGGAAATTCTAAATAAATGTTTACTCAATATGCAGCATTATCAGTTATAGGGTTGGTGACTTGGACAAACAATTTGCCCTTCACAGAGTGCTAAAAACTTAGTTCAGACCCCTTTCCCTCATTTCCTGTACAATTGTAGCTGTTAAGCCTTAACTGTAAGAAATGTGAATATTTAAAGCTTAAGTACAGTAAGCACCCAGAGGTACAAATTTTCTTACTATTTAGAATTTATCATTTTGGTACTAGACAATGAAAGTTGTGAAATGTGAAGTTCTCAATTAAGAAGGGCACTTGAATCAAAGTCATCACTTTTAGGGAGAGGTGATTTCTGTCAGCTAACACCTCAAAGAAGAAGTGTGTTCCAATCTGTGAACCAATTGTCTATTGTATTCTCTGTAATTACAGCGGCCGGGTATCTAGAAAACTCAAAATACCCCCTTCAGACCATTCTAATAAGTGCCCATATATCAACAAAGTCCCAAATCCCTGGGAATTTTGTGTATTTTGCAATTTTTCTTTTCAACTTTGGCTTATTTGCAACATCAGAACGAAGTTATAGCATATTTTGACAATAATGGTATGAATTGTTATCGGGGAGTATATGGTATAGATCACTAAAATAAACCAAGAATTCAATGCCTTGCCAATAACCTAAGGAATACAATATTGAAGAAATTCCCAGAAAAGCCCCAAGAGGAATTGTTTCTGTAATTATTTATTATTTCCACTAGTGACTTTTGGATATGGATCTAAAATTATACCCTATTTTTTATGATAAATCATTTTTATTTTTTATGATAAATCAAACTATACCTTATTTTTTTATCATTTTTTCATGTAAAAGCTGCGTTAAGTTGTGAAAATATGAAGAAAAGAAAACAAGATGGTCCAAGACCTCTATATGTGCAGAAAAGCTGCACAGGGGCTTTAAATTCCAAGATTCTTAAACTTGAATATTTCCTTCATTCATTCTGAATTATTTTGAGGTCATATTAGTTTAGTATGGTGTGGAAAGCACCAGGAGGATGGATCGACTTTCAAAATATGTCACTTTACCACAGATTAGTGTTAGTACTCTGTTATCGCCCACATCATGTTATATGAAAATATCATCCAAGATATCCCCTAAATAGAAAATGCTACTAAAGAGTATGTATATCATATATTAGGGATTTCTGCCCCTTGATCCCAGAGAATTAAATAAATAGTGACATTAAAAAAGCCTACTCAATGTACTAGACAGTTTTCATTTTTAGTGGATTGGTCAGCGATGGGAGAGGAAGGGTTATACTTGGGGAATCACAACACTTCATGGTGACCCAATAGAAGAAGTAACGAGACAGATTGCATGTGACAAGCTCTCGTTAAGCATTGGGGTAAAGAGATATATCAAGTGGGTGACAACGTCAGGTTTATATGAGGAATGGAATGTGAAATGCAGCCCAAAAGCAAGACATATAAATGATTGTAAAAAGAGAGAATATAAATGGGCAGGAAAGTATAAACCACGTGTGCACCATCAAAGCGTAAAATGTAATTTCAGCAACTCTGCTGCTGTGGACAGATCTTCTCCTTGTCGCACACATCCCAACAGTCAAAACAGTAATAATACCGAATTTCATGTTTTACTTTCAAAGTTATGGCTTAAATCTTTTTTATGTATATAAATATGTAATTACCGTATTCTCTGTAATTACCGCCCACTCTCTAATAAGCGCCCACCCCGCTTCACAAAGTTCAAGAAACATCGAGGAATCAACAAGAATTGAAGAATATATCAGGAAAAAAATATTTCTCAAAATCCAGGAGCGGGCGATAATAGAGTACTTACCCTAAAACTGCTGTAAACACGACACGTTTTGTAATTCTATGCATCCTCTCGATACATATCTATCGATGGGTGCTTCCCACACCATACCATGCTAATATTGTCTCCAAATAGTCCATAATGAATGAAGGAATTGTTCTTTATCGGCATTCAGAAATTTCAAAAGCTACTGCGCAGATGTTCTGCGCATGTCAAGGTCGTGAACTTTCTGGTTTCTTTTTAATGTTTCTCGACTTTTACACGACTTTTGCACGAATAATGATGATCTCTCATCAAATTAGAAATAATGTATAACTTTAGATCGATATCCAGCAGTCTCTAATGGAAATATTGAAGGTAATCGGCGATAATGACAAAGTGGGCGTGCCTGAAATAAATTAGACATAGACGGGTCTTCAACCACTGTCAATATTGTCTAAGCGATCTTTACCGTATTCTCTCCAATAACAGCACTTGTCATATTATTATAAAAATATGTTGAAGAAAATGCATTCTTGTCAAGAAAAATTGCCATACATGAAATTCCTCGGGATTTCTGATTTCTTTCATACATGGTCGCTTATTAGAATGGTCTAAATAATGTATTTTCAATTTTCTAAACGCCCTGGGCGCTAATTACAGAGAATACGGTAGCTATCTAAAATATCTTATCAAGTTTTGCAAAATTCAAAATGGCCGTTACTTTTATTGAAAGCCACTCATCCATGTTTTTTCTTCTGCTATAGTGGGGCAAACAGTGTGTGATTATCATCCTAAGGACCCCAACCCACCTGTGGAATTATGCTGTCACTGTTGGATGTTTTTTGAAGATCCATTCTCAAATGAAGTTATGCCTTTGGGATCTATGTCAAAGGCCGCAAAAACTGCATGTGGATTCAAAGAAAACAGGACAGAATGCATTTGTGATCCTTAATTTCAATGTATACTGAATAAATTTCCAAATATTAAACAATGGAAAAATTATTTAAAAGCAAAAAAAATTGTTTCATATTGTGCAATCCTGTATCGGGGAGAATGGTAAATTCCAGTTTACTGAAATCATCTTCCTGATGACAAAACATTCTGTCGAAAAGTTTACAACATTGAGTGGGTGAATTATCCAAAAGATGCCTCGCCAATATGAATCCTTTTCCATTAACACAAAATTCCAAACTACAGAACACGTTTTAATCAACATCCAATGCTACTAATGAACATGAAGTTCTTGCAGGACTACCAGGCTTGAACTGTTTATGTGAGTTTAAACCTTATTCAACTCAAAGGAAAACAGATTTTCTTTTGAATGGAGATGAAAGTTAGGGTATTAAAACAAGTGAAAAAATTGATTGAAATCATTGCTCACTATACTGCTCAAGCCTGGGACAGGGTAATATTTAGCTTTTGATTTTGATTAACATAACGAGTGGGATTGGGGAGCGAGCAAATGTAAATCGGGTACAATTCATGAAAATCAATTTCCCTTTAAAGTACAAGTTTACCCATAAGTTTTTGAAAAAAACATTTATCAAAAGCTGGATACTTACAAGTTCATGAACGTGTATAGTGAGCTGTTCATTGGCTTGATTATGTTTCTCTAAGAGTGCAGCAAGGTCACGATTACGATCCTGAAATAAAACAAGGTTAAGGTAGTTTTATTGAACAGTTGAGTTCATTATTAAGTTGAGAATTAAAAGAAAATGATTTTCCTCCCACTTGAAAATCAACTTGCACTCAAATTAAAAATTTGATTTAACTTGAGAATTGTGAAAAATAGTCTGAATTGTACCAATCATGAATTTTGCTACTAATTTATAGGAAATCAAAAAGAGAAGACTGATGTTGAATTTACAAATAATGTTTTCAGTTCAAAATTCCCAATCATAAAAATAAGTACGACAGTAACATATTGATTGAATCCCACAATGTCAGCATGAACGAGCTCCTGAACACAAGGATTGGTTGAATTTCATACATGAGAACATTTTTCTGTATTTAGTTTATCCTTCCAACTGCACTGCACTGCATTTCATTTTGAAATTAGTGACATATTGACAATTACCTCGAGTTCTGAAGTCCCTCCATTTTCCATGGATTCATCCCCATTCAGGTAGGAGGTAGACTACAAATAAATGACCAACTGTTAACAAGAATCTATGATTTAATAAGCTTTAATCTGATACATAAAATTATAGTGACCTAGAACTGACAGATTGTCAATTTAAAATAGCCTTTATATAATAGGTTCATATCAGCTTCATCATGGTACACAATAACAGGGATCGTACACCTTTTTCAAAATGAATTTCCCTGACATTTCCCTGACATTTCCAGGCAAAAAAGGAAATTTCCAGATCTAGTTTTCCTTGCACGGCCTCTAAAAAGTCTCTAACAACCGTATTATTTAAAAGACAAGACTTATTATGAAACATTTTGGGTTTATCCTTTTGTACCATTTCTCATGACTTAAAGGCATAATCAGATCTATAGGAGTGACGAAATTACAAGCAACTTGTATAATTGACCTACCAATCTATTCCTTACAATATCAAATACAATATCTCACAAAAGATTCACAATATGTTTTAAATTGGTGAAGTTATCAGTGACTCAAAGTGCAAAAATGGGCGAAAAATGTTTAAATTCTCCCAAATTATAAGAATGGTAACCATTCTTACAGAAAAATAATATATTGTTCTAAAAATCCTAAGTTTTCCTTGAATAAAGTATGCACTTTTTAGATTTTTTAGAAAATAGACATGACAAGGGATGACATGAGCCTGAAATATTTTAAAATTGAAAGAATTTTTTGTTTAGCCTGCTCGCTATATCTGATTCTCTCTTTAACTTTACTTCTACAGGCCGTCTTATTAACCAATTTATCATATTATTTATTGCATTATATTCTAATTTTATGTACAGTATTTACATTGCATTCCATGTTTAAACGTAAACCATGATACCATGGTATACCATGGTTTACCATGGTCTATCATGATCGGCAATGAAATTACCATCAACTCTGACCATGGTGGCAATGATGTTTTTTTGGTCAATTTTTGACCATGGTATACCATGGTATATCATGTTATACCATGTTTCATGGTATTTCATGTCCAAAGTTTGCCATCAAATACCATGGTATTTCATTGCCATGTTCCTGACCATCACTTACCATGGTATTACCATGGTATATCATGGTTGATTGCATTTCATGACATTTCATTGTAAGATGTGACAATCAAATACCATGGTATTTCAATGCCACGTTCCTGACCATAATTTACCATGGTATATCATGGTTGATGGCATTTCATTATAAGATGTGACAATCAAATACCATGGTCATACCATGGTATTTCATTGCCATGTTCCTGACCATCATCTACCATGGTATTTACATTGTATATCATGGTTGATGGTATTTCATTGTACAATTTGACAATCAAATGTCATGGTCATACCATGATATTTTATTGTTATGTACGTGACCATCATTTACCATGGTATTACCATTGTATATCATGGTTGATGACATTTCATGGCATTTCATTGTACCGTGTGACAATCAATTACCATGGTCATACCATGTCATTTCATTGCCAAAATCATAACTCTCATTTATCATGGTTTTATCATTGCATTTCATGGTTGGTGGTATTTCATGGCATTTTATTGTCAAACCTGACAATCAGATACTATGGTCACACCATGGTATTTCATTGCCATAATCATAACTATCATTTATCATGGCATATCATTGTATTTCGTGGTTGATTGTATTTCATAGCATTTCATTGTCAAACCTGACCATCAAATACCATGGTTATATCATGGTATTTCATTACTAAAAAGAACTCTACAAGAGTCTCAAGTCTAAAATTGGTCAGAGTTGAAATGGATCATGAAATGCAATGAAATGCCACGTTTAACCATGAAATGCAATGAAATACAATGATTGATCATGATATGCAATGAAATGCAATGGTCTTTCTTGCAATGCAGTGAAATACAATGAAAGGCCATGTTCAAAAAGTATTTTTTACATGAAATATCTTTATTAATAAATGTTGATTAGATAACCAAATTATTATAATTAGTGATTCTGATATTCATCAAAATCACAACTTTATATACTTTTGTTCCTTTATTTAATAAATTAATTTCTATTATGAATAATTAAGTTAATAACCCTAGAAACAATTTTTTTTTTGTTAAACAAATATGCTTTACTTTTATTTGACTGTTGTCGGTTAAATAGGAGATCAACTTAATATTTTGTAAGTCAAACCTCCAGTCTTCGATTAAACATCTTGACTGTACTTCATTGCATTTGATGGTTTGAAACCATGAAATACTGCAAAATAGCAGTATTTTTAAATGCAAAATTTTAAGTATAGTTCCCACAGTATACCATGGCAGGTCGTGATAATTAAATGGCTCCATTGCATATCATGGTTAAATGTCTAGACCATGATATCACTGCATTTGATGGTATTTGACCATGAAATACTGTGAAACGGTGGTATTTTTTAGATACAAAATTACATGTTAATTGACCATGGTATACCATGGTATATCATGATCGTTAAATGGCACCATTGCATTTCATGGTCAGGAGCGTTTTTTTAACATGGAGTTTCCCATTGAAAAAATACTGCCGTTTCACAGTATTTCATGGTCAGAAACCATCAAATGCAATGATATCATGGTCAAGAAACCATCAAATGCAATAATATCATGGCCGAGAAATTGACCATGATATCATTGCATTTGATGGTTTCTGACCATGAAATACTGCGAAACGGCAGTATTTTTTCAATGGAAAACTCCATGTTAAAAACGCACTGTTAACAATGAAATGCAATGGTGCCATTTAACGTTCATGATCGGCCATGGTATTACCATGGTATTTCATTGCATTTCATGGCCATATACCATGGTATACCATGGTCATACCATGGTATACAATGGTATGGCCATGGTCCATTTCAACATGGTAAGGCCAAAGGTAAACATACATATACAGGGGCATAGCCAACAAGTGTCAAGGGGGTGCATCTTTTGGGGTTTGCATCACTGCGAGCGAAGGAAAACCAAAAGGGGGTACGGGGGTTCACCCCCGGAAATTTTTCAAAATTGACAATTGTATATGGTGCATTCTAAGCATTTCAAACTATAATTTGTTAATGTTTTGTAATGAATCCAAATAAAAACTGAAACTTCAAAATGTTGATCTAAAGAAAAATAGCAACAACATTGAGGGGCAATTCCCACCTAATGAAACATATTTTATCGAATACTATCATTGTAAACATTATATGAAAAATGCCAAGTGGCTTCTTGGGCAGAGGCTCTATATACAGTAACAAAAACATTGGTATATAAAATTTTAACCAAATCTGTCAACTGATATTTGAGTTATCACCCTGATAGATAAATAGACTGAATACGACCGGACTGTCGAACATACAGCTCCTTAATATACTTGTAAATACAATTTTAAACTGTAAAGAGTTCCTCAACAAACCATGAAACATATACCAGTAATTAGCTTTGAATGGCCTAAAACTAACTTACTACATGGAAAAGCATAATTGTATTGAACCATCTATACATATTCTTTATTCGGTTTCAGTATAATGTTCACACTGTTCTTACAAATAGACAAAACCAGATTTAATGTCATTCAATCAACCCTAATGAAAAGATTTACAATTAGTGGAAACAACTTAACATTTGATTTTGGATTTCATTGATATCCCGTCATAGCCTTAAAATGTATTTTGCTGGAACATTATTTTTTCAACAATCATACAAAATTCCCTGACATTTCCCTGACACATCTTCTGTTTCAAAATTCCCTGACATTTTTGGCCCTTTTTGACCCAATTTTAAAATTCCCTGACATTTCCAGCACCTGGAAAAATAAATCAATTTCCCTGACATTTCCAGGTGTGTACGAACCCTGAATAATAAGTTGCATTGAAAAATTGATAATTTT